TCTTAGTGAGCTAATATAGCACTACATATAATGCATAATGCTCATCGATTAAATGGTTGAAGACAACGATTATTTTGGGAAATGAAAATGATGCTTACTAGTTCCACAAACTTTACAATTAGAGTTTTTTAATAGTAAATATCTCTCCAATTATTATACTTTACTTTTGCTAGTCTTTCTTAGTTTTTTTGATAATTCCACAAAATAATTTGCCAATAGGAAAGTGTGATAGTCATGCAGTACACCTGGTATTACAAAATTTTTGGTCACCTCGTGGCAGCATTAAACCCTACATACCTTCCAATAGTCTCCGCCCAAGATAGATGTGAATGTGATTAATGCCTGTCTTCCTGTGCACTATATGTTTAGAGGACTATTATGAAAAATATTACAACCTACCAATCTATCAGTACCTAACCGCTATCATTCGATCCATCTTCCACAATCCATGTACTTTACCATATTTACACATTTATCATAGTATACGATAACTTTCACAATTGATATATTCAAAAAACCACTAAGTAGCAGTAATTTATCTCTTCTCTATAACAAGTTTACTGTAAGAATAAATGCATTCCAACTTGCACAGAAGCATAAGAATACCGAATTATTATGAGTTAATGGGGCTAGTAGTAGCCCAATAGGGCTACCCTCTTATAGACAGTACTGTGGTTCCCTGCATTTTAACTATAGGAGTAAAAATAATAAAAACGAATAGAAAGACTGACTACCTGATATCAAACATTTTCATTATATAATGCTTGACAGAAAATAGGTGTAAACTGAAATCGAAAACCGCGGCGACCTTTATTTTCTCTCATGGGTTAATTTACCGCTTTGCACTGAAATAACAGGTGCATTTACTGAGTACATGTTAGTAATGTTTCTAATCATGATAAGACGTTTTAGTTGCATAAATTTATAACAGATATAAACTGCCTTTAGCAGACGATTTTCTTTAAGTCTTCTTGACGACTTTAGAGTCGTGGCTATGATTAGTTAAGTTAGTTAACATCTTTTATAAGTTCCGAATGTTTCTTTATTATATCATCAAAGATAATATTATAGCGACCATGAAAAATCCCAGAATGTTTCTTCACACTGTCATCAAGACAATGTTACAGTAGCCTATGAAAAATGCAAGAATGAATCACACGAAACAGGGCTGTTCTATATATGTTTTAGATTAACTGAAGATTAAGGGAAGGAGGAAAGTGTGGACTTGTGTTTCATCAGTTTTCCTGTGGAGCCTTAGCTCTCGCAATATATGCCCAAATAAAACAAGGATACAATGGTCAGAATTAGGAGAATACTATTTAATATGATTTTAGAATGATTTATTTGGAGTACATCTCCCAGTAACAAAATCTGAAACTCCCAATATTAAATCTGATACTTTAGGTTATTATTCTTGTTATAAGGCACATAAGAGCCTGATGGAACAACTATGTGATGTTGAATGTATTTATAGTATAATTTATGTTGAACTAGTGTTGTTCCATTTCAAATTGGCCTTAAAGTTTTTTCCATTGTACCATAATACATGTATATTGACCTTTCGCAGTATTTTTTTTAGAATTGCTTCTTATACATAAGTATATATAATAGATGTACTTGAAATTTTGCGAATTCGTCATAATTCTTCCTTATCCAAAGATTGCTGTAAGATTGCCCCCAAGAATTCAGGTGGACTTGATGGGCTAAGTGATGAACGAATTTTCATTATTTTTTGTGAACAGTTATAAGACACGTGACATGCAGACAGTGTCTTTCTCCCCAATGTATTTTCCTTACCTGCCGTATATAAGGTTGTCTTCTGGCAGAACTTTAGAATGAACAATATCTCATGGTAAATTTCAGTGTGTCATCTGATAAAAGATAGTTTCCATAAATCTTGGCCGAAGTGTTTTACTCGAAATTTTGAAACCAACTATTTTTCAAGCATGAGTACCCTCTGTTCTTGTAGAAACATTAAAATGACTATGCTATTTTTTATTCGAAAGAAACAACTAAGCATTTGTAACAAAAGAGCTAATGAAAGTTTAGCAAACGTAAAACGAAAACGACAATATGACATGAAAGAATGAAATGCACATTTGTTAATATTTGAATATGTAGGGGAGTGAATATACCTATTAAGGGAGTCTTGACAAATAGACCACTGCAAAGCCGCAAATCCATGGAGCTCATTCTGATTTCCAAAATGACAAAAGATGAAGCACCAATTAACAGTTTCATAGTATCGAAGTGAAATACATTAATCATAAAATTATTGCGAAAATAGCAAAAAAAAATGTTTACACAGAAACAGCAAGGAATATCACAAGCATACAGCTCAAAGAAATTCAGTTATGCTTCTCTGTCCTATTCTTAAAATAATACCAAAGAAAAAAATCGAGGTACTTAAGCTTCAGGCACTCACAAAAACATTGATAGATGAATAACAGGTCTCAATTTTTTTCGACATTTTGCCCCTCAGAACTTCCCATCATTATTTTTATTTCTTCCAACATGATCCATTAGAGTCAGCATACTAAACCATACTTCTCCAATATTTGAAGAAAGTACAGTTCTCTACTCACCTGTGGGGGAACGCTTCTCTTCCCATCCCAATGCAGGAGAGCTCGTATAGAGATCACCAAATTTCGTGCTTATGTTTGGAAATTCAAAGACTTCACTCGGCAAATTGAACATTTAATTTATTTATTTATTCAGAATTTCCAAATTTAGTTGATTGCCACATCCATTGTAGATCATCTATCCACTATCTTAGAACTATTCTTTAGAAGGCTAACTTTCTATTTCTCCATGCTTCCCTCTTAACCAAGTCTCAGTCACTTTTCCATGAACTACAATTTAAAATTTCGATATATTTCTTATAATTTAAAGAATGGAATCGCAACTATAGCTGTTATTACAGACACAACAGAGATGGAATCAAGGAAGGTGAGCCACCAATGTTGGGCGAAATAAACAAACAGAGAACCTCACTGTTGGGATATCATCAAAGGAAGAAATCAGCTCCCAAGAGGCACCATCATGCAATTTCCGTGGAAAAGACAAGCTCGGGAAACCAGACAAAGGAAGAGGAGCCAAATAAAGAAATTAGTAGCATAACATTTGATTGTTCAGGAAAGTTTTCACCAACAAGGATTGGAATTGGGACAAAAGTTATACGCCAATAGAAAGGAAAGAGCCCAAGAGTCCTCATTTAATGCTGGAGAACTTCCCCATGCTGATTGATGACGAGGAATTAAAAATTATAGCCAAACACTGGGAAGAAATGATAAGGGGAGAAAAGGAAATCGCACGAGGAAGGAAAAATGGCTCAAATGGCCGAAGAAGGCAACTGAAATAGATGGAGAAAAAAACTCTGCTGAGAGGAAAACAATTTGGGCATTTGAGATTCCCCCCCCCCCCCTCCCAATTCATCAGGAAGGGAGAAATAGTATCAAAATCTCCCCGACTAACAAATAGACAGGTTTGGGCGTTTGTCGCAATTAAATATCATATCAATTTTATATCAAACAGGTTTAAGCTTAGTGACACTCATAAACACAACACAACTTCGAAATAAAACCATTCATGTATATAGAGTCACATATCATCACTATCATTGATATAGTAGATCTCAAAGGTAATGGTAAACTTTATGTCGAGTGAACATCCTACAGAAACATTTTTATGGATTCATGAAAGTTATTTGGCCAGAGACAAACACATTATCTATGATGTTTTTAATTTTTTTAACGACTTTTGAGGCCGAAACCCAATTTAGGAATGTATAATTGAACAACAGCATGAAAATTTATCTTTTCAAAATAAGTTAAGATGGCAGAACAGATGCCAATTCAGTTAACCAACTAAGGCGAGCATCTAATGGGAATGCTTAAATAGGTGATGTGCAAACAAGATGCGTAGGCATAACCTTGAAAATTCGAGCAAAACCACTAACAGATAGAAGACAAGAGGAAACAAGGCCCAAAATATCAAGTTGGCAGAGTCACCAGACTCCAAGTGTTTCTGACCCATTACGTTAGATGACTAAGGCAACATACTGAGCCTCGTAATGCGCAATCACATTAGGTTAATGGGCAGAGTAATTTAGGTCATTATATTAGGCAGGAAAACTACCAAACATGCGGTAATCAATGAAACCCACATATTTTTGGGCAAAATTCCAAAGTAGTCCACGAACTTATGATCCAGAAAGAATAGGCTCATTGTGTAAGGTCGGAAAAGCCACCTGTTTATTATATACCTCAAACATACGTCTTCTAACCACTCATCTTCCCTAAATAACAACTAAAAATCCAACTGATGCTTTAACTAATTTGGTTTCATTCCACCTGGTTATTATAGACCTCAAGAGCTTGGCATCTGTGACTTTTTTCAGTAAATTACTAAGGCAAAGGCATGATTTTTAAGTGTTGAATTGTCCTGTACCCGATACTATCAACCTAATTAAATATGTAAACCTGACCACTCTCCTCCAAACATTAAAATTATGCAGAGAATGATACGCTGCACATGAAGAACGAGAAAACATGTTCTCTGATCTTCATTGACTCCACCCTTGCCTTATTCCATAAAGCAATATCAATCGGCATCTACAAAAAATATTCAATAGTTTCATTAACAACATCAGCTCTCCATCGTAATGGTGACTATAATATGCTCAAAAGCATCCTCATGTCATAGAATACTTATATATTGCAATGGCAAGGAAATTGATTAAGCCTCTGTTTGATGCACTTGATCTACCATCTTATTCACAAAACCTTAAGCTTTTCATTTCCTCAGCTGTTACCACCCACTAGCTTTCATCTCTCTCTGTGTTGGTAAAATATGAAAACAGCTAACTTCAAAAGGTCGATATTTAAATAAAAACTGGTCTGAAAAAAAAATTCATAGACATTACCCAGAAAAAAGTTTGCACCACGTATTGTGTGTTGACATTGGGCATGACAAATCAGTCAAGTGAACTTTGGCCACTTTCAATGAGCAAAACACATCCGTAAAGAAAACTGCCAGTGTAATATAAGAAATATACGTGACAATCAGTGAAATAGTAGCCTTTTGACCATTATTCAACATGAAAGATCACGTCAATTTAATTAATTAACATTTCCTAAAAAGCATGGTTATTTAGGAAAATAATAACCAAGGAAGTCAAGATTTTAGAGTTACCTCAAAGACTACACTATATATTAGTTTTTTCATAATAAGGTAAAGCTTCCTGGGAAAGTAGTACACAAAACAAGAAGTCAAGATTTCAGAGTTACCTTAAAGACTACTCTATTCATTATTTTTTCATAGTAAGGTAAAGCTTCCCGAAGCTTCCCAGCATCCATCAGTTGATTACCCTCCTTCATTGCCTAACATTGTATAAAATTTTATTTGTTATTGTCAATAGATGACGGAAAAAACCAAAGTGAAATTGCAATTTTAGAAAAAAATCTGAAACTATATTAATACTTTTTTCAAAAAGCTGAGAAACAGAACTCAGACAAACCATGTGCAATACAGATTGTCAGGAAACCTTCAAACTTTAAAATATTTAATTTTTGTGGTAATACAAATACATATGTGGAGAAATAAATCAAACGACACAAAATAAGGAACATATAAACTATTGACTTCACAAGCTAAGCGACTTCCACTAAATTATAATAGCCAGAATATGCGTGTTGGTACAAGTTTATTGTGCTTGAAAAGCAACTGAACCACTTTGGTCCATTGTCTTTACCCTATATGGATAACCGCATGAACACAAGTAAAGAATGAAGCATTCATGTACACGTAGACATAGTCTGCTAAAAAAACATCAGTTTTGAGTTTCACAATGCAAATCTCCATGCAGTAAACACGATCTGAAACGAATAAGAAGAGGAATCTCCTTGAAAATAACAATGCGTACGGGAAAACAGAGGAAAGTTTAAAAAAATAATATCTTGAGATCTAATAGAATGAAACTCTCTTCCCTTCAGCAATTTACACTGGGCACGCGAAATAGACAATTGCAACTTTTATCCAATTTTCTTAGTCTTGTATGGTGATAAGAGAAAATTACAAGTCTAGGTCTTAGCAACTTCACAGGCAGGCATTTTTTATGACAAATGCTAATCATGTTCTAGAAGATTTCTTTGTGGTCTGAGAACCTACGTCATCAAAAAATGTGGCACCATGTCTGAGACACTTTTTACAATTCAAAATGTTCTTCTAGATTCAGGCTGATACTATCCCAATATTAAGTACAGCATTCACGCCCTAGGAAGGATATTCTTTTGACTAAGCAAGGGCCAACAAAAGACCTTCAACTTTCCTTTGCAGGAAAATGATTCATATGTTCACATACATGATATTGTTCTCATAACAAGATATTTGGAAAACCCCATAGGCCTGGTGTGAAACCCCTCGCCATGTTTCAAGGAGGGCCCTCCAGAAACATGGCCCACATATTTTTTTCTGGATGATCTGCCTTTTAATGCTACGACATTAGAATAGTTTCTAATATATGAGAAAACAAAAAATAGAGACGAAAGAGTGTGAAGAACATCCACCTTGCAGCCTCATGTTGATGGTGAAATTTAACACGAAAGACAAGAACAAGGTAAGATTTGTGAAACTCTGACAAATATTTGACTGCTAGCTTTGGAACTGATTCATACCTTCTCACACTCAGCTTTGACTTTTGCATCAATAGTCAACCCAATCTTATTCTGATAGGCTGCAATCATTTGTCTAGTACGTTCTTCTTTTACAGCCTTAGTTTCAGTACTTTCAAGCACCTCACCAGGACGAATATTTTTTCCACCACCAAACTGCAGAGAGGAAAAATCTATCTTAGGCTGCCTAATTGAAAGATATGGATAATCGATATTTTATGATCTATTCAACAAAACAAGGTTTATGAAAAACCTTAAGAAATAATGTGCCAATATGAAAGGAAGGAAAGAATATGACAATGAAGGGAAAGGAAAAATGGGGGGAGCAAATAAAGGGAGAGGGTATACAGCAATACTTTTTCATGAAGAAGAGTCTGTCAAGAGAATCACATCCTTTTCTGTAATTAGGGCAAGCTATCGAAATTCAATCGCACTAAAATTTTAAAATTTATGCTTTTGAATCATTAAATTCCAAAAACTCCACCATCCAAAACTACCTAGCACAGGATTAATACAATAGAAAGAAAAATATCCGGCAGAAATATTTTCTCTTTGAAATGTTTGTCCTGATAGCTGTCTTACTGCTTTTGAAATGTTACTTGGTCTTGGAAAGACTCCCCATGTTGAAACCTTCGGCTTGTAAAGACCTGCGTTTTCATCACTTCCGTTTGAACTGAGCTCTGATGTTGCTGAAGCTGAAGATTCAAACTTGCTCATGTCACCAACAATAATCTCCACCTCGGGCAAATCCCCACCAATGGAAGGATCTACAGTAGGAACCAATCCAGCTGGAATTCCTCTACCCTTTTTCTTATCTGAGAAGTCAAACCCCAAAAAATCAAGGCTAGAGACTTTGAGGCCCTCTGGTTTGCCCATTTTTATCTTCTGTGATCCTAGAAATAAGAGGGTAATCCATTAGTACTGAATGGAAGAGAAAACTCCGCTCCTCTCAAGAGTATTAATTTTTTTTCAGAATAGGAAAATAAATACACACTTCTCAAAAACTACAAGAATATGCAAAAATGGAGCAGGCTGCGAATGGGGTTTGCATCATTCTATAAATCAAATGAGAAATAAGTACGCTAACTGGGTAACCAAAACAAAATAATCTGAAGGTCTCTCCCAGGACAAAGATGCAGCAAGCAAATCAACGCAAAAGTTGGTACATATTCAAATTTTTAAACTATTGTTGTTTCCTTAGTGCTACGGTTTTTTTGGGACATTTAAGCTTTATTCAAACTCCCCTTGAAAATTGAATCTTTTTCCAAGTTTGACTCCACAATTTCTTAGTTGTTAATTTTCTCTTCTTCCTTCACGTATTGGGAGAGCGAGTTTCCTACCAAACAAGACTTGGATCTTGATGTTAAAAGTTTGGCTAACGCCATGCTACTTTGGGTTAGCTAGTTTATAACTTGGGCTACCAAATGGAATTAAGATGAGTGACTTGAGAACTGATGTAAGCAACGGTTTGACCAAAGCACTATATATTTTTTTTCTCTCCATACAGTTGGATGTCATCTCAATTCATTTTCATTTATATGCACGATTTCCCTATTCACTCCCCTCCTTGTTATGCAATCACTACCCCAATATCAATTGGTACTATCACATTAGTCTTGATTTTATCAGTTCAATATTCACAAGTAGATCCATGTCGAGGTATTATAGGAATCTTTGCTAGCATTGATTGAATAAATCAACCTCCAATATTCAATAGAGACAATTAGGTTTACTTAAAAACTAGAATGTCTATCTTATTAAACGACTAGAGCATGACAATTCGAGGAATGTTGAGGATGGCCTTCATTTCCTTTCAAAAGTTGAAATTGGTAGAAATAAATTTGACAAAACATGGCTATCTCTTAGTGACAAAGTTCTAAACATTTTATTCTGTACATTGACTACTAACCAATGCAATTCAGTATCTTCGAGTGAAAGTTCTTAGGAAACTTGGAAAAATCTTGTAGCAACATATGAAGAAACTTCTTGACTAAAGGTGATTGACTCAAGTTTCAAGCTGAGACATACTACAATTGAAGAGGTCAGAAAAATTTTGAATACGTCATTAGTGGCCATGACTGGATAATTTTAAATTTAAAACATTTTGCCTATTTTTTCCTGATGGGTTCACTGCTAAGCTGTGTGATGAAACAGATTCAAGAAGCTCAAGGAAACAAAAATAAAGGTTATGCCAAAAAGTAACAAGAGTGAAGATGAAGACATTTATGAACAAGGCCTCACTTCGTGACAGCAAGCAACTTAAAGGCAAAGGGTACATGTTAAACAGCTATAGCATTGTTTTCAATACAATATAACCAGACATGTACAAAAACTAAAATAAGTCATTCATACTGCCCCAGCTGAAGAGACTCAATCAATAGTGGAGACTCCCAACGAGATAAATACAAACCGAAAAAGAAAAGATGTGATGGCAATGTGAAGTGATGAGGATGACTTTTAATTAAATATTTCTGATGAAAAAGTTGTAAAAAATTTGACTCTTTTGGCCATCCAGAAATTCTACCACCTCTAGATAATGCTTCTGATGAAATGAACTCCACAAAGGTTTCAAAGCATACAGTGAAATTATAAACTTCTGAAATATTCAAAAAAATCAAAAAAGCCAAATTATTGACACTTCAATTCGAAATTGAAAAAAATATGACAGGAAATTGAAAAAATTAACAAAAGGAATACAATCTAGAAATTTTAATGAAATAAATATATATCTATTAATTGAGATCATCACTCTTTAACCATTACATAATTAGGACACTCCCCCCATTTCTTGAGCTTTCTTTACAATAGGCTAATACTTGTCCAATCTATGGTCCCCCATACTTTCAATCTAAATTTAATTGGAATTTGGTAAAACACTAATCCCTGTTTACTACAGGTATTTTTTGTTAACCTCTATATGTATAAGATAGTCTGTCTTCTCTACAAGTTGGAGCTCTTTGAACATAATGAAGCCATTTCAAACCACAAAGAAGATTTGAGCTCAGATGAGTACAAACTCATGCTCTTCTCTCCTGTCTTCTAGGATGCATAACGGTTGTCCTTAACATCATAACCTTGGGGATTCGGGCCCTAACTAATAAATTAAATATTTCATATCCACAATAGAAGACTACCTCTGTTACTACAACAACATGCAACCCCATCAGTTAAGAAGATAGCCTCCAACTTATTTTAATTAAGAAACTTCATAGAAGTGGTGGACTTGGGAAAGTTTTTACAGTCGGGCTCTAATTTTCCTAAGCCCTGAAGGCTTACCTCCAGCAGTAAATAAACTTTCAACAATTTGGCTCTAAATTTTGTACGCCCATTATAGGTACTCTAGAAATGTACTTCACTTTAGTTCTTTCATAAACATCACCTCATTACTGAAAAGAGTCTGCCACAAACCCTAATTACAGCATTATCTAGCAACCACCAATGGATTATGTATATCTAGCAACCTCAATTGGCCTGTGGCATGAAGAATTTGACTTATAAACCGAGTCTGAGTTCTGAAACAGAGATTGAGAGTAACTCATTTGTGTCAGAGCAGGTCATAGTCCCGAAAAGTATCCACATTCAATAAACGTCATGGCACATGTAAATATGATTTCAAATGGCTGATGATGGTCCAGTTCAAAACTGTTATATACACTCATGTCTAGTACTAATACATACCATTAGGAATAAAAGTAAGATAAAGAAAAGTGTGTCAGGTAAACACAGACATGATTAGTCTAAAAAATCATAACACGTGATAGATTCAGCCTTTACGATATCATTAATAAATCCTTCCAAAATGAAAACCTGTGTAATCTTAATCTAAAAAATCATAGGGACTTTGATAAGAAAAAGAATTGGGTCCTGGCTAATAAATGTCAAATGCCAGAAAAAAGATAAGGAAAAAGAGATTGATACGTTTATTGCAGCCATATTTCATCAATTGTTTGAGCAAATACTTTCACATTCTGTAATGTGATGTTTATTCATTTCCTCTGCATCATAGGGATGTTGATCTGTTTTTAATCTAACTTATTTGTAATCTTACAATAGACACAAAATGACCATGTTACAATGGTACACTAATAATTCCATGTCGAGAGAAAGTTATAGTATAGACTGCTGTCTCAGACCAACTTGGTCTTGTTTAAGCTAAATATGTTTCCTGTTCATTCATCTCATAACATCATTGATAATCTAGATACAAGCACATGCCACACATGCCAAGATAATGCAATATGCAAATCAATGGTAGATGCTTGTAAATAAATAATAAACCCAAAGTCATTGGATTGATTGCTGAAGACCTTAAACATCCATAAATCCCACTTCCGGATCTTGTCAATAAAATTCATCAAAAAGTTGTACGATCTACCAACCACCTGGAAATCATTTTAAACTGATTTGGAATTGCGCCTTAAAATGTTTGAAGATACAAATTTAAAGTTTTCTTCACTCTCCTGTTTTGATTGTTCTCTAAGAGCCCTGTAGTATGAAACATTTGAAAATGATTTCCAACAAAATCCAACCACAGATCAAAAGAATGGAAAGGGACTTCTCAATAATTTGGATGATTCATGAAAAATTAAAAAAAATCATTACAATAAGAGAAACTTTGAAATCATGAAGATTCATTTGATGTAAAAGTAGATCCACCTAGGACTGACATACGCATGATGTCTGACAGAACTCAGTTTCATGAGATCAAAAAACTTGTTTATCTAGAAAACCAACATAATCTATGACAAAAACATTCTATATGACAAATAAAACTTCTTACTAGAATGATTGGTTGATAAGAAACGAACCTTTGTTATTTAGAAAAAAAGCATCACTGCAGGGATCGTGTAAGTGCAAATAGGCATTGGCTGATGACTCAATACCGCAATTAGTCCCAATCGCAAACTCTTTCTAGTAGAATAATTATTTTCAGGGGGAACATGTGGAGTTTCATGCCTAAAGAAACCTTTAAAACGAAATAACTTAATAAGAATCAATGAAACTTAATGATGAATAAATTTGTCTAAGAATAACTAATTGTTTATATCATCATGCTAAAAGATAAAGAAAGGGCATAATGAAGACAGCAAGGAGTGAGCCAATAGAACATCATATATGATGCTCACTAGCTACCGTAGGACAATTACAACGACGGGGAAGCAAAAATATGAGAACTAAGTGATGGTAAAGATATTACTGCGGTGAAGTCCATCCACACATACCCTGTCCATACAAAGAACATTCCTATAATCAGCCTGTGACTACTGAGTTGATGGGATCGATGTTATCCCTTGTCAATCTTTAAAATGAGGAGAAGCCACATGGAAAGTAATCTCAATGGAACTCGACTGTATCTGATTTGTTAGGAATAAAAAGACAACTCTCCTGCCAAACATACTGCAAAAACAATTGCAAATCCCCTCGTTACAAGAGATCATTAAAATAAATTTTAAAAAGCACACGTTTTTCTTCTAACATATTCACCACAAGAACAAAAAATATTTGAGGAGGCTTGACTTCATTCCTCACAAAATATTTGTGGGTGGACGTCATTATACATTGTAGCCTGAATAACAGAAAAGAACTCCCAACAGAGAGCTATGAAGAGTATCCGAATCACAATCATAAAACAACAAAGAACTCATCTGGGTTACACATTGGTGCCTTACAAGTCAATTTGCATTGCCAAAAAGAAGGCTGTAACCGTGAGAAAATCCCCAAAAAAAGTAAAATGAGACTGGTGCCATTAAATGAACTTATATGCCCGTGTTCAGAAGATAGATGTCTGCATACTGAATGTAGAGGAACTTACGATAATAAAAATGAGCTTTTTACTTGAGAGATACCTGCCTTCGGGGGCTGCTCGCCCCCACTTCCCACAGCTGTTCTGTTCTTCTCATATTCGCTATCTCTCGACATGGCAGATTTCACTGAATCAGGGGCAGTAACCCTCCACTCGCTATTTACTTCAGGAACAGTACTGGGCTCCCCAATTGCGCCTTTATTTTTCTCATAGTCTCTTGCTCTCTCCATAGCAAGTTTTACAGATTCTGGGACGGCGGGATCCGAGTTGCCAGTTCTCTCAGGGAGACTGGAGTCCCTCCCGACGACGACACCTTTATTTTCCTTGTACTCCTTAGCTCTCTGCAAGGCCTGCTTCACCGAGTCCGGAGGCTCGGTATTTCGGTTGCTACTCCTCACGGGAGGAACGTTGGGAAATTCTATAGCCGGGTTTTCTTCCTCGGCCGGCTTCGACAGCTTTGCATTTCGATAAGCCTTTGCCTTAGCGAAGGCGAGCTTGGCAGGATCTTGGGGTTTGGATTCCTCATCGGGTAGTCCGTCTGGGACGTCGGAAGAAGAAGCTCGAACTGTAAGGTTACTGTAGTGCCTGCTCCTCCCGTTCTTCGGGAGTAAACTCGGGCCCGTGGCGGTCGAAGATGTGGTACTTGTGGGTGTGTTTACCGGGAAAACCCATGCGGATGGAGAGACCATTGCCATTGTCTTCATGCAGCTCTTCCAGCCAGGGACCGACGCCCCCAGCTGGCTTCTTCTTACTCCTGCAGCAGAATCCCTCTCATTCTGTAAGCTTGTGGGCGGGGCGTGGCGTGGCGTGGCGTGCCGAGGACGAATGCAATGAGATTCTTCCATTTTTCCTGCTTGTGAGGTCAGGAGATGAGGTGGACCACCCGTTGGACTCGTTCCACTCCACATGTTTGTCTGAAGGTTTTTGAACCTTCCATGCTACGATCGTCACACCTGATTTCGCTAGTGACTAGTACATGGCTTGACAACTCAAAAGTCCCTAGCATGACTAAGAAGGAGGAGGCGGAGAAGCTCTATATAACATGAGGAACTATGAAAGATCATGAAAACTTGCACATATTCAAAAAACGACACACAAACAACATAAAAAAATGAAGAACATACTCTAGATTTCCTTATTATCATGAGAAAATAAATACCCTTGAAAGCACATATATTTTATGATTTTATTCAGCAGAAGAAAACCATCCCCATGAAGAACAGAAATGGGAAACAAAAAAAAAGTTGTAAATATCAAAATGGACCATGAAAAATTACTGATTTGGGATTAATTATTGACTCATACAACATTTCCTCTATAATTGTCACTCTATCAAGTTTCAATCCAAGAAATGTCCTATGAATTATAGCAGCCTTTCAAAGCCAAACATGGAAAACAAATTTAAAACAAATCACCACAATTTCAAAAGAATCTTCCCTTTCCTTTTTCATAGTCTTGAGCAAGCTTGTGGACTAATAGAAATAGAAATATATGATGATCTATTACTGTTTATATGATTTTATGTTCTTGGAGGACGTACCCATATAACATAGAAATGATCGACGAGACCCTAAAGGGGGGGGGGGTGTTTTTGATGAGATCAAGTAAGGTATTATTAGAGTATTATTTTTTTAAGGTAAGTGAAACCACATATCACTGGAAAATGGCAATTAATAGAGTTCTATTAGATACATAAGATTTACAGTATTTGTGGGCAAGATACCAAAATGGTAAATGTTCCACTACATTAGAGAGGTAATGAAGGTGATAGAAACAAAAAAGTGAAGTATATCAATAACTTCTATAGGAAAAACGTTAGTAGCCCTTTGATGCACTTTGGTCATTGTTATCAAAATGATTTTCATCCTAAAAAAAATATTGAAATAAAATAAATATTAAAGAATAAAAGAATAAATAATTTTCTACACATTTTGATCCCATTTAATGCCCAATGATCTTGCCACTAAATTTTAAGCTTTCAATCTCACAAATTTTATGTGTGCTCACATTCAAGATTGATTGATGATTCTAGACTTGAAAATTTTTCAAACAAAAATGATAGAAAAGACTACAAAAAAAAATAAAGGACAAAAAATAAACCTTAAATCAGGGAAAAAGGAGAGGAGAAAGAAAATAAGACCACCCTTGAGTCACCTTGCTAGTGGTGAAACAAAAAAATATTTCACTCGAATTCATATGAAAACTAAGTAATATTTCAAAATAAATAGATTAAAATGATTGTAATTAAGTTAAATTTTACTAGAAAAAATAAAATTACGAAAATAACTATTGAACAGGAAATTAAAATACAAATTATTACTTGGCAGAATTGCTCTACCGATAGTAAAATGGGAAAATTATTTCGATTTGAATATTTATAAACATAGAGTAATCCAGGAAATAAATGGATCCGAACGATTGTAACCAAGTTAAGTTTTAATTAAAAACATTAAAATTTCACAAAAATGAGTAAAACAAAAAAAATCAGCACACTAACTTGACCTATATGTAACCCAAGAACAAAGTATTGTCATTAAAAGAAAATGGAATGAAAAAGCGATTGAGAGATGATAAAAATGCATATTAAAATACTTAAATCTCATCATTTGTCTATCACCTAGACAAATAAATAAGCTAAAACGAAAATAAAGTCAAATAAAAACAGAAATCAAATTTGCAAACACCCCATGTTGCTTTGCTCGTATGTCACTAGAAATAGAGTACCAAAAATTGAATGTAAAATATACTGAAAAGGTTGTAAGAATATGAATTTAAATGTTTAATCTCATTGTCTGCCTATCACCCAAGATGGATTAAGAGAAAATAAAAATAAAACACAATGAAAATAGAAATTGAATTCATAAGTGCCTAATGTCGTCTCATTCATCTTTGCCTAAAACTCAAAGAAAACTCAACTTGAAAAGTTTCTCAAATTCCTCAACTCACAACTTATTTTCTATCTCCCAACCTTCATCCCTTTTTCTCAAAAGTTTCTTTGAATCTTTGTGCAAAAATATCTCAACAAGTGTCATGAAATCTAGAATTCTCCTCATTCATTTCACTATCCAAAACATATATATATATATAGAGGATGTAGCATAAAATGTGGACATCTTCATTCATTGACTTATGCTCACTTGGCACAAAAACCCTTGACATATCCTTCTACTGATGTGGCCATAAATCGTGTCATTTTTGTCAATTATTTTAATAATTTCTAAATTAGTAAAAAAATCACTTCATAAATTCTTTAAAAAAATCTAAGAAGACTCTATTTTCCAATTTTGAAAGTCGTTATTAATTTCTCATCAATTTTAAAATAATTTCAATATTATAACCTTGGATAATCATGTTAGTATATGGATTAATAATTAGAAATATATTCATATCAAGATTTATGAAAATTACCAAATTAAACATAAATTCTTCACATAATCCTCAAACTAGTACTAACAGATTTTAATATTAATAGTTAATAATTTACATTGATTCATGTGATAATTACTTTGGTTTTATGTTAATTATTCTATAAACATAAAAAATTATCACCAATTTAGTTCCTCAAACTTTTACATGAACATTTCATATTTTAGCTGCAATGATTCAATTGATTATTAATTTTACAAGTCTCATGACAAGTGAGAAAACTTCATAGGGTGACCTTTAGGATATCCTTATGTCTTTCTTGTCATAGGCAACCAAAATCTGAAGTTTGTCTTGTTATATATTGTCTGAAATTTGTTTCAAATTTAGGAGAAGTAAAATAAATTATTTTATATTTAGGAATTTAATTTCATTAGATGGAATAACATGTTTTGTTATTAGTGGTTCAAGTTGACTGTTTGTAGATGAAGGAACTAATCATCATATAAGCTTACATCAATGAATAACAAGATTTTCTAAACTAGTATCAAGAAAGGAGGGAGGTGTCATGCTTAGTGGAAGGTGTTCTTTGATTTGTGATGACACAAGGCAAAGTTGTGAGGACTTTAACAAACATAGCTTCTACATATATGGTAGGAGGACTTCTAATGGAACGGTCATTATGAACTGGTTTTTTAGATTGGGGCGTAGGATAAGAAATAGAGACATATTCTACAATGATAGAAGGAGAACCTTATTTTGGAGAAGAATATATGATTATCTGTCTTTTTTTGGAAACCCTAGTTTATTTTGGAACATGAGAGATTTTGGAAGAAAAAGTAGCTCTATGTGTATCAACCATGTTGAGTTTATAGTAAGAGTAAATAGAGATTGACAAAAATGTGATGCTAATTTTTAAACGCATGAAATACTATTATGAAATGAATATAATTGATGTCTAATACAAGAAGTAAACCAATAGAACTTGATTCTAACTTTGCTCAGGTGTTCTTTGGAGTAGTCTTGCTTGAAGAAGAAAAAATAAATTTCTAGAGCAAGAGAGATGAGAGAGAATGAGGTGACTCAAATAAGTTTGAAATGGGAAGTTTTTACCCTTTCATGATATAAGAAGGGTAAGGACGTAAATTTGAGCTTTTGAGGTTTAAAGTAATATTTAATCAGTTTTTTAATCCCTTAGTTTGATCATATGAAAAAATCTAAGATTTTCTCACTCCATATTAGCAACACAAATGTCCACACATGTTAATAAATTATCAAATTTATTGAGTTATGACTAAAAAATACTATAAATAATTATTAAAATTATGATAAATTCAACACATTATTTTTATTTAAATAATAATAATATTGTCTAAGTCGTACACTCTAAGTTAACATACAATTGAATTAAATCCCTCCTTTGATAGGAGTTTTATAAAAATATCTAATCATTATTCTATTGTCTCAGTAAAATTCAATTATATGTCCTCTTTTTGTATGTGACATCTAATAAAATGATGTCCAATTTAAATATTTTTTTTTATATTGAATGATTAGATTTTTGACTAAAATTTATGATACTTATATTATCACTATGTAGCGTATCTCTTCTAATTGCAATTCATTTACTCTAATTGACATTTATCATGTGCAAAACTATCAACTGATATATATTCAATTTCAGCCCTAAATATTGTAATTAAATTTTATTTTTTAGAAGTCTAAGAAATTGAACATACTCTTAGAAATAAAGATGATCCAATATATTTTCTTATCAATTCCACACCTACCTAATCACAATATCCTAATATATTCAACTTTCAACCTTTTGAGATATCATACACTTAAGGCTTCTCTTTTAACTAAATATCAAAAAAATCTTTTAATAACTTTACTATACCATTCTTTTCTATTACTTTGATATCTTGCATATAAGCATCCAATAATTAAAATATTAAGTTCTCAGTAGTTAGATACAATAAAGATACAATCATTCTTGTGTATAATTTTATATCTATATTTTTTCCTTTCTCTTCAAAGTTCAACTTAAATTTTCTTAGACTTCAAATCTTTTTATATTTTTTGAGTAACTCCTGTATATACTTTTCTTGAGATATAAATAAATAATTTATATTACTTATTTTATTAACTAATAAATAATTTTAATTATCATTATACTCATCTTAAATTCTTTTATCATAATAAGGAAAATTCATTGCACAAAATTTCATCACCAACTCTAAATATAATATTATCAACATATATTTGTACTATCAAAACATCATTGTTCTTATATTTTATAAATTAAATTGTGTTCACATTTCATCTCTTGAAATTATTATCTAAAAGAAAAAAAAACTCATATCAAGCTCATGGATATAAGATTTTCATTAATCTAAAAATATGATCATGATGATATAAATTTCTAAAACTATGAGGTTATTTACATAGAATTATTCTTTTAAGACCACTTATAAAATCACTTTTAACATTTATTCGATATAATTTAAAATTATTTACACATTCAAGAAGAATCAATTAGTATTCTCTAACTTCTTATAACTACTCTCATTTTTTATGCATAGCATTCATCCAATCTACATTCATAGGCACATCATCTACATTTTTAGATTCAATGTACACTCTTCAATATAAATTAAATCCAAACATTCGTGATTTATTCTATATTTCTTCATGATATTCATTTATGTTTACATCTCTTATTGCTTCTCTTCCATTCTCCAGAACATGAAAGGCTTCTTTCCCCTACCTTCATTGTTTTCATCTCCCCGAAAGCTTACTGAACTAGACGAGGCTGACCCTCCACTAGTCTGAAAGATCCCAGTTTGGGCTGGTGAGCTGCTGTGCTCTGCGCATTAGATTTAGGGTGATAGAGAAATTACAGAGCAGGAAATTTAAGTGCCACATGGAAACCTCGAATCAAGAGATCCCATAGAAAGAAATATATAACCAGTGACCGAATTTAGTAGTCTACAGTTTTCTGCGGTATCAAAAATGAAAATCTACTGTTTCAAACACTGTAACCTACAGTTTTCTGTAATCAAAAACTCAAATCTACATGAAAAACCTTAGTAATCAACGGTTTTATGCTAAAAAGGATTATAATCTTCTCATCATTAGATGAAAAATGAGCCCAATCAAGTAGCCAACCGAATAGGAACCTTATGCTATGTTCAAAACTCTACCAGCAGCTATGACTTGGGTGTACGTTCTCATGATGAAGATGTTTACAGCCGCAACCTCATAATTTCCAAAAAGGGAAGGAAAATCATTCAGGATAACATTCTGGACACAGCAGGGAGATAAACTGGTCACCCTTCTTCACGCATCTTGAGGTTTAACTACATCTGCCATGAATTACTGAAAGCTCTGGAGTGATAGGCCAAGCCCATTTATGAGTCCCACAATCTCACCAATTCAATACAGGATATAACAGCGCTACTCATGTTGATGAATCTAGCAGAGACATCTAGGAACACATTTCTGGTACATACTACACGTTCCTGAAGCAAAACATCTCAAGAACTGGATGGTAGAAGGATGACCGTAGAAGCTCTCCACAGTCCTCCAACTATCCTAGCAAAGAACCGAATGAATAATCATGGAGAGAAAATATGTTCCCAAAGTTCAAAACTTTTTAACTTAAAGTTTGTCGCAAACTCATGAGCATATTAAGAAATATGAAGTTTCATAATCTCTAATCAAAGTTTAATGTGATGGGAATCCTCCCCCAACAGCTCATCACTCTGATTGACATGCAAACCAACAAATCTCATAGAAAATCTGGGAATTACAACTAAATAGGAAAGAAAAACTAGAACAAAATCATTTTTTTGGGTCTGGGTCCATTGCTCGATTTCTTTTCTCAGTTAAAAGAGAGAAGAGGAGCTGATTTCTGAATTTTAACAGCTTTCAGTTCACTTCAAGCAAGCCAAAGTCTCCGGAAGGAGCTTTCTTCATGAACTTTAGTCCATAAACAGAACTAAATACAGAAAAATATCATCATCCGCCATTGGATGAATCAAACGGCGAGCGTGATTCTCAAATGCTTGTAGTAGCAAATCAGAAGAAGATTACGAAAGACAACGAACGCGCCCCGATCAACAGAAAAGTAGAAACACCCATCTGATAGGACTTTGTTACTCACCATCACGTCACCTAATGTCACTCTTTATCATACATCCGACAGACGAGTTCCAATGAGATTTCAAGAGGACTGGAGTTGATCAAAATTCTGAGAAAGCGAGAGAGAGAGAGAGAGAGAGAGAGAGAAGATGCGTGGGAAACACCACTCTTGTAGGCAATCAACCCCAGAAGCAGACATCCAGAGGCAAGACACAGTATTCTATACGATGGAAGCGATGCCATACAGGGAAGCAATCGGTTTCGCCCGTGAAGGGAGAGATTGCGTCTCCGCGGGAGCGAGCATGGAAGACGAACGATCAAACCACAGTGCCCACCACCTCATTAACAGTATGGCTAGGTCGCGAGCTACCAAGACAAGGAAGACGGTAAAACCCCAACATGATGCGATGAGCTTTTAGCAGAAGAGCCTTTTCAGTTCCCAGGGAGGAAAACAGGAATTGCCATCACAGATCATGTCCATACGTACCACGCTCAGCTTGGTCGGTTCGAAAGATTTGCATTAATCTATAAAATGAAACTGGTGGGAAGAGAGAAAGGAAATGGGACGAAGGAGAGCTGGGTGAACGAATCGAGTGGCATCATCAGAAGATGATCGAGCGGAGATGGAAAAAGAGTACTAGTCCATGAGGTTGCCGCAGATCGTACCTCACCTTTGTCCACCCCCGGGACCCAAGGCAGAGTACATATCCGGGGGGCGTCCGCCATTACCAACAGCACCAGCTGGTCCCAAATGTATCTCAGAGAGGCTCGGCATACTGCCATGGTTATGCACGTTGCCCGCATGATCGCCGTGGCCACTGCGGATGGCGCGAAGAGCGGCGTCATGGTCGGTGTTCATGACGTCCGCTTCCTCCACGCCTTGGTCGTAGAGGAAACCCTTGAAAACGTGCCCCCCGATTCTGACTTCTGCCTGGTAAGCGAGCTCGTCCTCCCCGTCCTCAACGGACGTCATCCTCAAGCACTTGAACACAGCCGGCGCTCTCAGCTGTCCCGTCAAGTTCTCCCGGACTCTCCAGGCTGGAAGAAGATAGGATGTAAAAATATACCTTTTTTCCCTTATACGGATAGTGTGGAAATTATTGACAGGAAACGCAGAAATAAAGGGAGGATTATGCATCAAGACTGTGGGGTGGGATCATTCGAACTGGAAGTTTTCGTATGAGCATAGGTCGAATCATTCATTACGTAGATAAGTGGATGCCGTCACAACTGATCTTACCTCGATGGCCCGAGCTGGTGTTGTAGCTTCGAGGGGGAGTGGTGGTGGTATTCGAAGTGGACGTGTGGGTAGCTGCCGAAGCATTAGAAGCCTGCACATCCGACGGGAACAGGCGAGGCTTCTTGGTGCCCGCCCCGCCATCGCCGCCACCCTCAACGGGGTTGGCTGCCCCTGAAATCTGCCGCTCGCGACGCCGAGCAGCAGGAACCCACGAGCTCCTTACGTGAGTGGCGCAGTCGAACCCTCGGCTCTTGCAGCAAGTTCTGCACCGCTGGTGGATGCAGTCCTTCTTCGCCTGGTTCCCGCAGTCCTTACACGGCGCAGAAGACGACTGAGCGACCGAATTTACGAACCATCCCGCGCCGCCGTTGCAGCCCAAGCTGCCTTCCGAAAACCCGCCAGCAGTGGCGTCGGCGATGGCGGAATCGAACAGCGAAACTGTCGTCGGCCTGCTGATGCAAGAGGAGAAGGGCGCGGTGATAGGATGAGGGTTTTCCAGAACCTGAGGTAGCGGCTGCCGGGTGAACTGGTTGTGCCAGATATTGACGCCGGTGGACAATCGGCTGCGGCGGACCCCGGCGGGGGAGTCATCTGTGAAGCAGGAGATTGCTGTGATGAGTGGGGCAGTATCGATTGGATGGTCGTTCATGGCGAGGAAGGAGGCATCCCGCGAGCCGATCATACCCATGTCTCTCAGGGAGGAGAACAGTTGAACCGAAGACGCTGCTCCCCCCCGCGCCGCCGCCAGATTCTGATCTGCTCGCACCTCCGCCCTCGCCGGATCCTCCTGCTCCTGATACATAAAACCAGACAGCCGATCTCCTCCCTCTTCCTTTATCCCCCTCGTCCTCTACCTAAGCATATCATAGAGAGAGGACAAGCCATACTTCACTCTTCTCCGCCACCGATCTCCCCCCCTTCGTCGCTCTTCCGAGGTCTCGATCATCCCCAGCGGCCCTTCCACCGACGCTCTACCAGGCTGCTCCCTATCTGCGACGGCGCAATATCGACATCTCTCTCTCTCCTGTACGTCATAGAGTAGCTTTCTTTACAACGTTCTCCTTTTAATGTCGTCACAATAGTTAATGATATACTAGTGATAATATCTATCTACGATCAGAAGGAAAACGAGTATAATGCTAATAAGAACCTCTGCGGTCGGAGCTGGACGGCTCTCCGGCACCATGCACACACTTATCCAACTTAATTAACACGTCAGATCCTATTTACGTAGTGAAAGGAAGAGAGGACGAATCGGTGGTCTGGTGAGAAGGCGTTGACTTTGGTTTAGTTCTCTCAGCAGACACATAATGAATCTAGAAAAGCCTCTCTGGGAGATATTCTGTCAGCGATCCTCCATCGGCGATGGAGGAGAAGGCGCTGATCTCACCGCATGACGTCTGAAGACACACTGTTCAGAGCAGTACGTACGTGCTCAACCTCCTCCCTCTTTCGTCTCTTCGGCGAGAATTTCCCACCACGTTATGCCCTGAAGATAGAGGAGGCGGCTCTAGTCAAACGACGAGGGGAACAGCGGCGAAGCGGACGGACGAGGGTAGAGAACGTCTTGTCGACTCTCTCCCGCATCTATCAGTTTCGTTCACTTCTTATCTCAGAGAGAGAAAGAGAGGAGAGAGAGAGAGAGAGAGAGGGTCTGCTGCGAATATTTCTTCGAAAGCACCGAGAGGCCTCGAGCCCAACGAAAAACTGAGCCTTGCCCACCTTTGCCCACGCCGGCTTTAAAGTAAAGCAGCGATCTTGTACCGTTCCGGGCTCCTTCGAACGCCGCCCCGACTAGAAAATATAAATATCGGAGGATATGGAAGCAGCGAGGGCAGTCGCTGGATCCCACCGACTGCACCAGTCCGCTATCATCGCTCTATTCACTGATCCAACCCAGAGATTCCCGGGATCGGCGCCGCGAACTATGTGAAGAGACGGGCTGCCGCCGAGAAACTTGGCCGACGGCGTGGGTCCACATGCGTTGGATGACAATTACAGAAGTTGTAGGGCGAGAGATGACGTCTGAAACAAAACATTAACTAAATTGCGTTATTTTTGCGGATGAATACGCGTGCAAATAAACCCACGGATAATATTTTCGTCTCCGGCCAGTACGAGATTCAAACGTTGTCCAAGTAGAATGAAGCATTATGCTAAATAAGTGAAAAATATATATGTACTTGAAACTAGAGTTTTTTGCTTGGAACTCCTCTTTTATCAATCTATATGGAAGTCAAAAGAAATTAAACCTCTTATTAGGAGGCTCGAGAGAAAAACTAACAATACTCAAATTCAATTGTGTTTATAGAAAAGGTCAATAAAAGCTAAAAAGTTCCAAGAAAACTAAGTTATATATGGTCCCTAAATTGAAATTAAAATAACTCAACCCAAAGTAATTTCGGTTTCTAAACAAAATAGTTATTATTTAGGAGGATCTTTGTTGGAACACATCTAAGGTATATTTGGATTACTGATGTTCAAGACATGACAAGAGAAAAGAGAGGACTTTCTTTATTCCACTCAATGTACATTAATTTATTGATGCCCTTAATTTTGATAATTACAAGTGAAAATTTATTGATATGAATTTATTAAATACTAATAATTATTTTTATATATCTAAACTATTTAATATGCTCTATTATAATTATTATATGGAATATTTTTATTCATTTAATGATCTTATCAATAATAATTGAATCTAAGGTATCAATCCTTGAGATTATGTGATTTTCATGTTATCAATATTTAATCAACAAAGAATATAAAGTGGAGATTTATCCCTCAGTAAAATGATAAATATATGTTTAAATGGGTACAAATAATTTGTGAGAATTAACTTATCTCTTGTTTATATTTTTTAAATCATATTTTTTACTATTTAATATTTTGAAACGGTGATAATAGGTTCCCTAAGATTTTTCATGGAAAAATCATCATAAGAGTTAGAAAACAAAAGAGATATCCAAGCTTTGAACAACATCTCAATGATAACATGTCAGCTGATTACATAGATAAAAACTCAAAATAAACATGATGATTTAAATCTGAGCTAAACATTCAACTATTATCTATCAAGTTACGAAACTCTAATTCAAATTTGAATGAAAAATATATTTAAAGTTTGGAAGGTATAAGGAGATTCAACTATTATCATGTCTTTCAAAAAATTACAAATATTTGAATGAAGATTTCAGACTTTAGAGATCCTGTAAAATAAATAAATTATGAGAGGATAAAGCCTTACTTATCAAAGAAGACTTGAAGATAAAAATCTAGTCATACACACATATTCAAATCATCCTATCAAGCTGCTCCTATGTCAACCATCATCATGGCACAATTATGTTTTACTATATTCTCTAGTTGATTTTAGTGAGACAATTAACTTCATCTTCTTTGTTCTAACATTAGGCCTTAAGGGAATTGAGTGGTGAGAGGAGAATGTTTTAGGCAAAAGCACGAGATGCTGATAGCTAGTTTTGGCATATGAATGATTGAGTCTTCAAGAAAACAAAGTAGGTTTGGGTGCCGACAGCTGATAGCTAGTTATGGGTGGGTGATCTCGTGAAAATCAGTATATAAGTCCTGAAGAAAATCAATAAATACTAAAAAAAAGTTACTTGTAGGACTGGACATAGCTGAGTGAGAACAAATCAATGTAAAAACTCTTGTGTTATTGGTGAAAGAGCATTGAAAGTATATGAGTGTCAACACATTTAGTGTTGAGAGCACACGTGTCAATAGATCTAGCAACACATGTACATAGGTATAAGTTAAAGAAAAAAATTGTAAAATATTTTAGAAACCTCAATTCACCCCCCCACTTGGCATTTCATCTAACCCTATAGTTTCAATAAGATGAAGTCACATTTGAAGACAAGAACAAAAACAAAATCCATTGGGAATAAAAATATTGAAATATTATATCATATTTTAGGTAAAAGATTAGAATAACTAATTCAATTATCATAACTTGATTTTGTGACAATAATAAGAAAATAAAATTTTATTTTATTTTTAAATTATTTCTTATAATTTCTCAAATAAAACCTTGATCACCATATAGAAATTTAAATTGTTGGTAAATTCTCAAGATTTATTGTGGTTTAATTTTCAGCACATAAAATAAAAATAATATATTCTACAGAATTTATCAGAATAACTCAAAATAAATTAAAATATCCCATTGAGAAAATTAAAAAGTGATCATCGAGAAGACTTTGAAATTCTAAATTTTCATAAATTTTGTGATGAAAAAGTCATATCTCATAACCTCTTTGGTTCTAGAACTCAACAAAATGTAGTTGAAAGGAAAAGTAGAACCTTCATGGATATCTCTAGAACCGTACTAGTTTCAAAATGATCTTCCTAAACATTTTGATTAAAGAAAATAAGGTTATGTGGTAAATTGAGTTCTTTTTGGTCAAAACTTAGAGAAACCTTTTATGATTCAATCCAGAATAAAAGGTGATCAGTGAAATTCTTAAATCCATATAGATCCTAAGTTATTTGTGAGGTAATTTATTCCTAAATTGAATCAACAAAATATTTTGAGACAAAAAATGTTCTCGAATAAACTAAATGAGGAGAGCAAGGTCGTCAAAATTAAAGCCAAACTTAGAGCTCAATCATATTTAAGAAGAAAGAATATATTATGAAGAAACATATGCTTGATAGCAAGACTATATTATATTAGAATGTTACTCTTATTCACTAGCATCAAAATATTTGAGTTATATCAAATGGATGTTAGAAGTACATTCTTAAATATAATAATTAAAGAACAAGTTTGTGTATTACCTACAATTTATAAATAGTAACCTTTATGATCATGTACTTTATGTGGAGAAAAGCCTTATATAAATTGAAATAAGCACCTATAGTGTTGTATGATAAATTAAGTTAATTCATAATATAAAAGAACTTTGTTCATATTAATGTTAGTGACATTATATTTGGATCGTGTGAAAGTTCTTCACATTAATTAAGAAATAATTCAAAAACAGTTTGAGCAAACATTCTTTCTAGGACTACAAATAAAGCAACTAAAAAATGACATATTTACTTCCCAATAAATTTATGTTGTTTCTATAATTTCGTTGCTTAATAAAGTATTCAATACTCTTCCCTTTCTTATGATTTATTTTTTTAATATTTTTTTTGCATTTATAAACATAAATTTAAAAAAACCATTTAGTTATGTCCTTTGTATTTATAGATTAGAAGGGTTAATTTAGCATAGTTCTAAATTAAGTTTATTCACCCTAGATAATATTAATCATCTTTAAAATATATTAGTATTTAAATGGTTAAAATGCACCATAGTGTAGTATATTAACAATAAAATATGAGCATATGAGGAATTATATTGTGGAACAACACAATACATTAATGTCAAGAAAATATGTTTGTATATGAGTTACATTTTCAGGCAATAGTTACATGAAACTTAAAATGTTAATATATGATGACTTATGTTGGAAAATAATGTAGCACATCAACATTAATGTGTCAATATGTGAGGATCAATGTTACAAATAACAATAAAATGTAAAACACAATCCATCAACATTAATATTTTAATGTGTAACGTGTTGCAGAAAAATATCTCAAGTTTGATACGTTAGAAAAAGAAACTTAAACTAGAGAAAAAACAATGTATGAAGCTTATAATATCAATATATGACCAGTTACACTATGGAATAATGCAATACTTTAAACTTAATATCTGAATACATAGAAATAATGGTATGAGAATGTATGCATCAAATTTTAAAATAATACATAAATTGTATCAAATATTCAACTTAATATCATGGAATAAATGTATCTCTATACATCACTATCTTTAGTAATTTGTGCTATAAGTGAACTAAAATTTATCATAAATACATAGTAAAAATAAGCTAATCCATGGAAACTATGCACTTCTATGATGTCATTGGGTATAAGCAATTCTTCCATAGTTTGCACTTTCCCTTTACCTACCTTTTGTACACTAGGTACTAATTATAGTAAAGCAAAAGTAAGTCTTTAGTTATAACGTTACATTTTTTTTGAATTGAGAAAAAACACATTCTACTGTAAGAACAAATCTACTAATATATGGTTGGAATTCTTCATTTTCCATTCTAATGATTGTACTTAGAGCATTAGATAAACCATATAGTATCATCAATTATTTTCAAGATATTTTTTTCTTTAAAACATCAATATCTTATGGCTTTCCTACACATACTATTCAAGACAAAGTTTGAAAACACTTTAGATCCAAGAAGTTAGGCAATATATCATAAGCCATGGAATAAGAAGCCCATCTTTCAATATAAACTATTTTATAAAGTAATGAACTAGCATACAAACTCATACTCTCCCTTGTTAAAACTTTTGCTAACATTTCTTCTACTTATCCTTGTAAATTTTGATTCCCTTAGAAAAGCTTGCTCCAAATCAATGATGTCCCATACCCTAATAAAATCAAATATAAGATTGTGTGAATTCAAGAATCTTTTTGAAGAATTGAATTCTAACCTCCAGCTTTATCACTATAATAAATACCTAAAAAAATTCATCAAGATTACTAAAAAATTCTGTTTAATCACCTATTATGATTCTTTTTTATTTTTCTAAAGCATGCTTATGGTCTCATACCCCTTCATTGGGTCATGATTCGTTTGTTAATCGCCTCGGTTTATTAGCCTAAACACGAGGATGGCCGAGTCGATGAGTCAGATATCATCGCTATTGACCCTGGAGAAGATGGATATAGACACGAGGGATCGTGGGTCAAACGGATGACTCTGGCGTGTCAAGACATGCCTTTCTCTCCCTCTATATAAATGGCGACTTCGCCTCTGGTTAGGAGAGAACGCGATCTACCTCGAAGGTGTCGCCGTCGTCCGAGTTCCTTGGTATTCATCCATCGAGCTCTCCTCCTTTTTTGTCTGGAGTTCCAGTCGGTGGAGTAGTCGGATCATCAGCTCAAGATATCATCTCGGTCTTTCTTTATCTCTGCGGCTATCTTTCTCCGCCTCGTGAACCTGCTGTTTCCGTCGAATTAACGGCGTTCTCTGCAATTGAAGGTCTTGATTTGTCGTAGATCCTGTCTTCTCTCATTCGGATCCGATCCTCCCAAACCCCCGGGAGAAGGAAAGGATACAGTCAGCCTTCCGTTTCCCGATCGATCATTTTTTGTCATGTTTCGGAGGAAAAACCATCATGTGGCGCTGCTAGGTTTTCGGATTTGATCCGTAGGGTCCCACTTACATCCCTGCAAGTGATTTTCGCAGGCGCATGCTGTTTCTCCCTCGTCCACGTTATCCCCTTTCCTCGGGTACCCAAATCCCAGCCCTTGGCTCCTTGGATCATTTCTCCAGTCATCTTTTTCCTTCAGTTGGCTACGATGGCGCGCCTCCTCAGGTTTCATCCTGGTTTCATGATAATTGAGACTGAATTCATCACCTGCGCCATCATTTTCTTCTCTGAGACTGGGTAGTACTGGTTATAGATCTTAAAAATCTTTGAGCCGAAGGATCCGGGTCATCCTAGAACTCTGTTTTCCATCATTTCTTCCCGTTGTAATGCTTTCTGGAGATGAAAACTGTGCCAACATCTGGATCAGATGGTCTGATCAGGTAGATACCGATCGCTGGGCGTTCTACTCTTCTTCATATTTTGCTGGCGAGTGCAAAGAACGAGCTGTCAGTATTGCACAACCTCTCATGAACGGCATCGTGTCGTTTCAGCTGACCTGGGGCTATGTAAGGGAGGGAGCCCCTTCTTATGTGGTGATATATGTGGCGATGATAAGATATTGCCTCCTTTGGAAGAGCCCTTGGGCTTTCTCCTAGCTGCCTGATAGATTTCAATCAGTGAATTGCTTACTCCTACATAAAAGGAGAATGAACACAACCTGAATCCTAGTATTAGAGTTCTTTTTGATTCATCGATTGCTTTTTATCTGAATCTTTATTGATATGTTATTAGCAATTTAGCTAAGTTTTATTGGTGAAGTATCTATCCCGTATGGACAATTTTCTTTGTCCATGCCTTGCAGTGCAGCTAATCCGAGTCTTGCAGATACCAAAGAGAGAAAGATGGTTACTGCAAATGGGGGGGCGCCGCCGAGAGGGAGTGCGGCGGCGGCGGCCTCGTTGCGCCGGCGGCGGGGCTCCGGGGGAGGGACGGCAGCAGGCGGCGTGAACACAATGCTTCAGTTCTACACAGACGACGCCACGGGCCGCAAGATGTCTCCCAACACAGTCCTCATCATGAGCATTGGGTTCATTGCTGTTGTTGCCCTGCTGCACGTCATCGGCAAGCTCTATCTGGTCCCTCGAAGCCAGTAATTGTGGTATACAAAGCAAAGCAAAATGCTCTTGATCTTGTGAAACCAAACCACAAGTCATCTATGTTTGTTCCCTGGAAATGGATGCCGCCGTTTCTTGGCTCCGGCCATATGAACAGGAGAGAGAGAGAGAGAGAGAAGGTGGCCGGCGGAGCCCCTCACACAAGATCCTCTGCGGTGTATTATATCTTCAGGGAGGAACCACTAGACTGTACAGAGCAGGATGTCCTCCATGGTCGGCCCATCAAACCTGCACTCCGATCCTCCGGGCGACCTGCAACAGGGAGGAGGAGAAGGAGAAGGAGGGCGGTGGTTAGAGGCAGATGCTCGATCACACAGGTGAGGAACAGCAAGACCACAGGGGCAATCAATACCTCCTCAAAAGAGTGGACGTCACTCCCCCAGAGCCAGGCATCACAGCCAGCATCTCTCGCCCCCCACACGTCGTTCCTGCGGTCGTCGCCCACGTGCACCACATCCTCTGGCTTCACTCCCAGCAGCTCGCAGGCTTTCAGGAATATCGTCGGGTTTGGTTTCTCGGCCGCCACCTGCGCTTTGTGTGGCGCCCAATTCCCATTCATCAGACCAGTAGAAGAACACAAATGGGTACGAGCATCCACGGACATTATACTCAAAATAGCAAGGAGGTTTCGGAGATCGAGAGGAGAAGATCACCCACCTCGGCCGACACGGCCACTGCATCAAACCAGTGATCACACTTCAGAGCTTGCAGAAGCGGGCGCAGCCGCGTGTCGAAGTTCGACACGACGGCAATTCTGACGCCGGCTTTCCTGAGGGCCTTGAATGCTCTCTCGGCACCGGGATCACAAAGGTGCCAGGCCTGAGATGAGATGAGATGAGATATCATCTGCATCAGCCACCGCCGGATCGAATCCAAGATAATAGAGAAACCCACTGGGATTCTTCAAGCCCCATCTCATCTGCTCACCTTGTCGGTCATGTAATATTGATAGAGCTCCTCAAAGTACTTCGAATCGGAGCATCCCGTGGAGGAGCTGACGATGAACTGCCAGAATGGTCTCCCATCATCCACATACCTGCGGTTGCACATGGAAGGAATTGTTAACCCTTCCAGGGAAAACTAAGTGATTAAGAGAAATAATCTGGCAAAAGTAGTCTGCAATGCTAAGAACCAACATAAACCAATCAAAAAATGAGGGGATCTCGCCACCGAATTGCCCAAGATAGAAAAAAATATGGTGATTTCCATGCTCCCGGAGCAAACGAGTGCCCGGGAATTCTTTCAGCACGGTAATATGAAACAAGGAAAGATCAATTGGCGGTGTGTATTGAGAAGAATTATAGGGCACAATAAGCAGTCAATCTCGGCTGTTCACAAAGCAAGAAGGCAAGGAAATTCTCCGAGGGCAAACAAACCTGAGCCTGGAATGACCCCACGGCTGCTGATAAGCCCTGCGGTACCTATTTAAGATCTCTTCCTCCGAATACTCCACTCCATACTTCTCCCCGATCTCCCTGTAGATCTGCGTTTTTTTGTTAAAAAAAAAGACAAAGACATCATTCAGAGTGCGTTGACTTGGGGTTGCCGAGCAGAATTAAAATTTTAAAACTGTTCGAAAGGTAAAGAATAGCCAGGAGAGTAGAAAAACATGCAATGGCTGCAAGAAAAATAAGAGATTAGACTCCAGATGTCCGTGAATATGGAAACCAGGGGCTGTAGAAACGGGATTGAAGTATGGAAGAAGGGTGAGTAGACAGGAAAAGCCGCATTCAAAAACTCTTGGAGATCTCGTGCCATGGATTTCACCCCAGCCATGAAAATCAGGTCATACGGGAATTCCTCGTGAAGAAGAAGGAAAACGGTGAAAGCGAGAAGCGCAGATTTCGGGAGGGGGACTGTTGATGGATTCCCCAGATAACTCGGATCTACCGACGGCGTGCATCAGATTCACCACACTCCGAAAGGAATTGAGAAATGAAACTTATCACATTCGTCTCCCTGGTTATTTAACAGGCGATGAGCAATTGGAATCAACAAAGGAGCAGAACCTATAGTGGAGAGGGGGGGAAACCAGAGAATCGGAAGAGGAGAAAATCACGGGATGCCGGGAGCCAGAGAAGAGAAGCAGATCTGACCTGTGCTGTAGGCTGGGAGGGAACGAGAAGCGTGCCGACGGCGTCGACGAGGAGCGCCTTGTGTGTGACGTCCCCGTACAGTGACCTCCGGTAGTCGTAGTACTCCTTGGTGGCCCCCGCCAAATCCAAGACGCCACCACCATCACAGGCCGGAAAACCCAGCGCCGTCGAGGATCGCTGCTCCACCAAGGCCGCCTCCGACGAGTACCCGCGTCCTCCTCCGCCGGCGGGGATCGCCGCCATCACAGCGGCAGAGCCGCCACTGGACTTTCTTCCCTCGTCGAAGAGGTGGCCCTTTCGGACCCTCTTACACGCCGCCATCCCCACCCTTGCAACCTTCGTCGCCATTTGAGCCGTCCCCCTTGGAAGCAGCGGCGGCCACCTTCGTCCCCTCGTCCTCCTTCCCCCGTCCCTTCACGATGATTCCTCGCCACCCCCCTTAACACTAATGACAGAGAGAGAGAGAGAGTGGAAGAGTCACGGAACACGTAAGCACAAACGTGGCAATCAGCCATAACTCTTGGGAGCGCAGGCTCCCCGTGTATTCCTCTTCGTACTCAACAGTCCATGTCTATGGCCCTCGAGTGAAGCGGAGGTCGAGAAGCCACCGGTGATCTCAACCTCCGTCATCAATGCCGGTTCGCTGACTCATCTCTGTTCGTAACTGCCCGAAGATGAGGACAGAACAGAGTGGGTACCTGGAACGAGCGTGCGCCGAGCCACACATTTTCTTGTGGCGCACCGCGCAGATTCGCGCCTCTCGAACTGGCCCTCGATTCGAGGCCACGTCGGACAGGCGGGCCCTCGAAATCTCCCGCCGGCTGAGCGGCGGCGCTGCCTAAGACGGACGGCGGACGGCGAGGGAGATGAGATCTTCCGGCGATCGATAACCGCTGCTCGCCGACGACCGGAGATCTCCAGGTAGGATTGGATTGGATTGAGCGGCCGTGGCGCGCTGAAACTCTTCTTCTTCTTCTTCTTCTTCTTCTTCTTCTTCTCCTCCTCCTCCTCCTCCTCCTCCTCCCCTTCCCCCACGATGGATGTGACGCCTCGAGATGTCTATCTGTTGATGACGGGGAGTGGTTGGAGAGCAAGATAGTGGCGAGAGATGGCGACGAAATGAGCCAGGAAATGTCGTCGTCGTCGTCGTCATCTCAGGAAGACTCCACTTCGGCGGCGACCGGCGTTCGACGCACACGACTCTTCGAGTGGCCTCTCGAATGCGGCGGGAGTGAAGGAGATCGGTGGGCGAAGATCGCGGGGACCACAGTCGCTTAAAACCCTAATCTCTGCTCAAAGCTCCCTCCGTCTGTAAATGGCGGCAGGCCCGCCATTTGCATGAGAAGCAGCCAATCGGAAGACTATGGAGAAAAGGAGAGAACCCACCATTGGCAGTGGGAAGTCTTCGAGGGAGGAACAGAAAGGTGCAGGCTATTAATCTTCCTGTTAATCTTCATCTCCGTGCATCCCACAATATGTGTCACCGAATTTGCCATCAGTGGCGAAATAATGGCAGGCCGCAGCAGACCACACCGTATTGTTTGGTCTCATTTGCAGCTTCGTCGAAGTCAACCAGGAGCGAAAGATTTTAGCTTCGAAGAACCAACTCCTGGATTAACATAGCCGGCGGATGATGTACTACGTACTAGTAGTTCTGGTTGAGTTGCTGCCCTTAGAGACCTGTCTTCTTCCACCTGCGTGACTAGGCTTCTACCCTGGGGACAGCAGGTAAAGAAAGGAAACCAGTAAGTTCCAGCAACAGGCGATTCGGAAAGAGATAGTAGAGAAGGAGGGATCAGTGGATCCCCTGAACATGACGTTACAGTCAGTCCCGAACTGGAAGACTTTCTCCCTCATAGGTGCTTGGGATAAACCAAAGTTTGCCGTTAAAGACCGAAGAGAAGACAGAAATGATCAACGTCTGAATATGTTCTCAGAAAAGCTGCTTGAATACTAGTCCGAGTAGCTGAATTCCGCATGATATTCTGATGGAGGGTATGCTGCGGAACCAAACTTCAACATTTTGGAAACGGAACGTCCTATGCAACCCAGATATAGGAAGGTTATTGAAACGTGTGAGATTACGAGATGTGTGATGAACATGGATTTGGAGTCGAGAGAGGGAATACTGAGCATTGGCAGCATCACAGAAGACATGGTGTAAGAGAATTTAGCCTTTACCTCGAGCAACATCTCTCATCTGTAAAAGATATATTACGTATCCAAGTCAGACCTTGGCAGTAGCGAGTTATGGATGGGGGGATCACAAGAACATTTGTGGCAATAATCACACATGGGACTATCATATGGTCATTTTGAATCAGCATTTAAGATGGGGTGTTTGGAGGACTATATTATTTCAAGTATATTGGGGTCGGGTGATGTTTGATGAAGGCCATGCACTTGGTTCAAGTCTCAATTTGACAAGAACATTACAAAGGGCCATCTCAATGGCCACATCATGATGGTGGATATTAGCACATACACCCCCGACTCCAAACTAAGAATAATGGAACACTTGAGGAGAAAAGGAGTTGGGGGGCTTTATCTGCTATTGGTTGCAGAGGATCACGACTAGCCAGGGAACAGCATATTTATGTATTAATAAGGCCACCTTTTCAGAATATACTAAAGAGCGCGCTGGGAATTCCAATTAACTTGTGGCTCCTGTTTGCTCCAATATTTTAGTAGAGGAATGGAGTGATCCTTCTCATGTCTAATCGCTTTTTAGTCCAAACCAGTGCTGGCTTCAAAGGGAAACCATCAGAAATGTCAAGCTTTCATACTGTGTCAGGGTGTTACTGCACGCTTTATTGGAGCCCACATGACGTGGGTATCTCGTACAAATCTGTGTATGTGTGAGAGAGATAATCAGATTCTAACAAGGAGTATGATGACAACTAAGGTTTGGCAGGATACACAGGGAACAAAGTACATGTGCAGCAGGGCCTGGATACTTTGCTTGAGGTATGGGGGTTATTAAATCTACCTTGTTGACTGGTTGTAATCGTTTGCCATTGAATTCCCTTTCGTATAGAATTATGGTTAGTTGCCAGAGTTCCTCAGTAAAAGCTCTGATCACAACCTTTTAGCTGCGATGAGCGGTACTATTTAGATGCTATTACACCATATGGACATGACTTTTCCTTGTATATTTTTAACCTTACTGAAAGGTGATGCTTTTTTCCCCTACATACGGCCTACTCACATGAAGACATACACAAATCCTGAAAACAACATTTTAGCAAGCATGTTCTTCTCCCTGTTGTTGTCTGTGTGATGTGGTTTTTCTGTGGCCATTACTCAATCACAATATTCTGAGCTTCCTTCCCCAAATAGATTGAGAGGAAGATCATGCTTTGAGAAGATGTGTCAAAAAGGATTATTGATGCAGACAAGGTGGCTTTATGCCCAACATTAGAAAATAAAAAAAAATAAAAAAATCTGAGGCCAGGACAGAATTCTGAATCACCCGACCTGATGATGATGATGAGTAACACATGACCGGCAGACTTTCATCATCAGGAAACATTTCCATATCTGAAATGAAAAATGAAAATAAAGTACCAACGTGTTTTCATAAACTTGATAGCAGAGAAACATCAGAATTCTCAAAGGAGAGTCAATTTGAACGGGGGAAAGCCAAACCTGCGCAGACCAATTTTCCTGGGCCCAATTGAAGGAGATTGAGGAAGAGAAGATCAGAGAAGGGACGGAGAATTTGAACAGAAAAGGCCATTCATGATGCTACAAAGGAAGTACTTCTCCCCCGTAGCATAGAGAGACCTTCTCTGGAGGTAAACACCTCTTCACTGCATCATCAGCATATATTACATCATTGATCCTTGCTAATATGCTGAAGCCCAAACTCTCTATGATCCTCGAATAGCTTTCAATGATGGACAGACCAACATCCTGCAAAAGTTTTTAAAATATCTTGATCATGTGTTGTTTTTCTCGACAGATGGGAATCATTTAGTGCGGAAAATAGAGGACAAGCAATCTAAAAGATACAACTTGCTGGAAAATCAGATATGGATATGATAAAAACTCATTTCAGATTTTTTCACTATCAAAAGAAAACCCAAAATCAGATTCTAGGACATGCAACTATGGCTCAGTTTCATGCCACAGTTAGAAGTACTATGCCCATCAGTAACTTTTTATACTGAACCTTTTATTCATCTCTATAAATGTCTGCGGAAGTCCAGGATATCGGAGCCTTAACAACTGCAAGAGAGCATCAACACGCTCTGCTAGCCATTGCCTCCTTGCTGAATCCTTCATAAGAGCCTAGGCCCTTCCACACCAGGATTTATTTTCCTTCCCCTTTTTTGGATGCCTTTTCACATCTTTTCGTTTCCAGACATGCATAGCTGCCTCAAGATTATTTGCAATGTCCAGAGTACGGTGCTCTGATGAGAAGTCCATTCGATCTAATAGAGATTGTGGGAAGAACTGTTTCTCTGTAATACCGTAGTATAGGCTGTCGCCCAAACAGGATTTTCCACTCTGCTAAAATGTATCAATTCCATCAGTCTAAAAATTATACCATTAAGCTAAGTAGGAAAATTGTGAAAATGATTTTTATTAGAATTGAAACTTTCAAACGTTTTACCATGACAGAGCAACTGATCCCCAGCAATAAAAAAACGATAGATTTCATCAAACGTTTTATCAACAAAATAAATACTAATCAGCTCAACCAGTTAGCAGAGCAAAGTTTGGCTCTGGGTTTCTGCCGAGCCCTTCGAATAGTTTTCAACAAAAAAATTATTATTTCATTGATTGATACACATTCTATGCAGGTGGCAGAATAAATAGAGACAAACCCACTTAAGCGCCAGGAACTGAGCAAATTAAATCCTGTAACCTCATACTAGAAGCAAAATCTCACCACTGGGCATTCACGAAAATTGGCTTTGGGTTTTGGACATGATTATCTCCTTGATTTGGTTCCACAAGATGCATAAGGTTCGTTCACAACCCCAACAAAAATCATATTGTCCAGTCAACCTTTGCCAACAAGACGAACCCACTTTCTTGTTCGAAAATCAGTACATTCCATCATGGTCAGAAGTAGAAAATAGTCAAAAATTGAGCTTTAATGATCTTCCTTTGGCAAGTTCTCCAGATATGTATCAAGGGTCTCCATCTCACCAAGCACGCCACTGTTAATTGCCATGTATGACGGCCTTGAGCACCTGCATGTGTCCGGCCGAGGCCTGGTGACCATCTCCTCGGAGACAGCACCACCAGGGAGCTCCGGGATGGAGTCAGCCACGCAGAGAAGCCACTCCATCTCCCGGCGCCACATCGCCTTCCTACCCCCGAACAATATTAAGGAAGATCAAGAAATCTGAGTGGACGGAGAGGAGGGACATCCCACAACGGGCAGCACCCTCAATCCACCTCCTTCCTCGGGGGCCATCAGAGTACCAGGTGCAAGGAACACCAGAAGTGAGGTCTTGCTAAGGCAGTGGGGTCTTGAGCGACGCCATTGATAAAAGGGGAGAGAACCGCAGGTTCAGCGAACGCAGAAGAGACAGAAGAGGAGGAAGCTGCGAGTCAACGACGCGCCAGTTGCTCTTCTTCCCAGACTCCGTCCTCTTGCTGTATTCGTAGATGTAAGCGGAGCGAGGCTGGGAGCTCAGCTCTGATGGGTGTTGACCGATGGCCGATATTCGTGACCGACCCTTTCCTTTTCCGTGGGCATTCTTTCCGCCGAGAGGGAGGAGCTCGCAGTCGACTGCAGGGGTACTCTCGTTAGTCAAACGAGAGAGACGTTATGCGTCTTATTAGGGGAGAGATAAAATATTAAAAAATTAAAATAACTGCAGAAGAAAAAAGTCAAGAGACTTTCTCTCTCTCTCTCTCTCTCTCTCTCTCTCTCTCTCTCTCTCTCTCTCTCTCTATATATATATATATATATATATTATATCCCCATTCATTACAGGGTTTTCATGACTAACCCATATTTCAGGCAAAGAACGCATTTTTACAGAATTATCCCCATATTCAGACCAAAAATCCGAGTCCCATAAAAGACTTTAGCCTCGCCTATTAATTGATTTTAATAGGCATATATTTTTATTTATTTATTTATATTTTTTACACGGAATTGCTCCAGAAAACTGCTGCTATCCTCGTTTTGCTAAAGATGGAAAAAGGTGAACATTCAAGGGGGAAATCTAGATGATTTAGCAAGGTTGAAGATCTCGAGTAGGTCACTTCTTTTGGAGTTTTCTAACACTAAAATGTCGAGAGAAGAGAAAAACCAGAAGAAAAGAAGGGGTGGGAGAGAGTAAAAAGCGTTATAGCCCTGTGGGCTACAACAGATGCCACCCAATCTCACACATGGAACAGGTTCATGCCTGTCCGTCAAGTACCCACGACAAAGTAGGTCAGTACCCATCTTGGACTTCCCAAGATCATCTATACGCTTATTATGTTCATAGCTTTCAGGTTTCACAAGCATATAGACTTTGGGCACAAAGCCCGGATTTCTACAAGATCGAGCCCATGGCTGCTGTGTCAAGATGGCAGAGAAATTCAAACATTTTAAACCAGATTACCATAATTCCTAGTGATTTAGAACCTGTTCCATGACATGGCATCCGAACCTGTGATGCAGTAGTTGAAATGATTTCTCGATTTGGAGGACTTGGCAGCATTTGATGCAACACTTGACGCCATGGATGCCTACACTCTGAGGCAATCGAAGAACAGCTAGATGTTTGAGCCGACGCATTTCATTTGAAATTTTATGATTTACTATGTGTTTCTAAGCACTGTTTAGAGGAAATTGTGCGGGCTTACAGGCCTGGCAGGAGCATTGATAAAGAGGATGATTCTGAGGAGCTTCCACTCCATTGGAAGAAAGAGCTTGCCGTCAGTCTCCCTGCTGCTGTCGAAAACCAGGTTCATAAAGGCCTTCATCTGCCATCATTCTCAGGTAACGAAGGGTGATTAACATGATTATCATATCATAGTCTCACCCAATATTGTGGGCTTTCTGCTTCTTTTGACAAGCCCAAACATAGAAGAAAATGACTGAAAAAAGTGTAGCGGCGATGATCATGAAGACGAATCTTTGAACTGGTCTTTGTTTCAGAGAAAAGCTGAGTAAATTGACCATGGCTCTGACTCTACAACACGAACAGTTGGGTGCAGAATGCTCGCTGTAAGAGGGACAGGGCAGCAAGGTTAGCCATGAACCGGGTTCCTGAGCCCGACTTCTTAAGACCTAACCTTGATAGAAACAGAGAAGGCCCAAGAGATAACATGTGGCCAGCAGTCACTTGTCATGAGGAAATGAAACATTGTCATTACTCTACTATAGAATCCTGGATTACATAACTGCATTGGTACTTAATGTACGTGAGCTTAAGGGAGAAGGTGAAGCCCCAACCTATTCAGACCCATCATGGCAGGTCTAACGGCGGGTTTTGACAGAGAACTGGTAGAGAAATGCACTTCATGAGCTTAGAGCACGGATGCTACTCTTTCAAAGCATAAAGATACTTTTTCTGCAGCTAAACACCTCTTGATGGCATCATCCATGTATATGACATCATCAATTCTGGCCATTATGCTCGAGGCCAAGGTCTCTATGACTCTCGAATAACTTTCAAGGATTGCTCGACCCACATCCTGCATGGGGAGAAAGAACACCAAGGTCATGAATGGGTTTCCAATAATACATGGTTTTCATTTAAGGTTAAATACAGGTTAAATTGTTGCATTTCAACACAGTAATATAGAAGGTACTCCAAAGTTCGAATGAAATAAAACATTTTATCAAACAAAAATATGCTTTTTCAGCATCGGAAGGAAAGGAATATGTAGTTCTCAGCACATTCTACCAGAAGAAAAAAAAAAGTCCATTCATACCTTGTTATACTGAATCTTGTTCATCCCCAGAACTGTTGGTGGAAGCTGAGGATATCGGAGCTTTAAGTGTTCTAAGAGGGCCTCGGCACGTTCTGCTATGGTTTGTCTCCTGCCTGAATCCTTTGCGAGAGCCTTGACCTTTCCACTCCATGATTTTTTATCCTTCTCATTGTTTTGATACCTTATCTGATCCTTACGCCTCCAGACATGCTTGGCTGCCTCAAGGTTGTTCGCTATGGCTAGAGCACTCTGCTCAGATGAGAGGCCGAGGCTATCCAGTAGGCACTCTGGGAAGAAGTGCTTGGCTGTAATACTGCAGTATATGTTTTCTCTCAAACACGATTTTCCACTCTGCACAAAATTAATAAGTTCAATAATATAAAAACTAAATAAATGAAAAAAATAAATCTCAAAAGAACATTTATCAATTATGAATTCAATTTATGCAGATAACTCTCAGCATATGCGCCAAACTAATGGTAAATATCAAAGTTAGCTGTCCGTGAAAATGAATATAAAAGAAATTTCACCAACATAACCATGGAAAAATTGGGAATTTATTATCTAATTGATACATTTTCCATGTAGGCGATACAAGAAACAGAAAAAGAAGAAAAAAAACTCATTATAAGAGCCGGAAACTGATTAAATAAAAAAAACTGCTTCCATCTCATACAAGCAGAATGCTGCATTACTTTCCTGCAGGAGACAAGGGGTGGCGGGCTTTGAATCTTTGATGGTTCCTAAACCTGGCATCCACGAGATTCCATGGTCCCAAAAACTAGGATCATGCTAAGCCCAGTATAGCGCCATCTCGTAATAAGCAAGAAGATCCCGACATTTTCGATCAAACATCACAGCTATGGCGCAAGGAAAAGAAACTGGATGCTAAAGACAGACCCACCATCTTCTTTAGAACAGAAGTCGCAAGGATTGTCACCAATGGGCATGCGAATTAACGGAGCTCCTAGATTCAAGAGGGGTGTAATAAGCATGGGCAACGGTCAAAAATCAATCTTTTCCAAAATTCAGCCTTTGTGTGCTACCTTGGGCAAATTCTCCATGTATGTGTCAGGGATCTCCATCTCAGCAAGCACACCACAGTTAATCGCCTTGGCGGCCTTGAGTATCTGGTTTGCATAGTCTCTACTCTGCTGCAGGCTTCTTCTTGCAGCCTCTGAGAGGCCATGGGATGGAACCTTCGGGCATGGAAGCCACCATTTCTCCTCCTGCCTGAATGATGGCCTACTGAAAGAGGAAGATTTGTCAACGCCGGCCCCAACTAGTAGGACCCCCCATTCGATGTACCAGAATTCTGTGTGTCGGAATCCCTCGAGCATTCCAAGAACCATATCATCAAGCTTTCTGAGTGCCGGGAGGTTCATGTATATGTCAGATCGAGGCCTGGTGACCATCACCTCGAAGACAGCACCGCCAGGGAGCTCCCTAGGAGAAGGGATCAGCTCCACGATGGAGTCGGTCACCCGCAGCAGCCAGTCCATCTCCCGGCGCCACATTGCCTTCTTTCGTGGCGCTAAGGGCTCCAGTCTCCACAGCTCTCCGAAGATGGTGGCTGCGATATCGAATTCGCCCGCAGGGGTCCATTAGAGAGGAAGAGAAACCGAAAGCTTCCCTTTTTCTCCTTTTCTATTTGAACCAAGAGGGATCACAATGACAGGAAAGGAAAGAGAAGAAGAATATTCAATACCAGAAAGATCGGTGATGGCTTTGGAGACGGCGAGGGCGGTGCAAACTCCCTTCCGACCCCCGGACATGTCTTGCCCGAGCAGGAGTTTTGCAAATCGCTCCTTCATCGTCTCCATTTCTATACTAAGGAAGATCAAGAAATCTGAGAGGACGGAGAGTAGAGACACCCACAACGCACGGTACCCTCAATTTACCTTCTTTCTCCGGCGCTGTTAGAGCATCCGGTGCAACAGCACCAGAGTGAGGTCTTACTGAGGCAGTGAGAGAGACACCTGATGTATCATCGGGATCCATCTTGTCTGACGCCATGAATAAACGAGAGAGAACAACAGGTTCAGCGAACGCAAAAAGCAGAGCAGAACGGACAGACGAGGAGGAGGTGCGAGTCAGGGACGCGCCATTAGCTCTCCCTACCGGGCTCCGTCCTCTTGCTGTCGTCCTAGACGTAAGCGGAGGCTGCAGGCCGAGCTCTGACGGATGCTCTGGAACGATCCCTGGACGAGCGGTCCGATCGACGACGGGGGGGGATTCTTCCCGCCCTGCAACGGGCTCCAAGCCGACTACGAGAGGACTTTCAAATCACCCAGAGACGTCGTGGGGACGAGAAACAGAGAGCTGCGGCAAAAAACCCAATACAGATAAAATATTGATTATCTCTCCCTCACTCTCTCTCTCCCACTTTCGCTCTCCTCCCCCCTAATCCCATAAGAAAAATAAGGAACCAACGCTCAGGTCGTCAATAAGGAGCGAGCTGGGTGAAATACTTCAACAACTACCCAGCTAGTCAGTGAGAATCTAACTAGCTAGTCAAGCTTTAAAGCCACTATCACATGGTGATCAACCTCGCATATCTTTCATTGCAACATTACACGCTGGCCTAATTCTTGCAGAATCTTGCAAAAGCCTTGCATGACCAAAGATGACTTTATATCTCTTCTTAAGAGATATAGATGAGAGGGGAGGGCAGCCCGTTCAAATCTCTCTCTATTCACAAGGAAGAGTCACTCGTGTACTTTCCCATTTTGTCCCTTTAGGGTTGACGTTCAACTGTGTCAAACACATGAAACGTCAATTAACCACCATTTGGATGTGGTTTAGCTAGCCATTGACTTGAATACATTAGCTTTATGGTGTAAGTTTTCAAGGTTGGCCTTGCTAACAAGGTTAATGTACTAGCCCATTAACATCATAATAAACAAGAGTTTGTGTCTTACTATGTGTGCACTCATGACACCTCGTGCTACAACATGTCACATGGTAGTACACACCTTTAGGTGTGTCATCCTATGCTGCATCGTGTTGATGTCATGTTACTACCCCTGCCAGTACGTGACATCAACCTCTAAGGTCTATGATGGAGTCATCCACCTATGCCAAGCACATATGTGTATGAGCCTTGTATGCTCCACATTATGTTGTCTTGTGTCGACACTATACTCTACCATATTTAAATGAACTTCACTTTGGTTTTGCACTGCCATTTGCCCAAGTTGAGAGCTACCCTCTATCATTCACATGTGCTATACCATGTTGTCATGTGCACCTCTACATGTTGTGCCATGCCATGTCATGTTGACACCCTCACAACATGGTCTCATGTTGTTGGTGAGATAACTTGAATGCATTAAAATATAAACAAGCATACCAAGGACGTCGTAGTCACAAATCATCAGAACCTTTACTAATCATGGCAAAGTCAAGCAATCTTTGAAATAATAAGAGAAAATATTATTTCTCCTACTTTAGAAATTGTTATGGGTGGCATATTTCTTTACTTGCTTCCACTGATATAAATGTAATTTTCAAAATTATACATATATGTCAATTTCATCCATTGACCTAAACTCAATAAACCATGTGTCAATTTATGAGCAAAATCGACATTATTTATTGATAGCATGATATTTTAAAGTAAAAATAAGATAAATATGTGCATTCTTATCATCATTTTTTGAAGAAATAGTATTATAAATAAGAACTTTTATATTGATATCAATTTATTTAAAATTATGTATTTTCTTATATTTACTATAAAAAAATATTTTGCCTATAAGATAAGGACAATTTGGTCACATTGATGGCCCTACCCTAGGTTATCATGTCCCCTTCTATAGTTCCCAATTTATGGATAATATATTGTATGCACCTCTTCTCCCTTCTCTTTCCCGAGCTCTCTCTCGTTCTCTTGGCGTCCCTCTCTTTTCTCTCAATCTTTTCCAGTGTGACAAGCAGAAAAAATGTTCCCTACGTCTTTGTCACCACTTTAGATCTTTAGTTTCTAAGTTCATAGTTAGTTTTCATGACTTTCTCTCTCTCCTTTTCACTTTCCCTATGGACGGGAGTTCTTCCTTGTTCTTATATTTCTTGTGTGCTCTTCCATTCCTCCAACTTCCTGTTCATTCTCTCTGAGTGTTTCCATGTTTCTAACCTTTCATGAAACTATTTTGACATTCTCCAATCCCCCATTCTATTCTCAACTTTTCATTTTCTCTCTCATGTCAACAAGTTCGCTCATTTCCAACACGTTTTTCTCTCATTCTCCCTCTTTTATTTCCTTATTTGAACTATTTTCTCATTAGACATTTGTTTCTAATCATCCTTCATCATTTTTATGCACATAAAATCGTGATTTTACTCATGCTGGTGAGAAACTTCTCTTTGATATGATTTTTTTCCTTTTTTTCTTTCAAAATTTCTCACTTTCTGAAAGCATTTTCCCTCTTGATCTTTCATCCCATCTCTTCATTACTCTCCTTTTTTTTTCTATTTTTGTCAGGTTTTCATTCTAGTTTTCTTTTCCTTTCCTACATCTTCTATTATTATTTTTCAAACAAACAGATGATACATCATTGATGGAAATGATATTACATAGTTTGTGAGCTGATATCCTTGTGGTGACATACGTTTTGGTAATGTGGGGGTGGGGGATTCAGTTGACTCAATTTTCCTCAATTGGGAGGGGTAGTCCTTTTGTCGGCTCACGTTGACCATGTAGTCTTGTCATTGCTTTGACTATCTCCTCCATTTTCGTTTACACTTTGATGAGCCTTCTCCATTGCTCTTTTGTTGCTTGTCACTATTCTCCAGAGATCTTCCACCTGTATTTTTTTAACATAAATGGATGTATTTCTCCTATTCTATAGGATGTTAGATTGGGAATGACCAGATCAACACTGATACAAAATCATGTATGCCATCATGGTAGATGGAATGCACGCACATTCTGATAAAATCATATCCTTTTGGCCTTGCACATGTAAAGCTTCATGATGATTAGAAAATAAAACTTCAAGTGCTCTGATTAATTTGTGGCCATCTCTCTTACTTAACTGAATCTTAGGCATGGGTTTTCATATTTTCTATAGCATGAAGCATGCTCAGTTGTTGCTCCTTTCCTTTCCCTCTTTTTTTTTTTTTTTTCTTTTTTTCTTCCCGCCACCTTTTTCTTCATTCTTTTCTTCCTTTTCTTCCCAGAGGAGGGAGGGGGAGGAGGAGGGAGAAGGGTTTGGGAATGCTCACTATTACATGATTACCATCCCCCCTACATCATGAGACGTAAGTTAGTCAGAGATATAAGAGCTGCAGAGATTACACCACTAATGACCTCACTGTACCCTTTCCTGTTTTTCAACCATTGTCTTCAGCTTCCGTCCTCAGCTAGACCGCAAGCTCAGGCGATTAGAGCAGGTTCTCTGACAGTATGTATCATGGATAAGTGACTGGAAAGACAAAGTTTAGTGGCACCATATAAACTACAATGAATGAGAATAGTATGGGCATCAAAACTAAACTCGTCCTTTGATGTCCTGGGTAGCTGTGAACAGCTCAAACATCAGTCATGATCAGTAGTCAGACCAAACAAGCTATCCTAGGAAATAAAAATAAAATAAAAAATCACAGTTCATTTGCTTCAAGAGGGTCGGTCACAATCTGCAACCAATTTGACCAGGCAACTGGAACTTGTAATAATATGGATATATCTGAGGCAGCGCCCAAGCCACAAGTAAAAAGAATGGGTACCTGAGTGAAGAGAAATTTATGCTAAATAATAGAAAACAATGTACATTAATACACACGAATCGAAAATTGAAACAACAGAGAAGAACCATTCAGCATTCAGTAACTTGTGTACTAAAAATCTAGAATGAAAGAACAAGCAGTAACTTTTCATTTTTTATCGCATATATGGTCATAAATTCTGAAGCCATGTGAAAGAAGAAGAAGAAGAAGAAGTTACACTGAAAGCAAAGCTGCGCTTGCAGATCAAAAAAGAATGCATACAAATCCTAACGGAACAAAACTAGAAGTGATCGATAATCATGTCACTCAACTAAAAACCTGTTGAAAAACAGCAAACAAGTAAACCACAAAGTCCCATAAATCAATAAGTATGAATATTAAGAAAAAAAAAAAAAGAAAGATCACGGAAGCAAAGATCAGACAGAGAGAACTGTGCAACTTTTTGCACTTACTGAGGGAGAAAACAGTGCTGAGACCTCAGGATTTGTTGAACATTTAAATACAGGTAATAAAATGCATACGCAACAGAGAAATCAGTGATGTCTCGAAAGATTTAATGGAATGACAATTTCAGATCGTAGATTTCAAAGACTAAAAAGCCAGCAAAAATGTGCCCAATAAAACCATGAAAGAAGGAAATCATCATCTTGGAAGCCTTTTCGTTACTCATCAGTACAGTCCATGAAGACCTCCTTCCAACAAACTTTGTTCAATAATCATCAAGAACCTTCAATACATGCCCAAAAGTGACAGCTAAACTGTAACATGATGATTGTGGAATCCTTCTCTACTCCTACCTTCTGTGATTCTAAGGTTTCCAGAGTCAAAAGGCAAGCTGCAAAGCGATAAAAATACAGATCTTCAACAATAACCATTTTAAATGAAAGATCCATGGACAACAATTGGAAAGATTTGGACGAGGAAAAGGTAGTAAGAAGGCGCTAAAAATGGCAATACTAGCATATAAAACCCTTGCATTATAAATGAGCAGAGCTACGAACAAGCAAGGCCTGCTGTAAGCGAATTTTTTTCTGAATAAATCCTACATGACGTTTTCACAAGCAAAAATTCATGAAGCAATGAGTTTAACCTTCAGAGTGCATTAGTACCATGCCTTCTTCTTTTGAAAAGCCAAAGTACCCCCACATGCCAAAAAAAAGTATGTCTTCCGACCAACACTCCAAAGTACAAGTACTGATAAACCCGTAATTCCAAATTAAAAATATGCCAAAGAAAACGTGTGACGAAGTCCTACAGAAAAATAAATGCAGCGAAGCATACCTTCAGTCATTTATACTAGTCTTCACAGATGTAAGATGAGCAAGGTAATTGCTTCCAGCAAAATCATGCAGTGAACGGTGCGCCCTTGTCTCCTCATAAACAATAATATCTTGATTCAGAACATTCCTCCATCCATCAGCATTCTGGAAAAGACTTTCAATCAGTTCTATAAGAAATTTACAAAAAAGATAGTCGTTGCATGCCATAAATTCATAGAGAACCCCAAACCAGCAACTGAAAACTTGCGAGAACCATTACAAACAAGGGTGTTTTGACTTCATGCTGACTTTCTCAAGCTTTGTACTAACAACGAATTGGTTCAAAGTTTTGAACTTCGCAAGCTATTGTCCAGACGGGGATCAACCATTTCAAAAACAGCATGGCCAGATCTTATCATGAGAGTAGGGTCCAATTTGCAACTGATGCATACTTAACAACACAAGTCACAGCCATACAATAAGAAAATTCAATAAAAGAGGTAAAGAAGAAAAATCAGTGCATTTCTAAATACAGGTCGACAAGAAGAGAGTGCAAATAAAAGTTTCAATGAGAATAAACTTCCAATCCCATCTCCCTTCTCCTAATGCCTTCCGAACGTTTTTACACCGAGCGAAGGGAGCATTAAGTGGTTCAGTAAGCAGTTGGGACAGGCAGCGACCATAATCTGCAGATACCAGTTCCACTACGGCATGTGCATCAAACTGTGGCATTCTTTGCGCGGATAGATACATATAAACCTTGATTATTGAGGCTCTGATTGACGGATGTTTTATTTTTCCTTGAAAACATGATTCAAAGCCTTCAAACTCATACCTCTTGAAAGTATACATTTGTGTTAAATTGTCAAAGTTATTATTGTCTGACAATAACAAACGCAATAGAGACGGATCAAAGGAAGTGAAAGTCATCATAGAGTGTGCGACAGTGCTTTTTGTTCTCTACAACCTGCCTTGGTTTTCACTTATAGAAACACAAAATGCATGAATGCTGGGGAGGGAGGGAGTTGAAGAGGGCACATATCAATCAAGCTCGCACTGTTTTATGAACATCCAAGTTTGACTTAAACATAAAAACTAAGCGGACTAAGAAGCATCTGAAAGAAAGTTGCCATAACCTGTAAGAAATCCATCATTTGTTCTTCAATTGTCCCACGCATAGCCAAAGTCTCAACATGAATAGGACGAACAGCACCCATGCGATGAGCACGACTAATCACTTGTTCTTCCATGCTACCAAAAAAATAAATAAAAATACATTCAAATAATCAGGCAGATAATGCATGGAAAAAACGGATATACTCCCATAACTATACTTTAAATCATAGAAAAACCAATGGAGCTGGAATGGTACAACAGCTGCATAAATGACCAAGACTATCGTGCAGAACACAACATCAAGAACCGTGAACTGAAAGGATCAGCCCAGCAATCCTGAATACACATTAGTATCTTTTTTTGTAATTTTTCCCATCTTAATGTCATAAAGTCCATTTAACCAAAATGGTTGATAATTTCCACGTTCTAGGTTCTAAGATAATCTTTTTTTTACCTTTGGGTACTGTTTCCCTAAATGAATTTAAACCATTGCCACTGAATGGAGAAAGTATGATTCAAAACAGTAGACCGAAAATATTGTCTTCCTTTTCATCGAGCACTACTGTGGCAAGAGATTGTCCTCAACGGTATTCTAACCATAGCACCACTGATCTTCCTGTACCATGTTCTTTTTAGACCAGTCATTTTATCAGCATAGCATACCAATACTGCACTCCAAATCTTTTATCACGAATAAAATTTGGCATCGTTAACTTACAAAATAAACCCTCTCTTCCTTTTTCTCCCAGTCTTCACTTCCTTCTCTTATTTGCTCTGAAATTCCCCACTGCTATGGTCTACACCCATTAGAAGTCACTCTCAATTCACCCCTATCGTGATTTTTTTTTATTCTACCCCATTTTAATTTGTACAAATGACGACTTTTTTCGCTTTTCTCAAGTTATCGATTATTCTTATACACATTAAAGGAAACTGCAAAAGACCCACAAGATTGTACTCTATGCAATACTCCAGAATACGGATCCAGAATCAAAGAAACAATCTCTAAGTTAGAAACTGTTCTCACACTTTCTGAAATTCTCTAGGGTAATCAGGGACCACCTTAAAGCAAGGTATAACTTAGTTGCTTAGCTGCTGCTACTGCAAAGCACGATAAATGCACTCCATGAATTAATATAAATTACCTCCTGTCCCAGATTGGTTCCATCAGAAAAACATGTGTAACAAAGCTCAAATCGAGACCTAACGCAGCACTCCCATCCATTAGTAGAGCCGTGCAATTTGGATCATTTTGAAAAATTGTCAAAGATTTCATCTGCAGAAAAGAAAAGTATTAACAAGAACGCAGAAGAAATATTAGCTGATTCAATAAAGTGGAAGTTACCTTGTTACATGAATGCATTGGGCTGTACATTCCAGCAAATCTGATCCCAGCTAAAGTTAACTGAAAAATATTAATTAAAATTATCCTCCATGTGTCAGACCTTATTTTTCAAAATTAAAAATAGCTTTGTCGCAATACTTTACCTGCTGTTCGATGACATGTATGTGCTCAAGAAACTGCGAAAATATAATCACTTTCTCAGGCCTCCTGCTATTGGATTCACGACCAAGCTTACTACTGACAGGGCCTGGCTGTGCTAGGGTCGTATTATTTTTCTTTCTATGGCATAGTGACTCCTCACAATTGCCTTCCTCGTCACTGAGGTAACCAAGTTTCCTATTGGCTTCTCTCAATTCCTTCAATCTTTCCACGAGGTGAGCAACTTTACTGCTTGACGTTGCATGCCAGTCAGGATCCCAGTTATCCTGCATAAGAACCCGCATAGTATCAAATAACAACAGGTCACAAAAGAGATGAGAAATATTTAACTGAAAGCACAGACCTGTTTATAAGAAGGTTGCAACTCTATGAGATCCTTGGGGACTGGCCATTTTGGGTTAGGATTTTCAGGACGAGCTAATAACTCAGGACATTGCATCTCATAGGGATTCCCACATCCAGGAAAGGTACATTTTTCGCTGTTCAGAGCAACACAATCAAGGCATAAAATATGCCTACACGGTGTAATAATAGGTAAACGGCACCAGTCTCCACACCTACAAGAGTTGGATCAGAATGGTTACTGATGAGCTCTGATAACTGGAATATCTATGTATGAGAAATAGCCTACCTTAAACAATTACCACCATTCAATAGGACAGTTTTAATGAACCCGTACTCTTCAGAAAGAGGATCCAGGCCCTTTTGCACTAGTACATCCATTGTTTCTTGTATATCCTCCCCAGCATCAGTTACCTTGATATGGCCAGATACACAGCATGAAAGCCTAACATTCCTGATTGTGTTGCTTCGAAATTTCCATTGCTTTGGGTTAAGAAGAGATTCAACATGAGAGGGATCATTCCAATCAGCCAACAAAATATTGCGCCGAACAGTGGCTACTAGTTCATTGTAACTCCTACCATGCTCCTTGGTGAAATCTAGAAAAGTTGCCTTCTTAATGCAGGGCGGAATAATTTTCAGATCTGTTTTTCTCGCACTAATCATGATCCTCTGCAGCAGTTGTAGTAGACGAGACCTTCCATCCTCCATCTCTGCCTCAAATGGTTTAAGGATCCCAGTGTCCCATGATTCTTGGTTCTGTCCATATGCCTCCTCATGCAGAAATTTCAGCATTGGTTGAAGATGTGCCACTTGACTGTTGGGAGTATTTGGAGTTGGTGTCCCAGTTAATATCCACCGATATGATGCTGTCATTGAGATAGCCATTTGCAACTTGTTTGTTAAACTGAGACTTGAACCAAGTGTATGGCCTTCATCTAAAATCACTCTAAGCCAATGAACTTGCATCAATACACTTCTCCGCCATGCCCCCCATTCTACACTTAACCGGCTAAATGTTGTTATGACAATATCATAGTCCCACGCAAGAGTGTGGGCACAGGGCTTCTTGTGATCAGTCCACACATAAATGCGCAGTTGCCCTGGTCTGACATGCCTTTGAACTTGGGTTTTCCAATGTTCAACTAAATTTGCCGGCACAATGATAAGGGTTGCTCTCGACAAGTAAAATCTGAATAAGTCCATGGGCTTAGTGAGAGCGATTCGAAGAGCCTTTCCATCAAATGCTAAATTCTCAAGTTTCTTTGGGTAATACCACCTAGTTGTACCTCTTTCGATCTTTCTCACAAGACCAAACGCTTGAAAGATTTTATGGTATTCATCTGCATCTCTGCGTGAATGTGTATCTAATACTGGACGTGTTAAACCACTTGTTTCCATCTCCAGACGTTTGCTTTGAGATAGACTAGCTAACCAGTCTAAAGCCTTTCTTGTTTCAGAATGGATCAATGTGCAATGTTCCTTTAGGACGCTCGTGAAAAATGATATATTTTGTTCCTTCCCCTCAGAAGTACCTTTGATGTAAAATCCTGGCAAGTACGTTATTGCCTCTGTATGATCCCAAGACTCCTCTGGAACCGCGCAAGACTTGAATAGGGGGTTGCTGTTCATACTACAGAACCAAGCAGCTGTAGCGTCAGGTATGCTTGTCCCTGGTAATTTTCTCCATTTTCTGCAAGCATCACACTGAACCCAGGTCTCATTTGAATCAATAGACGCTACATTACATTTCCTGGGCTTCTTATTACAGATAAGAAAATTGACATGCTTTATATCAGAATTGATTTTGGGGATAATTGAGTCATACGCTATCCTATCATCCTCAACTTTCTCATCAGTAGCAAAATCTCGATTTCTTCCATATGTATCAAAAAGATTCCTTCTCACACGATTAAAGTTCCTTGTACATCGAAAAACATTTAATTTTTCCAATGGTTTTGGACTCGTACAAGAGGAACTTTCTAACGTAGTCGTAGGAGGTCTTTCAGACACAGGAATTCGGCCAGACCACTCTGATCTTGTACATTTCATAAAAAAATTTGAACTTTCCGATCTTGCATGTTTCAGTGAGGAATATGAACTATCAGGCACTTCTTTTACGGACTTATCACCATGAATTTGCCTCCTTCTTGCATTGGTAGTAAATCTTTTCCATACTGTAAAACTGCCACCGTTGAAATGGTCGGAACTGACTTCGTAATAACCACATCTTTTAACAGGATCATGCATACACCATACAACATCAACTCCATGAGGTGGTTCAGACAAAGTCCCCTGTGTTTTCAGAATAAGAGAAAGTGTAGTGATTGTCTTTCCCAATCCTGGTTCATCACAAAACATCCCCCCATTAAAGTCCTTAACGGTGGGAATCCTACCAGTCACTATTTCCCCAGAAAAAGTATTTATGTACAGATGAAACCCATCCTCGGTTGAGAAATCCATATAGAGAGGGTGTGGCAGAACCACAGAGTTATGCTCACGTTCTAACATCCACTGAATTGCTGCTTTTTGGTGGGGAAAAAGTTTAAGCTTCATGCATGGCATAATTGATACAGCCAATGACCTTAGATGGCAACAAGTGGATGCAACGCTGATAAGGTCTCTTGGAGCTAGGGAACATAGAACATTACCCAAAACATCATCAGCAAGATCCCAAATCCCAGTACCAATAGAAGCATTCTCTGGCTTTATTTTTGTAGGATATAAGTTCTCCTCCTTCACAACACTAGGCAGGGTCTTAAATATTTCATGCAGATCAAATAACTTTTGTCTACCACAATCATTAAGGCTTCTGTGATGAAGATTGCATCCAAGAACACTGCATTCAGAATCATCCCATGCAGATTCAGGATCTTTGAGGATAGGATTCTCAGCAGTTCCAAAAGCTAGCATTGAATTCCTCATTTCCCAGTTACAACTGCAGAAGAGATTCCAGAGCTACGTCAGATGGATACTCAAACAGTTCAACAATTTAGAGAAACTGGGATCAGGAACAAATTAAGCATTTATGTTATTCATGAAAAGAAAAGAGCTCCTAAATCTAACATAAATCCAAGTATCACTCATACCAAATTCTGAGAAATAGAAAAATCAAATCCACATTCTACATATCAATAACATTCTACATAAAATTGTGATAACCCAGTTATCAAATTATCATCTTTGAATGTCTAGCGGCTCTAACTAATGTCAAACGAGTGCAATGAAATAAAGTATTTAAAAAAGGTCAACGCTCCAACCAATTGCTGTATGGCAGTCACAGTAACACGTCAATTGTGAGTCGAAGTAAATAAAGTAACTTGTACGAAAGACACAACCTGAGAGCTGTAAATTTTTCACATGAGAATGAGAATTTGTGCGGGTCCATCATTGATACAAATAGAAAGAGGCAGCTTCAGCGCAATTAAATATTTTGAATTGATGAATTATGTCTTCTGACACCTAAAGATTCAAGCCACATCCTCAGAGTAATGACCTTAATTTGTAAACTTGTATACAAGCCATGCACATACGTAGACCATCTACACATACGCTTGCTAGAGTGGCAGGAAAGGCTCCATCAAGAACCTAGAAAGAAGCCACAACCTTGCAACCCCAGAAAATCAGTAAGGTGTCAGAAGAACCTAGCAGATCGCAGAAATGTGAAATCGAGAAGCCTTTGCGAAGTACAATCCTTCAAACAGGGAACCGTTCATGGACAGCAAAAACTCTCTTTCTAGAGTTTGCAACAGGTTAAGATTCGTGGCCCCATTAGAGTAACACTGCTCGCAAGATCTAAGTACACAGAGTACAACTAGGAACAAATCAAAATACCCTCGCCATTAACATAATCGGAGTATGAGTGACTAATAAGCAAACATAGTGGCGCATTCATGAATAGTTTGCCTCGAACGAATAACTTTTCGGTTCGTGTTATTGCATCAGGAAACCCCATAGCCCAGATCTGGTGATACCAAGCTAAGTCGATACCTTCTTCATGTTGGGCACATATATTGCAATCTCAGTTAGCATTAATCCTTCAATATTGCTTGACAATCCTTCAATGTAGATGTCCACTAGCTGATTGCTTAAACGAGCACAAATATCCGTTGCAATGGTACTACCACATGTATCAGGGTTTTCAAGTGCAATGGCTGGTTATCTATCCCATGTGCAAATCAAGTGCACTACACACGTAACTTACCAAGGTTCTACATCAAATCATGCGTGGTGAGGTCTATGCACTACTTAGTCACATATGTTTGTCTTCTATGATATGCACCAAGCATTATGCAGCCATACTACCGACTCCTCTGCCCATGCCATTTTTACGCTACAGTTCTACATCAAATCATGCGTGGTGAGGTCTATGCACTACATCACATATGTTTGTCTTCTATGATATGCACCAAGCATTATGCAGCCATTACCGACTCCTCTGCCCATGCCATTTTTACGCTACAGTGCATAGTCATTTAATTCCCTTGGTTCTTCCCTGCTTGCCATTGTGGCACTCCCTCCTTGTTACGTTGCAATGTCTGTGTCCATACACCAAGCCCCTTGTTGCCCAGCCAAATCGCGCCATTCCATCTGTCGTATGGAACAAAACTTGGTTGAGCCACGCCAACCAAAATGTGCCAGAAAAAAGGGATATTTATGAATTATTTCATGAAGCTGCACAGCAAACAGGAGGTTTCCAACCATCAACCTGCCTTATATTAGAACAAATGATAGATCTCAATAAGGTAAATGGAATCCCTGAGCTAATTCTTTGGTTCAATGTATTAGCACAAAGACAGTTACCTCAACCTTAATGCTACAGGAACTTGACTATAAGGCAAAACAATACATCATCTGTAATCGGAGATTGTAGAAATTAAAATTGAATGAATTATGTTAAAGTACATCAATGTCGGATAACCTGATAAGAAAAAAATGCGGTTAAACTAGATGAGCAGAGAACTAGTTAACAGGAAGAAACTTATCTATCAGCAAATGGGTTCTTTTTACTTCCAAACCATTGGAATTGAACATCCTTCGACTGAAATCCTAAAATGTTTAGCATGCTGGTTTGGAACAGATCAGGCCTCCAAGATTGCCAGAATCAGCCTATTACACTGAAATGAGAGACTTCTTACTTTCTTCTAATTGCTCTGGCCCAGATGAGAAGTTTCTCAGTTGCAATTGGCCAATGGTAAGCATGGTGGCCTAAATCAGATTTATCAAATCAGCTGGTTCTACTGAACTGAGAGCCTTCTTGATTTCTTACGATCTTGTCTTAGCCTGGAATCAGCCAATCCAAGCCAATCGCCTCATTCCAGGCCAATTCTCCCCCCCCCCCTAAACTGGACAATCCAACTAAATTTGTGTTTCCATAAAATGAGGTTCAAACTCCCAATAAGCTGTCTGAGTATCATGATTGCTCAACCACTTTTAACAACGCCAATGAAGCCTATTATCATGATGGATTGAGGACAAACTGTATTCCACAGGCATTTGGCAGTGTCAGGATCATAGGTGAGGACTCCTGGGTCAACATCTCTACGATCCCACCCTCAACTGGGTGAGATGAAGCGAGTCAAATGAAGTAGGAGTGGGATAGACGGAAGCTCCCAGTTATCACAGGTGATACCAGCTCAACACAGTATTTCCTTTGGAAAAGGGACAAGACGACGAGTCAGAGGAACTCTAATTCATGCATCAGTTAAGAACTCACCCATCAGCTGAGAGTGGTGTGTACAGCGACAGCTGAGTGAGATATGGCAGCTTCCTATGGCCTCTGTGTGCACAGAAGGCATTTGTGCAGCAACGTGCACAACAGTGCATCTGCGATCAGTAGATTGTAATCACCAATGCTCTCAGCAGACGTTGATTTTCATGGATGCTGTCAAAGTGCACAAGTCCCCTCAAGCTCTCACCAATGCCTTTGATACTTGATTCTTAAAAGGGCATTTGTTTATTCAACTTTTTCTTTTTTGAAAGTGGCGGCATCGCCCTGGACTGAGCTAGTTGCACCACCCAGAGCTCCAAAGAAAAATTAGCATGTCAAGGTAAGCATTCACAAGGATAACATGCACCTCAGTTGGGCATGACAGATCACGTACATCTTCACAGATGATGCAAGACGGTCAACAGTAGTGATTTAGGAACATTAGGTCCCGAGGGACTAGAGATCAGACAGTAAGTAAGATCCTAACTTCACAGAAAAAGGATTTCAGCCCATTGAAACAAATTTACTGCCGACATTAAAGGATTAAAATTTCAGGCCAGAGGAGTTCACCTGCAGCAAAGTGTCTCATCTAGCTGCAGACAAAGAACGTCCTGAAGAAAATTCACAGAGCAAGGAATAGAAAAGCTTATTTATTTCCATTCCTAGATCAAAGTTTATGCTGTAGACCTTTACAGCTACTGGAAAAGGTTGGACTACTGAAAAAGACAGCAACATCTTGTTTTCATGAAATAAAAAGATGTTGGAAAAAAAAAAATACTGCCGACATGGTGCATATGCCAGTGAACTTTACTGTAATGTACCTATGACTAGTTCCAAAAATAGTGATGGGATCTAGAGTCCATGGTATGACTTTCCAATTCTCGTTAACTAACAGAAAATGGAGTTCTATTTTCTAACTCGATTACCGTAAAACTAGATCTAGGCTTTGTTCAAAGTGACACCAAGCTTCCTTCTAATATAAAACACGCCACCAGGTGGGTGGAGTGCACTTGCAGTAGAAGAGGGCAAGGTTCTGCGATATTAAAGAGAGTAAAAGCGAGCGCACATGATTTTTCATAATCGATAAATCGTAGAGTTCAGAGACAAGCGAGTAGAAGAAAATTCATGCGAGACTGTGTTCGTACCTCAGGTGCCTGAAAAGGGAAGCTGCCATGGCGCTCGACCGGGGGAATTGCCAACCCGACCATACCACAATCGGCAGGTAGACGTCCACCAGCACCACCGCCCTGGCGCAATCCTCGCCCCGAACGGCAGCTCCTATCACCCTGCATTCAATAGCTATACACTTGTGCGCCGTCAAGGCGTGCAACTGGTGGAGCACGCTCACGCTCCCATTCGCAGATCCGAACCCCCTCTTCCGTCGCGAGGAGGAAGGCGTCGTCGCCGGCGAACCGGCTCCTTTCCGGCGCCTCTTCCTCGAGGATGGAGGGAGGCCACTGCGAGCAACGAGGCTCCTCCCCCTCTGCTTACGGCGGGTCGAGGCTCCTGCATCGTCCTGCTGGGGTTGTGGCGGCGGCAGGGACCCTTGATTCTCTACGTCACCGGAGAGCAAGGGGGAGAGCACGAATCCGTCCTCGGAAAGCAAGACGACTTCGGCGCCGCCGCCGGAGAGAGCACACGACGCCCCCGGCGACGGGAGCCCGAGCGGCACCGCCCCAGGATGCCCCCGCAGGTCGGCCGATCTCACGGAGACGACGACGCGGAGAAAACCGCAGAGCTTGTGCTGCTGGTGGAGGAAGGCGTCCTCCACACCCATAAATTCATTCAGGCCGTGCCTCGAGACAGTAGAACTTGGCTCTACGAGCCAGCTCCCCTCCCCCCTCCGGGAACGAAGAGCCGGCGGAGTTGCGGACGGAGGAGAGCAAGGGAAAGAGTTCTGTTAGAGAGAGAGAGAGAGAGAGAGAGAGAGAGAGATCGTTTTACGAATTGATTTCATCAAAACGAAACTTACCAAAAACTCGGGCCAACCCGTGACTCCGCATCCTCCTCGATACGACTAGAGAGAGAGAGAGAGAGAGAGAGAGAGAGAGAGAGAGAGAGGGGGTACGGGAAACTCTTCTTCATCCCACGGCGACGGCGAAAACAACCACCGGACCCCATCCCCTTCGCCAGCGAGGAAGGCCGCGCAGCGGCAACGGTAAAGAGCACCTCCCTCGACCGCCGCTCTGCGCTTCCCTCCTCCCTCACAGAAATAGGATTAGGGCTGGATGCCGCACACGGCCCGACCCTCATCGCCGTCGCCGCCGGGGCATGAGGAAAAGGCTAGGAGAAGAAGCAGAGGCAAAGAGGCATTGCTCTCGTTTGAGTGTTACAGGGAGCGCACCTCACTCTGGTCATCGGCGGCGCAGATCAGAGAGTGGATGGATACAAGAGCCTGGCTCTCTAACCTGGGAAGTGGGAGGGGGGGTCGCCTCGAAGCTCCTCCACCTTGACCGCAGAGAGCACCTCCACCCCCCGTTCAAGCGGACCTAGCAACCACCACGAAGCACCACTCACGTCGAAGAACACTTGTTACTGTGTGCCAGAGGCCAGCTACTACTAATCTTGTAGTACTCACTGTGATTATCCGCTACATTGGAGTTGCCGCTATCTTCTTCTGAACGGCGAGCAGCAGCAGCAGCCTCCTCCGGTATATCTTCACTTGGCTCCAGGCCATCGCTGTATCCGCCTGCAAGCACTCATGAGCAAATGAATCAACAGTTGATGGGCATGGAAGGACGACATCTTACTGCGGGGCAGAGGAAGGTAATTCTCTTAGACCACTCACTGCGATCATCCGCTACACTGGAGATGCCGCTGTCGTCTTCTGACTTGGCTTCTTTCTCTTGGCACGAACGGCGAGCAGCAGCAGCCTCCTCCGTTCTATCTTCACTTGGCTCCATGGCATCGCCGTATCCGCCTGCAAGCGAATCAACAAGCAAATGAACAAGCATTTGATGGGCATGAACAGATGTCTGGTTTCTTGAAGAACGCTGGTGGCATGCTCGTCGTATATGTCATAAACTGTCTAGCGAGGACTATTGATGGGCATCACTTAGCCTCTGCAGAACCCATCAAGCAGAGCACCCACCAAAGACCAAAGAAGATGAGACAACCTGGAAAACAAGCTCTGACAGTTGTTGAATCAAATTTGCATATTTCAATGGAATCAATGATCGGAAGTGTAATCATCTCTCAGCTGTCAGCTGTTGGTCAGATGCAGGCTGAGCCTCATGGGAAAGAGAGCCCATCTTGAGCGAGGATGAAAAGGAGATTGCCAGAGGACAACCCATCTTGGCACAGGGAAAGGAGAATTTCCTGTGCCAGTCAATACACACGATATTGAATCTATACACGGCTGTTTAGAAGCCAAGTGCCCACCTGAATCCGTCTTTTCTTTAGAGGTTAAATGAAAATTATGATACATCTATCTATATGATGTTTGCGTCATTTTTTTATCAAATATGTTTACTTCAGTGATACTGATGAAGAACTCACGCGCACAAAGATTCAAAATAGAAACGAATCTGTTTGCGAAGCAGTATCCAACCCTTTCCTTCCATTTATGTAATAGTTTTCAATGTTGGAAGCATAGATCCAGATATCCTCTGATTAACAGAAAAACGTGATTGCTGCTTAAAAAAGATTAAAAAATCAGTGCACAATCCTTTAAAAGTTGCATATTCATCGTCTATATTTTGTTCGCTGAAGAGCAGTATGATGTCACTAAATATTTGTTTCAAATTCATCATTGTAAGACATTGAGCTCAAAGATAAATAAAAGAATAACTGATGCAATACATAAGTTGCAGTACCTTTAATAATCGATTTATGCCTTAGATCCTATATGTTGTGCACTTTAGGGTGCCCGAGAAAAACTATACAGTTATGTAACTCAAAAGACAATACGAGAACCACAGTTCTATCCAAAAAAGGCAGCATAAACCTGCCAGCAAAGAAATTGAACAAATGCCTTACCATCAGCATCATTGGATTCATCATCAGTGCGTTCCTTGGAGAAAACCAAGCCCTTGATACCATCAATTTGCTGCTGGTATACTAGTGCATTTTGGGTAGTCTTCTCCTGTTCTTTTCTATTAATATGAACCTGATTTAGCTTTTGCTCAAATTCTTCTATGCAGGACTTGAGCTCTACCTTTGCAAATTTCTTCCCCTGATATGAGGTTACATACAGGAAAACTATTAATTATTGTTCCCAGGAAGTAAAATTGAAAAAATCGTACTGAAAAAATAAAGATATTTACGACCTTGCTGATTATGTTCCTGAAATACTCTATCACAGAATCCTCACATAAAGCATGTTCATAGGTTTTCAAAGACTCCATGAGCTTCTTAAACCCCCTTTCAGTAAATGTCAGCTGAGAAAGACAATATGCAATATACTCCCACTGTCGGACATCTGTATCAGAAAAGTGAAAAAAAACTATTGTTTCAGCGAAAGAAATTCATCTAGAAGGAGCTAAATACCATAGTATATAGTTCAACATGTACTGAAATTGCCGCAGATAAGCAACTGAGATTTTTTGTCACTGCATCCGTAAACAAGATCTTGGAAACGACAACTTCTAAATGACAATCAAATTAAATGCTCTGAAACACTAGAATAAAGCGTGAATGAAAATATGATCAAAATGTGTGCATATTTGGAAGGTAGTTGCCACCAACCATGGGCACATCAAACTTCCCAGATGACACTCCCACCTAAAATATAGTATTATATTTGAAATGACTAAGAACTATTGAGAGGAGGAAAAGATGAATGATTTTATCTTGAAAATTAGATTTCCTAACTTCGTGTCCATAGCAAGACAATATTTGAACAAAAAATTACGGCAGTGTGGATCAGACAAGGACTCGTGCAAAACTCACGTGATAGATTTACCACGTGACCAAAGTAGATAAACAGAAGAAATCTTTTACATGATAAAGTATACCATTAACTCCACTGAAACGGTTGCATAGCTTCTCAATAAGAGCTTCCATTTGCTTGTCCTGAACGTAACTCAAATTTTAGATAGCAGGAAACCACGAGATAATAACTCCCACCCGCTCAGTAGATGTGCTACCATTTTACCTTTTTTATGGAGTTTATTAAAAACTGCATGATGCTTCGAAACTTCTCAGCTTTCAGATTTTCCCTTGATAATCTTCCAAGAATATCCGGAAGTAAATTATAGATTGGATTGCTCCCTGAAAATGAAAAGTACACCAGCAGTATGAGCAACAGGTAGAAAAGTAGTACCGAGACCAAAAATAAGAGTACCTTTCTTTGACAACTGATGGAAGAAAAGTTTGCAAAGACTTGAAATCCTTTCATTTTCATCTTCTAACTTCATAGCCATCTCATTTATATACCCTTTCACCTGTCACAAATGTCGCAGCAAATTCAGTACGTAAATCACATACGGAGAAGATTAGATGGTAAAGCATAATATCTACCAGACCTTCATCATGTCGTTTAATATGAGATGAGAAAGCACCAGAACTGCATTTTTCCTGACAGAATCTGAAGGATCTCGAAGTCTAGCATACATGTTTTCCGTCCATGGCTCCAGAAGATTGGGAAAGCGAGCTGCAAGGTCCCCAAGAGCCACGGTGCAATTGGAACGGACTGTTTCGGATGGGGCACCCTCAACGACGGTGAACAGTAACTGAAGATTTGACTCACTGAAACCTCAATAAATTATGGTTTGTTAATGGTTATACATTGATAGAGAGCCTATTTGACCAAGAAAAAACAGCAGGCACTTACCAAAAGTCGGCATCAATAATCATTAACCTGCATAAAGCAAGCATTGCCGAAGCCTGTAGTTGGGGATACTAGAAAACGCAAGACAGAGGGGTAAGTCCTAGAGTCACGTTGGATGAAAATAATCAAAATACCACAGCAGGGTGAAGCACAAGGTAGCAAAGGAAAAAATTATTAAGAATATTTACCTTATGCATTAAATTATAATTCCTGCAAAGTTTTGAAATAAAAGGTCCGCAGTTCCCGATTAGGTTCTTTTCATGATGAGCACCTGAGATGATTTCTTTCTCGGCTCTTTCAGAAAGTCCATCAATCATCACATCTTGAGAAGAAGCAAGACCCAATTCAGCATTTATCCCACCCTGTGTAGCAGAACATAAATGAGGAAATACCATTTTTATGTCGTGTAAAAAAAGAATACAGTTGCAAGGAATATAATAATATGACATCATCAAATAACATGAAAATGAGATCATACAATGTATGGAAAACTACAGAAAAGAATACGTTTTATTCAATTTTATAAACAATGCGTTTATAAAAAACATTACTTCAAAAATTCGTTGGTGACTTGGAAGCAATGTAACGTCAAAATTTTGTCAATCAATAAACTGTAAAGACGAAAACTTATTCCAACTGTGGCAAGCAGTGTAGTCCAATGACACAAACGTCTGAAGGAAGCCAACCATTCACTGTGATTACATAAATACTGGCTTACGCACTTCAAAGCTAGAGAAAAAAAAAACGAATATATTAGGGAATATTCCATTAAATTATCATTAGGATACTGTATTTTTTAGGTTCCTATGAGTATCATAAAACACAAAGGGGACGTGCGGTACAAGGAAATAAATCACTTTACAACAAAATAAAAGCAAATATAGATGGCAACAAAGCACCATAAAAGAGATGTTACGACTTTGGTATTTGCCTCTGTAGATGCTCCATTGTCGCCTTCAATAGACTCGCTTTTCATTATTTTTTCTCTGTCCGCTTTCTGCTTTTGGATTTTTCGAATACAAGATTCAATGTAAAGCAATTGATTCAGTGCTACATGACTTATGATGAATAGACATCTGCTTAGCTTTGACGCCGAGACATTATAAAATAACTTGGAATCACCATGATCAGAATTATCAGACCCCATATTACTTTCATGACAACAGAACAGTGAACTGAGGGATGATTTCACCAAATCTGCAGCAAACATTTCAGGTGCTGGGTGAATATAGTACAGAACACTTATAGCTTTATCAGCAGCAGCATACCAAATGTTTTCTGGAAGCACAAAACCAGTAATTAAACCCTGTAGAATACCAAAGATTCTGCTACTGCTGCTATTTGTCAATTTCTCCTTGTCTTCCCTAGACAATCTTTCAAGTGCCACACAAGCTGTTCTCGCAAGTAAAGGTTCCTCCTTTGCCCAACGCCCAAAACCAATGTCGATGACATCCTGCAAATGAGAACTTAGAATCCCAGGAGATGATTTCGCAGCCATGCAGAGAAGTAAAAGAGCACCACGGCATTGCACAGCTGTCACCCCATTGATGTTAAAGCTGAAGATGTCCCATAAAGCTGATACCTGAAGGACAAAAAACATTCACAGATTATCATAGAGGCGACACTCATGTGGGCATTTGGTGATTTGTTTAACTCCACCATCAGCGAAATCGTACGTGAAAATAAATAAATAAATCCGTGTACCTCAAAAAATTGACCAGATGTTGGCATGATGTCAAAGAAAAATATGTTCAGAATTATGAATAATCAGATCACATGGTGAAGTTAAATAGTTTATCAAGCAGTCGGGACAGTAAAAAAATTAAGTCACTCCCTGAAACAAGCAATTCGCTCACCATGAAATTAAAAGGAAACAGACTATATTTGTAGTTTCACATGGGCTCATAGTACACTACATGCCAAGGATAAGTTACATAAGTTCCATATGTTAGACGGAAAATCCCCTGACATATCTGATCCTTTCGATTCTACATGTCTATAGATTTTTTTCTTTTTTTTTCCATCATCAGATCGCAAACCATGCTTTCGTTATTGGACAGAAGCAAAAAAGAATCTTTTGAAAAACATTATTCCTCGCAGAAGCTCTCATCAAATACAAAGAAATACTATCATCGTCTCCAAACAAGGGAAAGATATGAATGTTAGACTAATGATAATTTATCTCCAAACAAGGGATACATATCCAATCCCCTGGACTCTTCATGTCTTTAGATTTTTTTTCTTTTTTCCCCATCAACAGATCACAAACCTTGCTTTCTCCATGTGACAGTAAAACAATAGAATATTTTGAAAGACATTATTCCTCATTGAAGCTTTCACTAAATACAAAGAAACATTCTCATCGTCTTCAAACAAGGGATACATATTGGCTAATGATATTGATAATTTCTTTATTCAGGTTAGTGTAAATGAAAATACTGCGGAAGACAATGATAGTGCTCCTTCATTTAATTCACTAGAATATGCTTTCTAGTATGTCTTGATGATAGGAGTGAAAATTTTATTATTATGGTAATAAAAAAATGTGTAAAGTAAATGTTCTCAGCATTCAAGCAAGTAAAAAAAATCTTGAGCATTCAAGATAAAAAAATAGTTATATAGCCGTTTCATTGTTCTTGGGCCGGAGATAGATCCATCTGATTTATTTAAAAACATTTAGGAGGAAGAAAGTATCCAGATTTGAGCTCCAAAATAATATTGACCCGAATCGGTCTAGTTTCGCCTGTGGACCTCACAGTAGACGATTCACAAGTGGACTGGGGGAGAGGAGAGAGAGAGAGAGAGAGAGAGAGAGAGCACTCTGAATGCTTTACACACTTTAAAAGTTAATTTCGCAGAATTTGATCACAAAGATGAAGAGTTATAGAAGCTAAGTAATGACAACTAACATGCTGAAGAGGAAGATATTTGTATTGAAAGCGTGATAAACCCAAATAAAGAAGAAGAGAATCAGAGAATGTACAATCTGTTCAGAACAAAAATGTTTCTTCTGGCAGAAGGCATTCAATGTAATTCTTTCCGTATGAGCAGCAGAGAAAATAACTTTTCGAGAACAGTTTTCAAAAACTAATATGAGACAGATATTTCATCATAGCCTGGGGAATATGCAAAAATCCTAAATTGGAAGCCATGATGAGGAATGGGGCACTACGATACTATTAGTCATGCTCGCTCATAAAAGTTCAATAAATAGAACTTTAGAAAAACCCCATGTAAAGAAGTATTTTACTTAAAATCACAGAATATCCTAGCCAAAATCTACTAACGAATGATCCAACGTAAATGATGAAGGCGGCCATTGGCATCTGCACAGCAATTATGTACACGGAATTGAAGAGGGCGATTCAGCTGTAGTAAATTTGAATTAAATAAAGAAGAGGCCGTAACTAAATTACAGGTAAAGAACCTCATAAATAGCCAGAGGGGCTAGATGAGGCTATGCAGCGTTTTAAATAGGTGGCGTCTAAAGCAGGAAATCAGTGTATTCTAGTAAAATGGTGGCTGGGAAAGCTTGCTACCAAGAGGTGGAGCTTGAAGTGACAGCATGCATTACGTGCTGCCCAAATCCTCCGCCAACCTCCCACACAATCCAACACAAATTCCCAATAACTTGGGCCAGCAATGATCTTTTCATCCATGACCCGACACGTAGAATTTTCCTTGCAATTTCTCAAGTGTTAGAAATATTTTAATCATTTTTACTGGGATTAAACTTTCACAACCGCCTGAGTTGAACTGAACCAACGAGAAATGCTCAAATGGAAACTTCCTGTAAAGAAGATAGATCTGAATACCGTGCTCATAGATATTTCTCCTTTAGACACAAGAGAACTAATAATGAACTCCAAAGCCGCGAGATCTCCAATATTAGAGTCTATTGCAAGATTCAAAAGATTAAGAGCCGTTTCTGATGGGCTTTTCCGTAGATAAATCGTGATAAAAGCATTTTCCACGGCTTCATATATAGACTTCTCCTGCGAAAAAACCTGTAGATGTATAAAATTAATGCACTGACGGGTAATAGGATACATAGTCCCCGTAAACTATAACCAGTAAAGATGAGAGTATGAAACAGTTCGTAAGCATTTACCAAGGGCAACATCTTGCGCAGGCATGCTTCGGATCCATCAATTTGGAATTGCTTGCACCTCATTAGCAAAAGGATTGTATTATCTACATCAGTTACAGAAGCTGAAGCCAAAAGTTGGATCAGGGTGTTCATTGTAGAACTAATGCACCTTGAAAAGAGCAAACCCGCCTCAAGAGATGCAACCAACGCCCTCGTCTGTTCCAAATCACCAACAGGCATTGATGTATCTCCCTTTTCTCCTTGTACGGAAAAAGCTGTAATCTTATCATTCAAATTATCACGCTGCTCATCATCCAGACTCTCTTTTTGAATAGTGTTACCATCTATAACACTCTGAGAAAGGCCACTAGACTCCATCACACATAATATATCCTTGTACTTCTGCAACGTTGCCTCAAAAGCTGCAATACGAAGCTGTGGACCGAATGGGTTATGTTGCAACATTGTAATAAGCAAATTCAATGCAGATTTCCTGACAATTGCGCTCTTGTCCTCCAACCTCCCAGAAGCTACAGATGCAACTTCGTTCCACAGACCAATCGATACAGCATGTTCTTCACATAGATCGGCCCAAACCTGAAGGGCCCGGCTTCTTGTATAGGCCGAGACATCCCTACACCTTTCGAGGAGTATATTCAACATAGCCTGCTTCCCACGTAGTCGCAGAGACTTGGAGCTCACATCTCCATCATTGTCCTTAAATGCCCTCGTGACTAACTTTCCCAAGACCCCAAGCAGAGCATTTCTTATCTTGTAAGACTCTCCTCCAAAGTGAGGAATTAAGATGCCAATGTTTGTGGACATTATCTTAGGAGATTGGTCAGCCAACTCCACAAGAAACCTTCCTATGTTCTCAGATCCTGTAGCATCCCTGACATAGTCCTTCGGATCTGTTAGTCCAATCTCCCTAATGAGGGCGACCGCCAGACTCCCATCCCCGTACTTCTTCTCGGCAGAAGCCACTGCACTGACTAATGGTGACACGGAGAAGTCAAACCTGTATATTAGGTTCAATACCGATGCACACGACTCTGCAATCCGGTGGTACTTGGTAGAAATAGAGCCAGTTATGCGGCAGAGGCCATCCCTTGTGTCATCGTCTTTCAGAAAGACAGAATTCTCAAACATTAGGAACGCAGACCTATATTATATGCGAAGGGCTTTATCAAGATGAAGAACAGTTGGTGGAGAAAAAGAGGTAAAAAAAAAAACGTCACGAGTAGCTCACTTGGACACGAATGACAGGTACTTCTCATCAGGATCAATGGACCCAAAGAGCACCTGGAGGTTGATGTCCAACGAGTTCGCAATAGCATTCACCACGCGACCCCGCTGGGACCCCAGGTTCCACGCTGAGGCAGCGGCGTTCTTCCTCCGCCCTTGCGCTCCCAACTAGACGCATAAAGAACGGCGAATAAACATAAAATATGGAGAACAGAAGTTTCACCCACTAGAGCCGAGAAAGAAGTGACAAAAGGAAATCAAATAAAACCCTGACCTTAAAAATGCCCCCACCTCCGGCGTTCCCGTGTTCCTGAGCGGAGGATTCTGATTCCTCGGAGAGGATGATCGTGAAGAGGAAGAACGTGTAGATCATGAGGGCATTGCGGTGGGAAGCAATGCGCTCGGCTGGGGATGAGGGGCCACATCCATATACGCCATTAGAAACAGGAGACTGAGAGGAGAGAGGGGAGGTCGAGCCCACTGCAGGCCGCGGAGATGAGGTGCAGGAGCGAGAAAGGGAACCAATGCTGGGGAGGAGCACAGATAGATTGGAACGGAGAGTGTCGACTAGGAGGCTTTTGCAGCCCGGAGGGAGCCGGGCGAAGCCCTTGACGACGGAGTATAGACGGTCGAACACTCCCTGCTCCTCCACGCAGAAGATCTCTTTGTCCGACAGGTCGAAGGCCAGACCTGCACAGCAAATACACATCAATCACACGCAGACACACAATACAGAACGAGAGGGAAGGAGAGAATGGCTTCGCCGTGTGGAGCCGCACCTTTGACAAATTCTTCGAGATCTGCCGCGCGCAGAGAAGAAAGATCCGTCCCAGTTGCAACGCAGAGCCGGCGCTCGCCGCCGTCGGGCTCCTCTTCCAGGTCGTGGAGGGAAGAGGGAAAGACGAAGGGCGGCGGGGACGCCATTGCAGAGGACCCGGGGGTTCCTCCTGCGACTGCGAACGAGTGACAACAGCCGCAGTCGGTCCGACTTTTCGAAGAGACGGACTAAATGATTTGAGCGGGAAGATTCGAATTCCCCCACCCACCCACAACCAGTTGACCCAAAAAAGAAAAAGCTCTTTCCCTTCTTACCAAATGCCCATCGTTGACTTTAGGAGCATCTGCTCGTCAATAGTCAACTTGCAAGCGTTGACCCATGGAGGCTCTTGCCTTTGGTCTCAGAAGCTTGATGCTCTGTGTAATTATTTGATGCGAATTTAATTATTAAGATAATTATTTACTCAGATGCACGCTAATAAAAATTATGAGATAGTTAAATAAATAACGCGTAATTACCATCCGAAAATATTATTTTTTTACAAACGACGATACAAACCGAGTCATTAAAACGGATTATTTCCACAACGGGTAATAAAAATACGATAATTTTTTCCTCATTATTCGTAGTATTATTATTATTATTATTGCATGTGAGTGGGAAAATACATAAGCTTACAACCTGCATCTCAAGGAAACAGATCGAAAAGATGCACGTGTCACCCTACCCTTTAGAGAGAGAGAGAGAGCATGTAAGATACAACAAAGGCCTTTCCATTCATGTATTAACGTGTTGTGACAAGAGGGAAGAGAAACTTGCCCCGAAAACATCAGAAATACATGAGCAGGACAGACATGGACGCCAATGGAAGGCAACCTTCTCTACAAGCAGAAAATGGGGACAGAGAGAGAAAGAGAGAGAGAGAGAGAGAGAGAGAGAGAGAGAGAACCCATCAGTGCTCCTTCCATATCCTCCCAGTCACCCTCAGCTTCAGCTCCTTTCTGTCACCGCCGGAGAAGAAGACGGCCATGTTCCGGTGGATCACGAGGCCGTCGTGGCTGTCCCTCACCTTCCTGTGGCTGTCTCTTATGCTCCTCGGCACACCCTGCCAGACCATCTTCCTCCCGTTCGCCCCCACCTCGAGGCTGTAGCAGTAGTTCTTCGCCTCCGCATCATCTCCCATGAATCGCAGGAACGCAATGTACACGGGGGCCATCCCCAGCTGGAACGCCTCAAAGTGCAGGCAGAAGAACTGTCCGAAGCAGCTGAAAACCTGCACCAATTCCTGCAAATATCATCCTCAACCCACCAAAACAGGTCTCCTACTCGAACCAGGAAGCACAGATTTATGTGATCAATCCAAATGACTACGAAGAAGAAGCTCCTGCCTCTGCACCACCATTATTTACATGCGAAAAAAAAAAAAACCCGAACGAAACTATATATACAACCATTATTTACAGCTTTTTCGGTCAATCTTTCATACCGTCAACATCCAGGTGGCATTCTCGACCTCGTGGGGGTTTGACTTGACATAGCGGTGGTTAAAGGTGCTCCCACAGTGCATGTCAACCTTGTGGTCGTTCTTCAGGTGAGCCACCAGAAAGGGAATGTCGCCGACGACAGCGCAGTCGGAGCCGGCATACGGGCAGCTGTATGGTCTGAAGGAGCACTGTGATTCGTGCTTCAGCTTGCAATAATAAGGGTAGATTCCCATGCACCCAAGGCTCTGGTATCTGCATGGAAGCTCGAGAGACGCAGCGACCTTCTCCAAAGCAAGACAGCGGATATTGCCGAGGTCATGTCTGCAGGTTGGACACTTGTTGAGCACACGAGTCTTACATGCAGAGCACAGAGTGTGGCCGTTTGAGCACTGAAATGATAAATAACCAATCAATACTGTACATAAAGGGAAAGCATTCAATAGCAAAAATTACCATAAGAGAACAAGCTGAAGTCAACAGCAATCCTCATTGACTTGAGAGACCCATCCATTACCATAATCATCTCAGAAATTGTCCAAGTAACACTTCTCTAGCAGGGTTCATTGTTTTTTTTTAACCTTAATTATCGCTTTATTAAATCAATTTATAATTAAACAATGGAAAGGCGCATGCCATAAAATTAATTAGCATCATAGTGAATAAATACATATGGAAAGTCAATATATAATTCAAGGGGCAATGCAACTCTCACATACTTTACATTGCGAATACACAATCAGAGGGGGGGTTACCTAGGTGGTAATACTAAGGACGATCTTTAATGAAAATTAATAATCTTTGCCTCTTCACAATGTACAACAAGTGGAGAGAGAACCTATAAAATTGCTCCTAACATGACAATAATTCCAAATATAATTTTCTTAAAACACAGAAAACAGTGGTATTAAGTATAGTAGCCAAATATAGATAGAGAAACAGATGTGCCCAGCTCCATAGGCTAGGGCTAGAAGATGAGGATGGACCCAAGCATTTCAAACAATGGGTTATGGAATATATCACAACTTAGGAGTAACCAGACAGAGAATTGGGTTTACCATGGTCCATAAATATATATTTCCAAAATGGCACCGCGGAAAATAAATTATGTGAATATATTCATAAGATTTAAATGAGATGATCATATTGAAATATGGAAGGCTTAAGCTAGAGGAGAAGCGTCAAAAGATTTGAGATCAGCCTGACCTCATGGAAAGGTTACTCGAATGTCATCACTTAATAAGCTTATGAAACGTAAGAAACAAAAAATTCAGTAATGTGCCATAAAGAAAATCCGACCTGCAGAAGAAGAAAAAAATGCACAAGGAAAACCAAAAAAAAGAGAATAATAAAAGAAATAACATGAACAAGGCAAACCTGATAGATAGGAGGGTACATAGCATTCATGCACACGGGGCATCCCAAAAGCTCATGAACACTGTTAGCAATAGATAACTGAGATTTTGGTGAACACTGAATAGAATCATTGACATACTCGTTGGTATCCGTCATGTCTTCATTCTTGGTGATATCGATGACTTCAGGGTTTATGTGCATATCATTGAAGAATACATTACTAGATGCCATGCCCAGTAGAGAAATCAAAGAGGGGCTGTTTGCCAAACACTAAATTAGTTCATGGGCAAAAACCTAGATGACTAAAAAACAAACTATTGACGCTATAAAATTTTGGAACACATTAAAAGCTCATGCATTCGAAGTATAAAACGTCATAAGCATCTTGAAAATATCTCAACACAGAATTAGAGTGGTCGTCAGAACAATAAGCTTTATTTTCAACATAACTAGAATCTGATTGAATAAACTATGCATATAGGCGTAAATACATATTCAGGGTATTATTATACTCGAAAAGAAATTAAATAGTAACCAATGAGTAATTCTAGACCTTATCCAATTACACCTCACAGCATGGGAATCAAGGGAACTGAGAAAAAGAACGTAATCTGAAATTAACACAAACGGATCATTAAAATTTATTTCTTGTATTTTTACAAATCATTACTAGAAACCATCTGATGAATACCTCAAAATGTCCCACAATTCATGCTTTAACAACAGTTATGAATGGTAACGGAAACATCATACCAATAACAATTCATTGTCTCTCTGCCTTTATTTTGAATTGGTTGCAATAGTTCCTTTGGGAACTTCTTGGACAAGATCTGCCTCCTTTAATCGCAACAATCTTGAATACATTGACGATTGCAACAATGTACCAAACTAAATGCAACTTGCGGCGAGACAACAGCATTCAGATCATTTTTTTCTCGACGATATAATGATGTACTACTATAGATGCTAGTTTCGTGTAAGATCCTCCAACAATAATTAACATATAGTCCCTTTTTCTAAGCCACACACGGAGAATTTACTCAAAACATTGAAGTGAATACCAGGAACTGCTGCAGAAAGGTACAAACTCAAAAGACAATCAGTAGTACATTCCTTAAGAGGCCTCGTTTACCCTCTTTTTCACGCTCTCAGTTCGTCAAAGCAAAAAGCCCTGACAACTGAACGGAAAGAACTCACTTGTAACTCTCTCCCCCCACATCCCCCAAGAAACCGGCTTCACTTGAAGATTCAAAAAGGGTAGAAAAAATAGAGAAAATAATAGACAAACAAGATACATTTACCGCCTCACAACTTCCACAAGAGGACGACATAGGAAGAACAGGAGTCTCACCAGGTCCCTTCCACCCCCTCCCCCCTCCGGCGACCCGTGCGGCGAAACCCTCGACCCTCGAATGGGGGGGAACGGAGAGCACAGGGGCGGGGTGGGGGTTGTGAAAGGAGAGTAAAAGGGGGGGGGGGGGGACTGGACGGCTCCGGTTGAGTGGGCTGGGCGTGGCGACAAGGTGCTGTGAGGACGAAATGCAGGAATTCGAAATAAAGCGGCGAGTTTTTTATTTCTTCCTCTCTCAGTACGTACCTTTCACCCCCGGAGAAGGACGAAGGCCAGGCGGTCTGATGACCTTATGGAACCGTTTTGTAAAACTACGACCCCACTCGAAGCCATTGCTACTCCGAGACGAACTCGGAAAGAAGAGGAGGATGCGCGTTAACCTTGGAAACGTTCTCCGCCCTTTGCCGACGTCTAGAATAACGATTCTCATTGGTAAGCGTTCTCTATATGCGTACTGATTCGTTCTGGATAGCAAAATTCCATTACTTCTCCACATCTTCCCCTCATCAAATTTACATGAATGATTTTATATATGCATGATTTTCTTAATTTTTATATAAAAATATATTGTGGTCGTGATTTGATGCTTATATCTGAATGTTCACCAACTAGTTGTCTATTGGTTAGTATATGAGATGAGTTGACTAACATGGTTGACTTGTTCTGATGAAATTGACTTCTTGAGATTCTTCCAAAAGTTGAAATGAAAATATAGTCTCATACATATGTTAAGAACAAAATGACATGAAAATGGCAATTAACAATTTTACATTGTTATGCATGCATAACTTATTTCTACTTATCTCTGCCTAAAATGTTATATTGGGTTGATTTTTTTGTAATTTTCTCTGTTCTTAAACCTATAGTTTATGACATAAACTAATGGAGACATGAATAAAATTTGCACCATGATTCCATTATCATTGAAATCAACTACTCATTTTCACTACTATCATCATCATCATTGAATGATGATAAAACCCATTCGACAGAGCATCTATCTCTTCCCATTCCTCCCATCAATAAAAATATGATCAAAGAGGCTTCACACAGTTCACTAAAACATTGTCATAAATAAAAATTATCAAAAAAAAAATGATAACATGTTAGTTTAATGTGCAAAGGGAGTAAACTTAAACTAAATTGGAAAGACATGGTTATGCTTTAACAATAAATGTTCATATTCTGCTCTTTTCATTGAGGGAAATGGTGGGGTTATCCCACTCAACATATGTGAACAAATTTTGTATATAATGATATACAACAAAATAAAAATGACTCATGAATAGATTAAGTGACTTTTTTAACCATTTGCTCATTGAATAATCTCTCTCTCTCTCTCTCTCTCTCTCTCTCTCTCTCTATCCCTCCCTCCCCGTAAGATACATACGAATAGGCATAGAATGTCGTCTCGCACAAAATCACAGCCTGATCGTGATGTCGATGCATTGACGTTAGTTGTACGTCAGTTGAAAAAAATGTTTGACTTGCTATTCCGAAGTTTTCAGCCGACCATATTAACTGACGCATACGCCGCCGCGAGGGCTTTTACAACTCGAGCCGCCGTAATTGTGCACGTTGTCAGCTGCCATCCACATAGTTGGTCGATGTGCTTGACGGCGACGGCCGTGTCGGCGGCGGAGACTGTCTCTTCCTCGTCATGCTGCCGAAGGAAAGCAGCGGCTTCCTACCGTCTTCGGAGAATTCGTTTTCTTCTGCACACGCAGTGTCCAACTGCTAGAGTTGGAGTTGACCATTTTTAAAAAATTATTCCACCATCCAATGTTTGACCTTACAGTTGCTTTCTCCATTCATCTTCAACATCAAATCGATGCGTATGAATGCATATTTAACGATTTATTTGGGCCCACCTTGGTTCTTCCGGTGATCTCTCTCTCTCTACCAATCTACATCTCCCCATTAACTCCACGTGCGTAAATACCTGAATTACGAACTTCTTTCCCTCTCTCTCTCTCTCTCTCTCTATCTCTCTCCTCATTAAACCCACGTGCGTAAATCCCTGAATTATAGGCCTCTCTCTTCTTCTCTCTCCCATCCCCATTCTTCTTCTTTCCTTTTTCCTCCCATCATGATCATGAAGTCAACATGCATGAATTATTGGGATTAACGTATTTTTTTGGGCTCTCTCTCTCTACTCATTAATCCACCTTAATACATTTTAATCCCCTCAAAGGTGCATACATCAGTGCTTTCATATCCCCGGTGACTTACGCTGGACATGGTGGATATGGTCGGGCCTTCAACTAAAATCCGAAGAAATCATCCAACGTAATTGAATCCAGGAAAGGCTACCGGTCAGCGGTCTTTTGTACGCATCTTCCATGTCGGCCGTAGTGCAGTTCGGCGCCGTCCTGTCTTATCCAAATCCATCTCCATGCTTTAAACACATGGCAGCTTCTCCTCGGGACACGTGCCGTCCGCCGCTGCCTGCGGTCAACGCGGAAACAGCCTCACGAGTTAATCACAACCGATCTCTGTCTGTCTCTCTCTCTCACTCTATCTCTCTCGCCAACGCGATGACCTCAAGACTGCGTGGTTAACGCGTGTTTATGCTGGACGTGAGGATTTCACGTTGGCCCCCCATCGTCTCTCGTTAAATAGCCCCCCCGCCCACCCCCAGAGTCCTTCGTTGTCGTCTCTCCCCTTCTCTCTCTCTCTCTCTCTCTCGTGGTATCATCTCTCCTCCCACCGTCCCCAAGCTCTCGCTCGTCTCGTCGAAAAGTCAACGCCATGGGGAACGTAGTGTCCCCCTGCCTCCTCCCCAACCGACGAGGCACCGTGAAGTTGGTCTTCTGGGGCGGGGCCGTGAGGGTGCTGCCGAAGAGCCAGCCCGCAGACGAGCTCCTCTTCGAGTATCCCGACCACGTCATCTGCCAAGCCGACTCCTTCTTCATCGGCCGCCCCGTGCCGGCGCTCGGCCTCCACGACGAGCTCATCGCCGGCAAAACCTACTTCGTCGTCCCCATCGATCGCCTCCCGCCGCGGGTTCTCACGGCGGCGTCCCTCTCGGCGCTCTCGGCGGCGCCCAAAGGCTCCGGCATGCCCTTCGGAGAAAGCCCCTTCGAGTATATGAAGGACGCCCACGAGAGGACGATCATCAGAGTCAACCCGGAATTCATCGCAAGGATCATGTCGGAAGGGAGCGGCGGCGGCGGCGGTGGCGGCGGAGACAGCGGCGGAGGAGGCAACAGCAGTCCTCTCTGCACCACACCGGAGTTGCAGAAGCATTACGCCCAGCTTGTTGGACCGAGGGAGCAGCAGTGGTCGCCCAAGCTGGAGACCATCTCCGAGCGCAGGGCCAGGCTATCGCCCAGTAGGATCCTAGGGTTTGACATAGGAAGATGACGACCCATCATCTCTCCTCCCCCTCCTCCTCGATTCATTAGAGAACAGCGATTCTTCTCCATGAACAAAGGATGATTCTAACGGAGTCTCCTGTCCGAGTCGATCACACAATCTCTATAGAACGCAACAACAACTAGAACTTGGAAGCCCCCCGGGCAAAGAAGCCGGGGGTTTCTTCTCTGTGATGATGTTCATCAAATGATCAAGGGAATTCACCACGGTTTCCGGAAAAAAAGATTTATTTTCTTTAGTTACTTCAAGGGGAATTCACCCACCAATATCGTCGTTCAAAGAAACGCAGGGCCAGGCTACCGCCCAGCAAAGGAGATGAGGGTCTCTTCTCTGTGATGATGTTCGTCAAATGATCAAGGGATTTCACCACGGTTTCCGGGAAAAAGATATATTTTCTTTAGATACTTCAGGGGGAATTCACCCACCAATATCAACGGGTTCAACCAAACGCAGGGCCAGACTATCTCGCCCAGAAAGATCCTAGGGTTTGACACAGGTCTTCTCCTCCTCCTCCGTTCCTCAGAGAACGACGATTCTTCTCCCTGACCATGGATGGGTCCCCCCTGCACACGGCGGGGATGATTCTAACTGAGTTCCCTTATCGACTCTCTCCCACAATCTCGGTAGAATGCAATAACAACACGAACTTGGAAGCCTTCCGGGCGAAGAAGCCGGGGGATTCTTCCTTGTGCTAATGTCTGTTCAGAAGGCCATGAGATTTCGTCACGGTTTCCCCAAAAAATATTTCTTTTTTAGCTACTTCTGAGGAAATTTACCCACCGATATCAGCGTTCAACCAAACGATTGGACAAAGGAACCAGATGGTGACCGGCGAGGATAAGTTCTTGCCGGGTCAGACTGAGCCAGCGGATCTTAATAAGTTGGTTCGGCAATGCGGGGCCCTCTTTGACATTTTAATCAGACGAGGACGTGTTCTGGTCAAAGCGGACGTCATGCTCGACCCGTGATCGTTGTTTACGTTAAGTCTCAGTTCTTCTACGGAAGTTCCTCCGTTGACTTTTGAGGGCAGTGGTCGGCAAAAGATGCCGTCTGGGTCATGTCTGATTTCGGTCGAGCCTCTCATTTGGTCAAACAGTCGACCTCGTGCCAAAATATATAAGTCGCCGTCCAAAAGCCCCTTTTATCTGCATGAGGGGCTCTTCCGCCTGGTGCACTTGTCAAGGTCAACTAAAGACCGTTATATTTATTTGAATTATTTCGGGGACATATCAGTCTTCCCTTCTGTATTGTCCGACCTGAAAATAGAAATTTACACATGGGCTGGTTCGGATTTCTTTTTTGTCCGATTGGGTGAATACAGTTGTTCCATTTCTTTGAAGGATGTAGACGACGAGTGTAGTGTCCTTGTTAAGGTGAATGAAGCATGCAGCCCCCAACGATACTAAAACGATTCATGATAATTATGCCATTGTCTGGGGTTTCTACGTGTATAACATATAATTTTCAAGATATGAAATGCAATCATGAAAAATGAGCTTTTACTTGAGAAGCCTATGCCTAGCCTAGTTCTCAGTGTGCACTAGAGAGCGAGCGAGAGAGGGGGAGAAAGAGAGAGAGAGAGAGAGAGAGAGAGAGAGAGAGAGAGAGAGAGAGAGAGAGAGGGGGAGAGAGAGAGAGAGAGAGAGAGAGGAGAGAGAGAGGGAGGGAGGAGAGAGGGAGAGAGAGAGGGAGGAGGGAGAGAGGGAGGAGAGGGAGAGAGGAGAGAGAGAGAGGAGGGAGGAGAGAGAGAGAGAGAGGAGGGAGGGAGAGGGAGAGAGAGAGAGGGAGAGAGGGAGGGAGGGAGGAGAGGAGAGAGAGAGAGAGAGGAGGAGAGGAGAGGGAGAGAGGAGAGAGAGGGAGGGAGAGAAGGAGAGAGAGAGAGAGAGGGAGGGAGGGAGGGAGAGAGGAGAGAGAGGAGGGAGAGAAGGAGAGAGAGAGAGAGGGAGGGAGAGAGGGAGAGAGAGAGGGGAGAGAGAGAGGGAGGAGGAGAGGGAGGGGAGGGAGAGAGGAGAGGAGGGAGGGAGAGGGAGGAGAGGGAGAGAGAGAGAGGGAGAGAGAGAGAGGAAGGAGGGAGAGGAGGGAGAGAGGGAGAGAGAGAGAGAGGGAGGGAGGGAGGAGGAGGAGAGGAAGGGAGGGAGAGAGGGAGAGAGGAGAGAGGAGAGAGGAGGGAGGGAGAGGGAGGGAGGGAGAGAGGGAGAGAGGGAGAGAGGAGGGAGGGAGAGGGAGGGAGGGAGAGAGGGAGAGGGAGGGAGGGAGAGAGGGAGAGGGAGGGAGGGAGGGAGGGAGGGAGAGAGGGGGAGAGAGAGAGGAAGGGAGGGAGGGAGGGAGAGAGAGAGGGAGAGAGGTTGTGGATGACATTCATTTCCTAAATCTTATCATTTTTTGAGCCAATCAGGCTTTTGAATAGGGCTTAGCTTAGAAGGCTTAAAGTTCATTTTATCTCTCTAACATATATGTCTCATCACTCTCTCTCTCTACTCCTCATTCTCCTCTTTAACAAGTAACAACTTTAGGAAAACAAGGAAAAATAGTAATTAGAGTAAATTCTAAAATTATGAAGAAGGTATAAAAAGTATGTAATTTACTTAATCCAAAATGGTTTTAAAATTCTTTTAAAGCTATTTAGGAGGCATATTTTCAAACTTTAATAATAATACAAAAGAAGAAACTTTTTTTACATGACTAAGAGGCGGCTTGTTAAAAAGTCAAAGAGAATCCTAGAAAATCAACTCCTAGGCCATATTGGCTTGAAGGTCTTTGTTCACACTTTCCATCTTCCTTTTTTGGAAAGAAATGCAATGAAATCATTGCAATCAACATCATCTCATGGTCATGCTATGTTCAAGAGCATCCCTCACTTCCTTGGTTACCTCCAGGTCAAGAACACTCTAAGTGCAGATCTTGCACCATCTTCTCTGCTTCTTGTCTAAAAGTGAGATTGAGTTTGCACCAGGTGCCAAGGATTTTTGATGATTATCATCGTATTTTTTATTTTTTTTTGTATGCAGGACAAGTGTGATTGATGGGGGATGCGTTGACTTGATGGAATCTTTATCTTTGACTTTAGAGAGGAACTTAATTTATGTAGTATAATTAATTAATTAATTATTTTATAAATTTGCTCGTGAAAATCACAAGAAGTCACTTTATTTATCTTGTGGAGTTTTTTTCAGCATCTACCTAAATATACGTGGCCCGCGGGCGCGCCACGTGGCTCTCTTGGGGTTGACTCCGATGCAGCGACGTAGAAGACGAGCAAGATGGTGTGCGGAATAGCCTCGCCGCGAGTTGCGGTCTGACCCGGCCGAGGCAGAGGGAGGAAGTGGGGCTCACACTAAGCCTCCACTTCCCCTCCGGCGCTGCCGGCAGTCTTCTTTTGAACGTCCACGTCAACGCTCCCCACTCAAGACCGCCCACCTTTGTCGTAAAGCCCCCCCACCCCTCTCTCTCTCTCTCTCTCTCTAGAGAGTGACTTTGTCATATTTATTTGCTTTGCCAGCTCAAGGCAGCCATGGACTGAACTGGAGATTGACAGAGATAGAGATAGAGATAGATAGATAGAGAGAGAGAGAGAGAGCGAGAGAGAGAGAGAGAGAGAGAGAGAGAGAGAGAGAGAGAGAGAGAGAGAGGACAGAGTCCAGTGGGGATGCCCGTGGGGCCGGAGTCTCCGGAAACGTGGGCACTCCGGGTGCGATGATCTGCCACGATCATCTGGTAGGAATGGTGAGTCTTCCCGATCAATAATTCACTCTAATTTTCCATTATATATTTTTTATGTGGTCCGAAGATCATTCCCATTATTTTTTTATTCATCCCCAGTAAAATTGCGGCCTAACGGTGGGCCCCACCGTCCCGCCGCCAAAAGTCTGCGGTCCGAAGCGGTGACGCGCCTCCATGAGCTCTCTCCAATTTATCAATAAATCCAGTGGGAACGTGCGGAATTCCATCTCCCCACATAAAATATATTTAAATATATATTTTTTAAATACCCGCAATTTAAATACTGAGCCACGAATTTTCGTTTTAATAAAGTCCAATTATTTTATTCATCATGTTAAAAATTAGGTGGGGGTAGCCGATTACTTTAGAAACGATATTTAATTTTTTAATTTTTTTCTTTATCTTCTCTCTCTATCTCTACGTAAGAGGCCTCTGGGGCAGGTGAAAGTTTTCCCTTTTTTTATGTATTATTCATAATACTCTTTAAAAAGAATCTAATTTTTACTCTCTCTCTCTCTCTCTCTCTGTCGCCGGCTTTCTTGTGTTCTCTGAGACGTCTGCTTTCCGAGTGGAGCCGCCGCAGCTGTTTCTCTCTCCTCGCTCTTCTTCTTCTTCTTCTTTCACACACACCCGGCAGAAGCTGCGGCCGCTGGGTGCTGTCCTCTCGTTTTGTTTGTCGTCTTCTCTGCCAGCGATAGTACCATCACGCGGCTCTTGTGGGGTTTCTACGCCATCCACCCGTGTCCTCCGTTCTACTGCCATTCCCCTTCTCCTCGGTCTCCTCCCACATATTGTGTTTCCTTCTGAGGGGCTGGGGTAGGGGAACGGCGAGAGAAGAGGGTCAGGAAGACCGGCAGGGGGGTGGAATGAGGGGGCAGATAGTTCCTCTGATCTACTCTGGAATTTTTAGTTCTCTGACGTAATCTTTGATCGGATTTGGAGTGTGCCTCCCCAAGTGCTGCTCTGTGCCCTCCCTCATCTGGTGCGAATTGCGGAAAGGGGAGGACGAGGAGGAGGAGGAGATGCAGTCGGAGCATCAGCGGAGGAAGGTCGGGGAGACTACCTTGGATTCTTCATTTAATCCCCTCGGTGATCGACGTCCGCGTTCTGTCTTTTGTTTCTTTTGCAATTTGTGATAACTAAAAAAATTCCTGGAGTTTTCCGGTGCTATGGTTGGGCTAATCTCGCTAATCCGCCCGGAGTTAATCCTCGGCTTTCTATCTCTTGAAATCGCCCGTGATCTTCCAAAATCGTATGGCTTAAGGACTCCCAATTTATGGGACTATTCTCTTGAAATTTGAGGATTCGGTGCACGCCTTTTAAATCTGTAAATCCTTCTTCTGTGCCAGTCAAAGTGTCCTGATTGGAGAGTACGTATATGCCTGCTGGAGCATTTTATATTATCAATTTCGAGCTGATAACTGTCAATCCGACTATTTTGTGGTCCTATTGTAGTATGTTAATGCCAAATTATAGATGGGTTGTAACCCTCGATGGGATAATGATCCTGGACGGTGGTTGATGATACATAAATTCTAGGATGCTATAGGGGGATTAGTTGTTTTGGCAAGTGAGCCTGTGGCATCCTCACCTCGGTTGTGTTGATGCTGTAGTAGCTTTGTTTGTCACCTTTTGTGAACTGTCGGGAGATTTATTCAGTGATACTAGATGCTCACTTATTATTACTGAATTATACATCTTTAATGACGTTTTATTCGTGAAAAAAATCGTATTAAAAAGAGTAGTGATAAGTATTGCATCAATTTTGTGATTGAGTATAGGTTGAAGTATGCGGATTGAATGAGAACCTGGTTTCGTTTTCGACCTCAACAGTTCCAAGTGTTACACATATACATTCTAAAGCGTCTTATTAGATGAAGCACATTGACCAGTAAGATAGGAAATACGATTATGAAACTCAGAAAAAATTAGTATCAGTATAGTTTCCCCAAAGGTACAAATAGTATGGTCTAAAATGGTTCTGATAATTATCGTATAAAATGTAGTGATAAAGCAGGCAATATTGCTTCACATGAATGGCGTTTAGTCGAAGTAACTGGATATTCAATCGACTCCCAATAATAATATAAATGTTTGTATCATATTTTTTAGTCAAAACACATACTGGGCCCATGCATCTCTTAAGATGTACACCTTGTCATCTAGACTCTGATGGACTCAGCCAAGTCTTACTCTTCTTGGTTATCTCAACAGCTACGAATGATGCTTTGTTCACCAAATCTGAGTGCTATAGCTATGTGATATGACTCTGGAATGCTTCATGTTGGCATAAATACTTGGTTTTCTGCATGAAACTTATTTATCTATTGAACTTGGGGGGATAGTTGATTTTGTGAGTTTGCTTTACTTTCTGAATCGAGTAAGATGGTGTTTGGTGTGGAAATGGTAGATAAAATTCATGGTGTTGTTTCAGTTTCTGAATTTGTTAGAAGTCACGGTTATTTGAAATGGGCTCTCTCTTGATCTTGCTCATCATTTTCTAATTTCCTCTTTTGATGATGAATAGAAATATGAGCTTGTGGTGTTCATGAGTTTTTATTGCAGCTTGTTCTTTGTATCACATACTTTTCTAGAACCTAATTTCCCTTACCTTGAACATGTTTATCTATGTTCTTGAATTGATTATTGAATTTTCATGGTGTAGGCTCCCCCCGAAGTTGAATTTTTCACTGCGTATGGTGAGGGTAGTAGGTATAAAATAGAGGAAGTAATAGGCAAAGGAAGCTATGGTGTTGTCTGCTCTGCATTAGACACACGTACTGGGGAGAAAGTTGCCATTAAGAAGATAAATGACATCTTTGAACATGTCTCTGATGCGACCCGCATTCTTCGTGAAATTAAACTTCTCAGGCTCCTTCGGCATCCTGACATTGTTGAAATCAAGCATATCCTCCTTCCTCCATCACGGAGGGAGTTTAAAGATATATATGTTGTTTTTGAACTAATGGAGGCTGATTTACATCAAGTTATCAAAGCAAATGATGACCTCACCCCTGAACACTATCAGTTTTTCCTATATCAGCTACTTCGGGGTTTGAAATATATACACACAGGTACTTATGCTTCCACTGGTTTCGAATTGGATCTCTATTCTTACTTGTCTCCTTGTACATATTTAACATGTCTACCCCTACAATTTGTTTTTTTAATTTATTCAGCTGCATACTCACCTAGTCCTTGGTTTTTATATTATTCTAATACATCTTTTTTCTTCCTCTTCTGTTTCAATATAGCTAATGTATTTCACCGCGATCTCAAACCGAAAAACATTCTGGCAAACTCTGATTGCAAACTCAAAATTTGTGACTTCGGCCTGGCAAGGGTGGCTTTCAATGATACGCCGACTGCGATATTTTGGACAGTAAGCTTTCATCAATTTACTAGAATTTGTAAGGTCTCTTTGTTTACTTTTCACATGCCAAGGCCTTTTCTTGCAGGACTATGTGGCAACAAGATGGTACAGAGCTCCTGAACTGTGTGGATCTTTTTTCTCAAAGGTGATTGGCTTTCTATTGTCATTGCGCCAAAGAATAAAGAAGTTAAATAGTCTACGTGTAGTGATCAATGACTTTTGACTTATTATTGAATTTTATCTCTTGACTTGTTTTCTATTCATCTTTTTACTTCTTTTATTTGACTAAACAGAGAGCAGAATTAGAGTGGTAATCAGGATGTATATGATCATTTTGGGTCGTATAACACCATATGATCTGGATAGGCGTGATGATATTCCAGTTGACTTTAATTTCAGACCTTCTGCTACGTGATACGTTCTGATACTGAATACTATCTGTATATTGGGATATTATTCTCTACTTATCCATATCATATTATAATTGAGCATTGTGGCATATAAGTGTTTGAAATTTTATGCCTTTATTCCCCTTTTACAGTTTGTGTGGAGAAGTTGCTGTTGATATTATTTGATTGGAAGTTTTTAGGCTGAGGAAATTGTGGAGATTTTTGAGAGGTGTCACAGAAAAGAAAACATTTCTCAGAAACTGGGATGCAGTATCTTCCAGCGAAATTTACGTGCTCCAAATACAATAAGTTTTCTATTTGAAAGGATCATTCAGGAAGTTTCATTGATGATTGAACAGCTGCTGTTCAGCTACTTAATTCATTCTTGAAGCTAGAACTAGGTGCAATGGGTATTGTTTTTCTCCCCTGTTTTTTTAGACCTGACCAAAATCCAGTCCTACGTCTACTAGAAAAAGGTGCCAGAATGAAGCACATTAATGTTCAATACTTTTGATTTTTGACTGCCTCTACTATTGTTCATATCCTATGGAACTTACTCATGAGTGCTGCGAAGTGCTCCTGGCAACATAAATTGGCTGTAGAGTTGGAAAGGTGATGCTGCAGGTTGCCTCAAATGGGATAAATAAGCTTTACTAAGTGTGAACAAATCTAAGACTGTCTGTTTGGCAGCTTAATGACCTTACTGATGATTTTTCTGGAGAAGGGGGCATAAAATCTCATTATTTCTTTTCAAGGTCCCAATAATGCAGAAAAGTAAGGGAATAATTTGTTCATCAGTTGCACTTTTATCTGTGGCTTTCTATCAATTGCCTTTAAAGTATACATGTAATGATATAAAATGATAAATGCAGGTTTGGTTATGGGTATGTGATATGAAAATATGAAATTTGCACAAGGATTCATGTCAAATTGTTTACAAAATTGATTAAGAGAATGCAACATCTTTATAGAAAATATATTCTTGCGATTTTTTTTTTTATCTTATTAAGTACTCACTTAGACCATTTGGCCTCTGTTTGGATAACTACGGCCTTGCAACTCAGCTATTTAACTTTTTGTTAAACAACGGCCCATCAATCTATGGTCCACTGGAGGGACTTCCAAGCATCATCTAATGGGACCCTGAAACAGATGTACCCAACAAATTATAAAGTCGGTTAAAAAACGAGGGCTATAAATTGAAAACAGTAGGGAGCGTTCAATGGATCCTTTAATCATATTTTATCGGCTGTTATCGTAAATGCAAGTGCTTGCCATTTGGTTTGAGCTCATTTTTTGCACTGAAAACGTGGAGGATAAATTGTTTGTTGAGCTGCTTATATGTAACATTTAATTACAGTTGTTTGGTGACAACACAGATTAGAGAGTAGCCTCTGTACATCCCTGCTAACCATTTGGCCTGTAAGTTTGCTGAGCAAACTGTATTAGACACTCAAAGGGAGGGCTGAGTAAGCCGTTGAAGACATGTTGGGGTTTCAGGAAGGTCCATTTAATGGTAACAATCAAAGACATCCTGCATAAGGAGTGAGAAGGGCAAGGGGTGGTGTTTTGTAACAACAGTAGGGTCAGCGCAGAAGGACAAGTTCATTATACAATTCGTGGTTTCTGCACATTTTATTACGTTTTAAAATACATTATTTATTTCATAAACTTGATTTAGGGCTGTGTAGATATTCCCTCAAAGTCTTAACTTTTTGCAGCCTTTCTGTTTGAAATGAGGTTTTCTACCATCATCATCTGGAGATATAAATTCCCTGATTGTAATCCTAGCAAACACATCTTTCATCCATAACTTTACACTTCATGCCAGATATTTTGTGGGAGGATAACAATAAATGCAGTAGAATGAACAATCAGCTTTCATTCTTCAGGTTGATTTTATCTTCAGTCCTTGAGTGTAAAATTATTGCTTTGCATCATTAAGAAAATGATCCACTCCATGCAATATATTGAGAAAACCTGATTTTTAAAGCCGTCTCTACATCCTCTAACACGTACTTAAGGTAACTGAGATCTCCACATGGATAAATATGTAGTCATTATGACGTCTGAATTTCCATCGTGGAAATTTTGGCGGTTTATCCAAATCTATAGCTTCTATCGCCTATAACAGACTGCAAAATAAATGTACAAATTAAATTTCTCGTTGAGAGTTTGCCATTTGAATTCTGTTACAATTTCTAATATGGGGTAATATAGAAATTGTCACCTAACTTCCAAGTTTCCTTTTGCAGTACACACCAGCCATTGATATATGGAGCATTGGCTGCATCTTTGCCGAACTTCTTACTGGGAGACCTCTTTTTCCTGGGAAAAATGTTGTTCACCAGTTGGATTTAATGACAGATCTCTTGGGGACACCTTCTGCAGAAGCCATTGCAAGGGTCTCTTCTCGTTGCTGAATTTTCTTTAGCATTGTTCCTCTCCATCAATTGGAGGTTATCCAATGCCATAGCTTTGTCTGACTAAAGGTGTACTCAATATAGGTGAGGAATGAGAAGGCCAGGAGGTACTTGAGCAGTATGCGTAGGAAGAAACCTATACCCCTTTCTCAAAAGTTCCCAAATGTTGATCCCTTAGCTCTTCGCTTGCTAGAAAAAATGTTGGCTTTTGAACCAAAGGATCGGCCTTCTGCTGAAGAGGTACTGTGCAAAGCGTCCACCAGCTGGTGTAACCTTCCAAGGGTCATGCTTTTAGTATGTTTTTTCTTCGTGTATGCGATGAAATTCTAAAGTGGTTATTTCTCTGCAAGGTGTTAGGCTCTGGCTGATCCCTATTTCAAGAGCTTGGCAAAGGTTCAGAGAGAACCTTCTGCTCAACCAGTAACCAAGCTGGAGTTTGAATTTGAGAGAAGAAGGGTAACCAAAGAAGATATCAGGGAGCTCATTTATCGAGAAATTCTGGAGTATCATCCAAAGCTGCTGAAAGAGTTCTTACAGGGAACAGACTCGATGGGTTTCATGTATCCAAGGTAGACATAGTGTCTCCATTGGTGAACTTATCTCCGCCTTTTGATATTTTACCTTCAACCCATACATGAAATCAATGCTAAAATTGTAGGGGTGCTTTCATGAATTATTCTTTTCAATGAAATCCAATTCTTTCTCCTCTATTTTATTTTATTAAAATTTCTTCTCTGAGAATTCTCGTTTTTTAGTGAGTTTAAGTCTTATGTTTTGTTCAGCCTCAATGTAAAACCCAGCTGAGTCTTCAGCGTTTTTGCCTGTTGATGTTGGCATCGAATTTGATATGAAGATCTCTGATCACTGCTGCCTGCTATTCTGATTAGTCTCAGCATAGATGCTTGGCCTAAGAATCTTTCCGTCTTAATACACGCTTTTTTTTTTTTCCCTGACAGTGCTGTTGACCAATTCAAGAAGCAATTTGCTTATCTTGAGGAACACTACGGAAATGGTGCCGTGGTTGCCCCGCTTGAGAGGCAGCATGCATCTTTACCTAGGTATTTTGCTCTACTCTTCTTCATCGTTGACATAACTTTTTTTAAATTTTATTTTATTATTTTGTTACTGAATAGCGTCCTCGTATTCTATTGTCGCTTCATTTGCCTCATAATCAACCTGAATACATTCATGCAGGGCATGCGTGGTGCGTTCAGAGAATGCTGTGGAGGGTTCAGCTGATGTTGCGGAGGGCCTCTCAAGATGTTTAATCACTGAACCAGAGGAGCCACAGCCAGAACGCGTTTCTGCAGTCCCTGTGACAAGGTTTCCTATCCAAGTTACACAAAGGGTTCAAGGTATTGACTTTTGCCGCTTATTTCCTTCTGACCCTATGTCTAACCGGCGACCATTGGAGGAAGTCGTTGACTCTCAATGGTCAACGACCAAATCGTTGGAGAAGTGAGACCAAATCGTTGACCCAACCTATTTGATTCCGTGATTTGAAGGGTCAACTGCTTCCCTGTTTAGGGCCTCAGTCCACTGTCCAATCTCTGGTCACATGCCCTGCTCCTCCTCTCCTTCCCTCACTTTGCTAGATCTGAGCCAGAAGTCGAAAGTGTGACCACTGAGAGTCTCTGAAGTCTGGGGTTACAGAATGAAGGTTACCAAATGAGGCAATCGGTCTGGTTTGAGGGGGAGGGTAGGCTTCTTGTACACTAATTCATAGAATATTTCCATGCTACTTGGTTTCCTTTTGCATTCTGATTTTTTTCAAGAGTGTCCATTAATATGGAATAGGGCAAGTTACGCAATCAAAAGTTTGTGAAAAAATAGAGTTCATGATTCTTGCACATTTGTTGCCAAATATGAAAGAGAAAATATCTCATATATTACTGTGAAAAATTTCCATTATACATTTGTGTTCGTCAGCATTTATACCTTTATTACTCAGTTTCTTGAGTTCATCCGAAGTTCTTACAGTTTTGGATCGCTGCAATCAATTTTATTTTTTTTGGGTACAATAAATATCAAACCATGCATCGTCAGTGTTCCTATTTTTTTGATTCTTTTGCTGTTCTTGACTTGTTCAAAGGTGGAGCCACCAAACCCGGTAAGGTTGTCAGCGGATTGCGTTATGGCAATAGAACGACAGCAGCGACGGAGACCCAGGACCAGCGGAAACTTATCAGGGACCCAGTTGTGCCCAGTCAGTACACGTCTTCTAGCTGTTCCTATCCCCGAAGGAATCCAACCTGTAAGAGCGAGAGGGGCGATGACGAGGGACTCGAGGGCCCGACCGTGATGCAGTCCAAGCCCCCGTACATCGCCCGGAAAGTAGTTGCAGCTAATAGTGAAACCACCTGCCATTGGTAGAGAGAGAGAGAGAGAGAGAGAGAGAGAGAGAGAGAGAGAGAGAGAGAGAGAGAGAGAGAGAGAGAGAGAGAGAGAGAGCATTACCTAACCTAATTGGCCGCGCCACTGATCCCATCATGTTCAGTTGAATGCCTCCTCCCTCCATTCACAGCGTCAGATTCAAGGTATAACACGAAATTAGGGGGACCTGGATTCTTTTGTATCATAAGTGACAGACTTCTTCCACAGCTTCTGTGGTCAACGCCCGGAGACGAGGCTATGGATGTGGGTGGTACCAACCGATTACTATTAACAAGAAGGGAAATTGAAGCGAAGCTCCGACTACCCAGCAAGGATTTCCGCCATCTCATGCCCTTCCAGAGAGAAACTGCTGGAACTCCTCTTCCCATGAAATGTATCTGATTATTGCTCTTATTTTACTTCTCAAGTGTTCATATTCATGTGACAGATGGTAAATCGTCTTTTAATGATAATCTTCCTTACTAGACGGGACAAGTCAACTCGCCTTGAATTGTTCTCGAATGCGTTGTATCACTCTAGAAGCTAAGTGTGAGAAGGAAGCTTCATCCCCTAACTGGTGAAGAGTTTACTAGGCCAAGAAGGAAACAGTAAAGTAGGCATAGGAATAAAGTGTGCTTAGTATTCGATCGTATCATCAGAGAAGTGTTTTGAAGCTACGCATTGTAATGCTTTACATGCCGGATAGTAGTTGACTTCGCCTGGCCAAAATTAGGGACTGGGTTTCTCCTCTTGAGGTCCTCAGGGGACTTTCGTCGGAGGGCATATGGTTGGGGCCGCTCATCTCTCTCTCTCTCCTCCTGAGGACATGGCTTATCTTCTTTCTCGAAAAGGAGGTAGGAGCTGGATCACAAGAAAACAGCGGTGGAAATTCCACCAAATTGGAACATTTCTAGTATTCATTGGCATCACCAAGAACTGAGCGAGTGAGTGAGTGAGTGAGAGAGAGAGAGAGAGAGAGAGAGAGAGAGAGAGAGATGATTATAATGATGTACAATGACAACAGCTACAAATGAAAGACAGGTCGGCGGCGGGAATTATAGTATCCGTTGCTTCACTCGTCTCCCATTAGCGTCGCTCCCATCAAGCACCTCATTCGGGTACGAACAGGAGGCGATTACAGAGTGCTCGCTGACCTTCGCCACGTATTCGAGGATTTCAGTCAACAGAGATGGGCAGCTGATCTTCAAATGCTCGAACCCATCGGACTGCATGACCGCTGCAGAGAGAGAAAATCAAACTAAAGATTAGGCATAACCCAGATACACGATCAAACAAAAGACCATAAAATATAACACTAGAACGATCTAGTCACTTCTAGAAAATATATATATCCTTTTATAAATTGTGATTATTCATGGTTGAAATCTACTTATGCCCATATATGTCATAATAACTGGGTATTATGCAAATTAATGAAACTATTTAACTTAGAGGAGGTCAACGCCTAGAACCCAGGGGTTCAGGTTCCACATCTATGAATCATTGATTTTGGTATCGACTCTGAGGAATAGAGCATGGAGTGAAGAACGAAGCGTTGACCTAACATGCAAGTGTTCGACACCAGAGTGAAAAATAGCAAAGTCATTTTCTCAAGGGAAGGGTGGTCTGCACTTGAGCAGTGAGTGACAATACCCTTGGAAGAGGTCAACACCAGACCTCAAGCAGTCAACACCTGTGGGGAGTGAAGTGCCATGATCTTGAAGTGTTGGCACTCATATAGATCTGTTTTGGGATCAAGACTGAAGCGTTGACACTTAACTTTAAAGTGTCAACACCAGCAGACTTTCAATGGCTATTTTGACCGAAATGTCAAGAGAAAAAGCTAGAAACGCTAGCTGTTTTCTAGCTGTTAAAGAAATAACTTTTGTCTAACTAGAGCTTGATGGCCTCGGACTCCGAGAAAAAAGGAGGAGAGATTTGCATTGCTTCCCTTGCTCGAACATTATGTCATATAAGCAATCGTTTTGGGATATTACTGTTGATCATGGTAGTCATGGAGTAGACTAATGAATTTCCCAAAAAGAATCATTTTTCTTCACGCAATCTAATCAATAAAAGAGCTCTCCTATCAGAATTTATAGGGGTGGAAGAAAGGAATTATGGGTTGGGATGTAGCAATACTAGTTAAGTATGGAAGACAATGTTTGGCAGAATTCTGATTCCATGTGATTAATTTACAGATATAACTTCTCCCATTGATTTATATTCTGTCCTTTGCCAACCGATTTGGATTGAAGGTTCATCTAAAGCTGAAAGTGGGGCACAATTAAGAAAGAGAGTAATAACAGAGAATATTTCAGCTGGATTTCAGAGATTTACAAGACATCATTAACTAAATATCCATATTTGTGGTTGTTGTCCAGCTGAATGGAGATCACCAACGATCTTAGGTCTGTCCAGTTTGCAACTCATGCATGACAAAGGTAAGACTTTAGTTTAGCCTCTTCTTACCTATCTACCATTTCCTATCGAAGTATAGAACCTTTTCATGGAAAATAATTTCTTTCTTCATGATGGGGCCACACAACGCTTGATTAACATTTATCGAATTCAATAATGGATGATAGAGCAAGGAGAATTCACTAGCAGGTGAGAAGAGGAAAATTCACTAGCGTTATGATAAGCCATCTCTGCCAAGAAGGTGAATATAGTGTCAGTGGCATATTATTCTCCGTAGAAATTACCTAAAACCATAGGAAGAAATGTTTCAACAATGTAAACTTACAAAGAATGAAATTCGGAGAAATCAATGATGAAAAATAACGTAGCAACAAATGAGGTAAGTAGGCTGATAAACAATCATCTTCATTTCCATTATTCTAAATCTTACCAAAATGTTATTGCTACTAAAATAATTTAAACTATGTTCTGGGTTCCTGTAGTTATATACTGTAGAATAATGGGTTACCTCTTAAATTTTCAGGCAAGGCCACAAATTTGAGGCACACTGTTTTGAGCTGAAAACAATGATGTTGCTCTGCCAAAGCCAAAGTGGTTGCCACAGTGTTAATGGCAACATCCTCACATAATTTGGCCTCACAGAGTAACCTTAGTCTCTCTAAAGCATATCTGTCTGCGGCTGCAAGCAAGTGCTGAGCCATCATTGTGGAAGCCCACTTTGCACTCAAACCAGTCAGCTCTTCCATGTTAGGTAAGGAATCCCAGTATATGAAATGGACTAAAGCCTGCAAATAGAAGAATTTAAGGATTACTTAACATCACAGAGGTCTCACTTGACAGCACAGATAACCTAGGAATATCCAGTCAAAAGGAAGTTGGTAAAAGATGTAATTAACAGCATTTTTTCTGTCTTAATACATGGAAAATTTGAAAATCCTCTTTACACGAACCTCAAAAGGGAAACAAAGACTATCAAGCCCAAAACTAAAAAAAAAAAACCCCAAATAATGAACAATAAAAAGGGGGTCTTAGTAGAGCAGTACATCCTTTGGTCAGAACATTAAGCGATTTTAACAACTCTTGCAATAGCTGGTGAACGTAAAATTTTCATGGGGATTATAGCTTAGTTCAATATGGGCATAGAAAGAAGTAAATTCGGCCCTATTAAGAGAAAATGGGGGTTTAAAGGCATGTTGACCTCCTACGTGGGTTCAAATTAACGAAATGACACTAATAATGTAGTGTTTGAGAATAGACTCTGGAGACGTGTGGGTCACTTGTTTGAGAATAGACTCTGTAGTGCCTTCCTGACCCATCAGAGTATTAATACTGTGGCAGATTGGAGGTTATACTATGAGACCTAGTAGGGGCCATCCGAGTGAAACCATATTCTGAATGACTCACTAACACACTACGACGGTGAGAATATTACATCCATGTTCTTACAGACTCCCTGACACTCCACTTCAACCTGGAACATATACATCAATATCCGCTCTAGCATTATATCTAAGACACCGAAGATTGTCACTTGGTAAGCAACAGACAAAAAAGGAATATATACTGGGACAGAAGTTGAAGCTAACTGCAACAGTGAAGCTGATGCGTAAGAGTTGAGATCAGAGCTGTAGTAGAATTTCCCCTCGTTGTTTTTCGAAGAAGAAAACTCTCATAGAAGAGACAGATTTTTTTCGCACATAACAATCTGTGATAAGGGATGTCCCACATCAGGCTAGTCATAGGAGTAGTTGGGCATATGGTAAGAGGCAGTGGCTAATGTAGTAGATCTTTAGCAGAGGAGCATGAAGCAACGGCCACCCAGTAGCATAGGATGCCATAGTTATTCCAGAATAAGTGAAGGCTAAGCAAAAGCTGCAGAAAATGAGGCTTTTGAAGCAAATAAGGAGGTCTCTGAGGAAGCAGAAGTAGCTGCAGCACAAGATGCCCCAGCTCAAGCAGACTTAACAGCTTCAACAGTAGGGTAGGCTACAGAAGAGCTGGGTAGCAGAAGCAGTAGTGTCCACCATCCTAAGTCCGAAATGAAAGCTGGGAAGGAGCTGATATTGCTGGAACTGACAATAAGAAGCCTGGGCTAATGAACCAGAATAGGAAGACAGTATCGAAAATGCACTTGTATTAGATGGGGGTGGATGGGGCTGGGATCATAAAAGGTCATGTATTACTCAATAAGGAGAAGCAAAAGAAGTAGAAGAAGAAGAATGGTGCGAGAAGGAAAGGAAGAAGAGAGAAATCGATGAGATGGTGGATGCAGAGGAAGCACCAGATGAGATTGTGTTCAAAGTTGGTGTAGTAGAGGGCCAGGAGGCTGTAGAACATGAAGGGAGAAAGGGATTCTCTGTTAATCAGAGGGTCACCATCCAAGCTCCGTTGTAGTCTAACTGACACAAAAGAGGACATGCTCCATCAAACAAACCACCAAAAGAGATTTCTGTAAGAGCCGGTAGGTCAGTAAGAGACACACATAAGACTAATTCAGGGTAAGCAAATCACCATTTTCTTTGTTGAAACTTGACCTGAAGCTCAAAAACCTACTTCCAATAGTGGCAGGGGGAACTACCTATTCTACTGGTGGCTAGTATATCTGCGGGAAAAAAATGTACAAAAAGATAAAAAAAATAGCAGTTGCAACTTGCATGAAATTTTCAGAGAGAACGGGGTCAAGTACCTTGAAAACTGGAGCTTCTATATCCTCAACTTTTATACAACCTGTGTTTTGATCCTTCATAGGACCAAAAAGCTGTGCCCTGAACACAGGTGATCGAGTCGCAAGCACCAACTTATGGGCATAAAAAATATCACCATCAACATCAAAACATACATCTGTTGCAATACCACTATCTAGAAACTTCCCAAAATGCTGCCCAATATTGGACGATGGCACTGGTATGGAATAAACTTTCGGTCCTTCTGTGTGTGATCTAACAACACCAACGCTACAATGAACTAGGAGACAATCATCTTTGAGGTAATCTGACGTCTCTAAAGCGGTTCTTTTGAAGAAACGTTTATAACCCCTGAAAAATTCAAGTCAAACACATGGTCAGTAATAAAAATACTGACCTTTATGTTTCATGAGTTAAACCTATTCCATCCTTTAAATAGAGATAGCAGTAAAAAGGAATGAAATAACAGTAAAACGCTCATCATAAAAGAGCAACTAGATGGGATATGAGAACACCAAACAGAAGCCTGACAACCTAAAATCCACCGGTACTAATTCCAAAACACAGTGACAGAGAATTCACAGAAGTTAGATTTCCAGTGATACGTCGGATTATTCAGTTTTATCCATGATTCAACTTATACTTTACACAATCAATTAGAAAAACTTGATACGGATAAACTTGATAAACTGAGAAAAAGTTTTATCATCGTTAAAAGTTGACCACCCGCTTCATAGCAGTAAGTTTAATATTTCTAGTTACTAAGATACGGATCATGTCAACTAAACACATGCGCCGCTTCATATGCCTCATGCACTAGTAACCCTGAAAGAACTTTACAAACATGAAAGCAAAGGATTGCAACGGAAGGTCAATTAAAAGGGAAAGTTGAATATTATACATTGAATCATGGGGCAACATAGTGCAGCTCACTTGAAACTGACGTTTGATGGGTGAAATCTGAAACATGAGTATCTTTGTGCAAGATCGCTACCTAAAAGGTATAAGCTCATGACCGACAAAAATAGTATCATGTCTTAAAGATTGCCACAAATAGTGAACTGTTTGTTCGGTCCATCCGACCAAAATCGTTTTGGAAACCAGAGACCAAGCTGTCACGATGTGATTCGTAGGCTCCATCCAGCCCAGGCAAAAAGCTGTCTTTGGCTCACAAAATGCACTAAGCAAGTCGGTCTGGTTGGCTTGCTTACCAATCTATGGACGGAAACGAGACTGTGACTCCAGTTCGATGTCCCAGGGTTTAATCCGAAGAATGGAAAGAGGGCTGGCTTTACTCTCGTTCCGCCTCACAAGATCTAAGACCAAGACCCTACGACTGAGAAAGTTATGATCTGACAATCGTAGGCTATGCAATACAACCAAGTGAATAAAAAGTTGAACCAATTCATTCGCCATCCAAGATGCTAAAACCTACGTCTCAACTATTGAAAACAACGCCAATAGTTACATCAATAATCATCACCTTTCCATGCATAAATATTGAAATGCAGCCACTAGTTGATCACAGACTACAATCAAAACTCGTTATAAAAGATGTGAAATTCCGTACGCATCCAAACCACATGAAAATACGACATTCGCACGTAAAAATTTCATCCAAACGTCCCACATGTCAAAATTTATAAATACCCAGTAGTTTTTAAATGCGGTTGTGTTGGGGAAAACAGAGAAGCTGTCGCTAATAAGCTATTTGTATTTGGAAACATATTAAGCTCACCACATGCTGCCACGGTATTTGAGAGTGTAAGGCCCTCCTTCGAGGGTCCTCCCAAAATGGCTGTGAACCTTGTGACGTTCCCTGCCGCTCTGATCCATCAGCGTGAGCTCGAAGAGAGCCCTCACGTCTGTTCCCTCGCTAGCCAGAGCGATGAACAAGGACACATACGACGCATTATCCTCGGGGCTCTTGCCGTCCGGGTAGAAGTAGATCGCCCACGAATACCCGCCAACCTGGAATGTGTCAGAAGCCACGTACTTGCCGATGCCAAGGCCCTTCGAGAGAGAGTACCCCGTTATCTTGAACTGGTGGGAACCGTTCACTGTCTGCGTGATAGACGTAGAGATCGTCTCCGTTGGCGGCTGGGGGGAAGAGGAGGGGAAAGCGCAGGAACAGGAGGGCCGATTGGAGGGACCAGGTACGCAAACTCCACTGGCGCCCATTTCTACAGAGACGGGAGATCAAAATGCGTCGGGAGTCGAACGCAGACAGAAACTCCACAAACCCCCAACCCGAGGATCAGGGATCCCGAGTTCCGTCCCCTCCGCCAGAGGATCGTCGCTGCGGGGGATCGAGGAGCTCCTAGGGTTTCCCCTTTGCTCCCAAATCGCGACAGCCCCGACGAGATCTGGCCCCAGACAGACGACGATACGTCAATCGACAGTCCACACCAGGGAATTCGATCGCGCGAGGAAAGATTCGTCGATCCCCTTCGCGAATTCGATCGTCACCGATGATCTACCCTCAATAATTTAGGACTGGGTTTTGTTTTCTTCCTCCGGTTTCCCAGAGGAGGAAAGCGAAAGAGAGAGAGAAGGAGACATGATAGGCGTGGGATCGTTTATATAAGCGCAGTTTAGAAGGCGAAAGAGAAGCAGACTTTCGGTCGCTGTCTTGGCCGCTGGGGGAACATTCTAGACGATGCCTACGTGGCCTACTTTAGGACATGTCTGTGAAACGCAATATTCCGTGTGTATCGTCTTGTACCAGACGTCGTGGAAGGAGGCCCAACTGGCCTGATCCTCTACGTCACGCAACTTGTCATCCAATCGGAGGCGGTGATGGGTCCCAACCAATCAACAGCGGGCCCCACCTAAATCAACAGCAGTCCCATTAGCGTTATTCAATGATTATTGGTCACCTTGAACGTCCCGTCCGGAGTCTACTCGGTTGTACCCAGTGGTGGGCCGGGATCCCCCCTAGGCCGGGCCGAGCCCGGATGTGGCCCGGTCTTTGGTCCAAAGAACACCTCAGAATTAATTAGGGCTCTACATTGAATATGAACAGGGCCCGCCTATATAATACGAATTAGGTCATCCGCGTGCATCTATCCAATACAGGGAGTGAGAGAGAGAGCAAGAGAGAGAGAGAGAGAGAGAGAGAGAGAGAGAGAGAGAGAGAGAGAGAGAGAGAGTATTGGTCTTGTAGGGAAGACACTAATTATGTATTAGTCCTACTAAAAAAGTGTCAGACCAAAAGGATATTTTTAATGGGTTAGATCTCAAGGCCCAACTTTGGCATAACTAAATTCAAAATGATTCAAATCCCTAGCATCAAAACCAATAATTGTTATTGTTGCATTATGTGTGAAAAAAATGGCATCTACTAAATCTCATCAAGTGAGTTATGGAATATGATGAATATATCATATGATGAATTATCTAATGAACTAATAATATACCAAGAGATAACTTAATCATGTGACACCGAATTATATAGTACATAATCAAGTTTTTGGAGATATAGCATTACTCGTTTGAAGAATTTGCTTGCTAGTGAGGATACAAGGTACATTCTTCAACTTGGCAATGCTACCTAAGTAGTATTTATGTTGAAGGGTTGTCCAAATTGACTTATGGCTTAGAGATGTTGGTAGCTTCACCTAACTTCTGAATTAAGCGAAAATATATTTTTTCACATCATCCTAAAGTTGAGATGAGAACTTTGTAGCTTATTTCTATCAGTTAACCTAGTTTCCCTATATTATCATTGTATATAACCTTATATGTACTATGTCTTGGGTTATCATCAAAGTAATTTTGATGATGACAAAAGGGTTTTGAGTAATCTTGATTAGAATTATAATAAGACGAGTAAAGGGAAAGTTTCCTAACTTTTATTTGATTTATTTCAAATTAAATTGAAGTGTGACTTTCGAAAGTAAAGCCTTTAAGTTGATTCTTATTCGAAGTTTGTTGAAGACATTAATACTCAACAATAGGCAACTAATCTCTATGATTCTCATCTCCAACTATGTAATTGATGTCCCAATTTTGGCAAAGGTTATTGGAATCTTAAATTTTTAGTAAACTTAAATGATTTTGTAACTAGTAGAGATAGAGAGGTTGACAAAAACCTCTAATCTTTTGTACTTTAGTTTCATCAATATTGAGAGGGTGAGAAAAAATGCCATAAAAAGCTTTAATATTGTACTAATTGACTTGGTCCATAACTACTAGCACCAATGAAGTGTTGAATCCTTACACCTTCAATTTGTACGTGTACTTGAATGATATATTATAGTAGAACATAAGGACAAATGTCAAGTGATTGTCTACTTGAATTTTTCAATCGTGTGTTAGTGTTAGATATTATCATGACCAAATCCAACCTAATGCTTCATGATTGAGAGTTTAAGCTCAAAGGCTCAAAACCCTTACTATAGAGGGGACTAGGATATTTATTCTTAAGTTAAGTGACATGGGATTAATATTAATTATATTTTTTATATCACATGATGTCACATATGATGTCATATCTTATGTTCTACTCTTGTCATGTGATGCATGGCTATTTCATCATGGCTTGCTGAATTGCTTGTTAGAGTTTATCCTTGGAAAATTTCATCTTGTTGCATTAGTCCCATAAGGTGCTCCTCTTCTATGTTTTGATGCCCACATCAGGGGGTGCTACTCAAAATATTGGTTGACTAAGTTCTTAAATTGTTAGAGGTTAGTGTCATACCCCTACATTGTATCTTCCTAAAAGAAGATGTGCTGATGTGTGTAGAATCATTCATTGTTATCAATCTCTTTACAATCTAAGAAAGTGTTTACTATCAGTGTAGTGTGCTTGAATTGTCAATAAAGATCACTATAGATGTCATGTTTTGGATCTTCTTTGTTCCCCTGAAATTACATAAGTAGTGACATGTGAAATAATTAATGCATCACAAGCTATAACAATTGTGTAATTTTACACTACGAAAATTCTATTGAGATATTATAAAATTATTAACAAATATTTCCTTAAGCCTTGAATTTGCTTTATAATGTTGCAATTGAAATGATATGATTTATAAGAGAATCATAAAATTAAAGAAAATATGCTCATGGGTAAGATGGTCATCTCATATCATAGAATATCTCATCTCATAATCTCATGGTTAAATATCAAAGTCATTTCCAATGTTCTCTTGTTTGAAGGAAGACTAGATAGAGATAGGCAATAAGAGAAGAGAGAGATTCAAATAGTATGGGAATACGTGAAGAAGATGTTCTTGACCCAAATTAAACGTTTAGAAATTAAGATGTAGCTAATAATGGAAAAAACCAGATTAGTCACCTTATAAACACCTAAATGATTGTGGTCCTTGGAGTTCTACTCTCTCTCTCTCTCTCTCTCTTTTCTCGCTCTTGTAGTATGCATATCTTGTGCACTATGCACTATTGAGAGAAATTTTGCCTATCATAGAAAGCCCAAAAAGCAGCACTATGGATGGATCAACAACTTTCAAGGTATGCTGGAGCTCAAAGAGGTCTACTTGAATTTTAGAGTAATGTTTTATAATAAAATAAAATAAATAAAAAAAACGTCCAACTGTTGACACAACTTCTCCATGTCATCATCTAACAACAAGAAAACTAATATTTCTATCCCCTTTTCCCTGATATTATATGTGCTTATATTTTCTTATCACCTGAAATGATATCCAAAGTTGTTAACCAGATGAACCTTCCTGATGCTGATTTGAAACCAGGCTAAATTGTTGCATCATCCCCAGCCAGATACTTCAGTTCAGGGAAACCAATACCAGAAGAAACATGAACATATGAAATAGATTAATCAATGGAGGATGCATCCAAAGAAATCATCATTCTCCACCCTCGAGAGCCAGATTCACGATTGTCCTGCACCAGTTAAATCATATCATTCAGTATAAAACCAAATAAATAATAAGGCAATCTGATTATCTAAAAAGATCTGCAGGGATATCTTGCCAAGTTTGGATACAGGATCCTGGTTTGGAATGATGATTATTATGAAATTTATGATGGAAAAAGGAAACATCTATACCATGATATTTGAGAGTATTATGCTTTCAAATAACTGATTTAGATTATGGTTCAGGCATACAAGACATAAGGTAACGAGTTTCCCATTATTATCAATGACATAGATAGTGTATGATCACCTGTAACAAGGCATTGAAAAAAAAGCCGTGGTCTTCCAACAGAGCAACTTGAAAACTTTTACAGAGTAACATTTCAAATCTAAAATCATTATTACACTGAAAATGAAAATATCTCTAGGGTTAATCTTTGCACCAGATTCAAGGTTGACCTGTGGGCCCAGATATCATCTTAATATCCTAATGCTTCATGATAAGGATGGACACGTTTTCAATCAATAATAAACATTATACTTTAATCTTCAAATTATATTCAGACCATGAATCAGATTTCTGATGCTCACTTATTTGTAGCAGGAGATTACATGAGGCATAGTGAGCCCACTTCTCCGTGTGATCCCCCCCCCCCCCCCCACCTCTCCAGAATCACATGCAGATAAAAATCCAAAAGAGATTTTGACAGAACGTTTGTAGAGTAGATGTTTGATCCCAGACAAAAAAAATCTGAAGCTGCTTTTTTCCCATCCATAATCATAGACAACATAGTAATGGCTACAAATTACCATCCAGTTGACAAGCCTTTTAACCACTTACCAACGGCATAAAAAAACAATGCTTTATAATGGCTACAAAATCACTGTATACACTTGAAATCTTATGCTATTTCTTCTCGGCAAAATGGCACACAATTTTGTTGCTAGAACCTTCAGGTTTCTCCATTTCTACAGGAGATCATAAATCTGTGAAAGTCAATCTGCATTGCCGAGCTCTGCCTACATTTGTGGCTGAATTATTGGCACCTCTAGCCACCACCGCCGAGCTGTCCATGCCTTGCACTCTTTCATTTCATGGATGGCCACTCGGGGTATAATCTGATTTATACAGCCGAGGACGACGCTGCAAAGACAGTCTTCAAGCCCTAAACTACGTTTTGTTATAAGGTGTCCATCTTAGGCCTCTGGTCAAGCCGATGGAACCGATGCTAACTAAAAAGTGGCTCGAGCACCAGGCTTCTTCTGCTTTCCTTTCCTCAAATCAGTGCCACCACCTCATTAAAACACAAAACCTCTTCTTTGCCGAGAAGAAAATCAAATTCTGGATTAACCCCAACAAGAAAATAATGGACTATGTCATGCTCAATGAAATCTTTTAGGATATCTGCATCCTCTTGGCATTGGGATTTAATGGTCAAGTTCTGGCCACAATGTTGTCAGCTGATTTGCATATGCCGTAATTGTTCTGTTTCTGTGTTTTCAGTCATTGTCTTCACCTTTACTTCATATACTTGAGCTGCATCTCTAGCTTTTAGAATATGTTATCTGTCGGATTGTACCATAGATATCACTACTGTACCCCAGAACGTACATGTGTCACTAATCTCAGGTGTCATAGAATTTCACAGCCATCCCATAATCATGGAATCTTTTCATAGCATGCCTCAAACCGAGGATCCTCTAGTTTTGTCCCTGTACCTGCTGGATGGCTGATCCTCCCTTTCCCTTTCAGCACAGTGAGAATAAATTGGAACCACACTAAGGAAATTTTTTCCATCCAGACTGTGTCAAATACATGTGGAAATTTTTTCCATCCAGACTGTGTCAAATACACAGTGAGAATAAATTGGAACCACACTAAATTGGAACCTCATTTTCACTAAATTGGAACCACACGAGGAAATTCTCAAAGATTGTTGAAACCGTACAAACCCCTCAGTTTGTGTTGTGGCAGTCATCTATACAATTCCTGACATCAGTAGAAAAACTGACAGCTACTCTCAGCGAAAGGATTGTTGGTGTTGTTCGAAAAACAGACTTGATGTCACCAATTAAGGCTGAAAGGATTGACAATGAAGCTTGATGCTCAAACAAGGGCTTTGCAAACAAGAGTAGGGAAATATCAACTGACTGTGATTGCTGAAAATGCAATCATTGATAGCCCTAGGTTACTCTCTCACATCCAACACAAAAGATGAGAAGAAAAAAAGCATAAATCAAGTGTTCATTTGGTGGTACATGTCCTCTACCTTTGATTTCGTTGTCCGCACTTCTCCCCTGTAGACGAGCGTGGAGAATGACGAGATCCTCCTGGTTCTCATGAACCAAGCAACCCTAGACTAAACCCTAGGCTACGGCAGAAGTAAGCAAACCCTAGATTCTCTGGAGGCCAGTGACTACAGCTCGCTCTGACAGCATGCTGTGAACAGTGGTGCAAACCCTAGGAGGATATATAGAGTAAAAAGTTAACTCTTATTCATATCATAGATGCATGTTATATGCAAGTATGAGGGCCACAAAACAAGGAAACTACCAAACAACTAGGAAACCAACAAACTAGGAAACAAAGGAAATAGGAAGTGGTCCAAGTAAGAACGAAATGCAAATATACGTTCTTTCCCATGTACAAATTTATGGAGGCCCCATATTCCCTATCATATGTTAAGAAATGAACCTCAGGGTTATTTTCAACGGCATTCCCCAATGTCCTGCCAATAAATTCCACTAGCACATCAGAGTAAATCGAAAGGCAAAGGTCAGCACCTTAGTCTTTACCAGATGGTTTCCCTAGAAAATAAAGAGCACCCTCCTTTCAAACCAATGATTCTAAAGAGGGTCAACTTAAATGAAAACCCACACATTTTTGAGCCTAGAATTGGGTCAACTTAAATGAAGCCCCATACAAAATAATCCTACTTTTGTGAACATCTACCAGAATTGAATTCACCTATGCTCAAATATGGAAGCTGCTTATGAAACAAATCTGAGTAGACAAACAAAATCTGGTCACCAAAATTAAGACCTTCGGCTCAAATATAAAAACCAATTAGCGCTGCCACTAGGCTTCACTCGTACCCCGGTCAGTGATAATAATAGTAAATTAGTCATGCCCTGATTATGCAAAGATCATTGAGGCCTTCAGTTCGTACAAGCCAAAACCTCTGTGCAGAGTGGAAAAATTAGACCAGTGGTTCCATTCACTAGTACTGCTTCATAGTCCCCACTAGTGCACCTCTAAAAAAATGAATGCATATGGTAAAGATGGAGACCTATAATACATTCATACACTTTATAGTTACGAACCATATGCAAAGACAAAATAAGGTGGATAAGGTAGGTACAGGATCATTTCACCAAGAAGAAACTGCGCTTTAGAATGTAACAGAAAGCTACAGAATTTCAGAAAACAACAAAAGGAGTTGTATTACGGATGCAGCAGCGTTCTAAGATGTAGTCATGAACCTTATGATCAGGAATAATAGAATTTGGGCAGTTTTGGCCCATCCCTGGATCCACAAACCTAGATCATTTTGTTTAATTTACATACGAAATGAAATCATTCGTCCAAAGAATAAAACCATAGAAAAAATGCCATTATATAAATTAGGTGACAAACTTTGAAAGTAAAGAACATGCTGTCTTTTAGGGCATAATGAATGAAAAAGCACACCATGAAGTCTGGCAGTAAATGACTAACAGAAGTAAGCAAATGATCTATGACAAATCCTCAGCCTCCTATGTTCACTCAATTTTGTCCTAGCTTCAGACTATCCAATTCAACCTTCAGTTATATTAACTATTCCAGGTATTCATTTCCTAAATCATAACAACGTGTTGCATCTGAGGTTTACATTTGAATTTTACCAATGTCATATGATACTGACCACTCCAACCGTGAACCCATTGATAACTCGAAATGACAATAATATACTATTGAAGAAGAGACCAACAGCAAGATTGCACTTCACACCCAGAAGGCAATGCAATAGAACTGAAGATGTTCAAATCGTCATTCCTAAGCTTCGGAATACCATGCTAATGTTACCTCAAAAACTAAAAAGAGGTCTGAAACATGATTAAAGGAGTTGGGGGCTATCAGTTGACGAACTACTTTGGATATCAGCTAGTCGCAAGTATCCAGATAAGATACTGAGAGGATGGAATAATTTTTTTTTTTTTTAAGAAGCACAAAATGACCATGGAGGATTCTTTTATCAAGAGAATAGTTTAAATATAGCCTGGAAATATGTGTAACTGAAATTTGACAACATACAAGTGCCTCTATCAATCTCATCAATTCCTATGACTAAAAACAAGGACCAAAAGTGAAAATGAGGTTTTGCAGGTCGTGTCAAATACATGTGAAAAGATCAGTGAAAGATATTCAGGAAAGGAGAGAAGAAAAATCATATATTTATGGTTAAGTAGATTAGAAAGTTTTGCTGTCAAAAATATGTGTGATGCTTAGTTGGACATTATCAGGTGCGTTTTGATCACTTTAAATCTAGTGTGATTGGCAGGTCTTTTGACATAGGAAGTGGTGGCACCGAAAAAAAAACATTCACAGCGTAAACGAATATTGTAGGAGATGCATTGAGTTGCAACAGAAAGTTTTGTGGAATTCATTTTGCAACCAAACTCAAGAAGAAACTGTAAACAATATAACTTTAGAGGGAAGCCTGAGAAAAAGAAACGAATAGTAGGATGCACGTACTCTGAATTCTTGTTGTGGTGGTTTACGTCATCTAGTGGTAAAGACATGTATCAACAACCCTTGTCAAGAAGACAAGGCATAGAATAGAAAGCGAGAATAATAGCATTGCCATCCATACGGGAGAAAAATAAAAAATATCCACACCTATTAATATAGTATCCTCTAAAAGGATCTGGTAGCAGCCATCTATCTTGGAGAAGTCACTTCGAAGGATAGATCCTCTCCCTACAACCTTAAAAGGAGGGTTATTTTAAAAAAATGAAAAAATATAAAGCCCACAGTAAAAAATGGTGTCTTCACCATGACCATTGGAAGACACAAAAAGGTCTCTGATGACAAAGTAGTGAGTAAGCGGTTCACGTGAGAGATAAATGCTGCCTTATCTTGCTCTATAGAGTAAAAATAAGAGAGGCTTTGGAGCGCAAAAAATCAGCTTCTCAATGGGGCTACACATTAATTAAGACACTTCTATAACAGAAGTTTCAGCAGTGGGCAATCTGGCTGCATGAAAATGTTCCATAGCTAGAAAATAAAAAGAGGCATTACCCAAGAGTTCAGGAGTCTGAACTCGGGGACTTACAAAATGTTCTTTCATCACCCGAAGGATTTATCACTGTCCGAATTCAATGACCAAGATTTAGGAGTGTATCACGTTAGATAAATTTTATACCCACTTGACAAGTAGTAAGTTGTTTATTCTACAGTGATTTAAGACTCAAGATACGATGATTCGTACCCTATATCAATTTATCAGCATCTTAGTAGTGGGGTACATGTTGAAAAGGAAATGTAGAATGCAATTCATTCAAGGCGTATAGATTCTTCTACATGATTGTGGTTTTCTTTAGGTAAACATGCTTTTACAATTGATGTAGTCAGTTATTCTGACTATTGTCAACATACACCTCTCAAAGTTGTTTTTCGTATTTATGGAATGGATGCTACGGATGTAATGGTGATTGGCAATTTTGAAAGTTGACATAGAGTCTTTAGAACTATTTACACGAGGATACCTCAATGTAAAAGGTTGGAAGGAGTAGGCAAGCTTTTAGATATTTTAAATTGCCAAACTTTACAAGGCTGCTGCAGGTGTAGATGGGACAGTTGACTTAGTAATATCTGAAATATATTTACAAAAGATGGAATTCCATCGTGTCTCCAAGTTTCATCATATTTTCCATATTTTCGAAGGGATCAAGAATTATTTAACCATATTTTTGAAGGGACCAAGAATGGTATCGAGAATTAAAAGAAAATTATTCCATCAAATTATGCAATCAGACACAAAGAACATGCAGAAAGAAAAATGAAACCTTAGAGAAGTGAGGCCACCAGCATAAAATGACAGAAGATCAAATAAGCGCTACAATGACATCATAGTTTCACAGGCAGATTGATCACCCACTTTTTGTTCCGCCGCCCCCGCTTCTGTCCCCAAGCCTCCAGCTTGGCGATGGGGCAACCACATCGGGCACGGAACAGCAACACTGCCCGGCCATTGGGTGGGGCCATCTTCCGGAGCTCCAACCTCAGGCACTCGTACTCCGGGCTGTTCCCCTGATCACCGCCCTTCCACGGGAGGTTGTCGATCTCCCGCCACACCCCCACGGCCGGCGACGAACCCGCCGCCTTGATTGATTCCTCAGTTTGCAGCTGCACGTCGAATTCCAACGCTTTCTTCAGCCCCTTGCATTGGGGATTCCCACACCGGTTAGACCACCACCGGAACCACGAAGACCGCCGCCCCCTGATCCTTCCGCCGCCCTCACCGCCCTCACCGCCCTCACCGCCGCCGCCGCCGCCGCTGCCGCCGCAGGGGATCTCGGCGGCGACCAGGAATGTCGCCGCGAGAAATACCACGAGCCCCGCGGCGTACGGGATAGGCGATCCATTGAAAGAATCGGCGAGCGGCCGGAGGAGAGAGGGGAGGATCTGAGAGAGCGAGCGGAAGATGTAGGAGAAGGATGACGAGATCAGGAAGGTGCAGGAGAAGAGAACGAGAATGAAGATGAGCAGGTCGAGGGTCGCCGACGGCGATGAGTGCCTGCAGCAAGGCGACGATGACGACTGACCGGCGGCGCCGCCGGGGCCTTGCCGCCGGCCCTTTACCGGAGATGCCGTCACGGCGGAGGACCGCATCTCTGCGGACGGGTTGCGGTGCATGTTAACAGCCCCCTCCCTTCCCCCCATTTTTAATTTAATTTTTCCCCCCTTTTCTCTCTCCTCCCGCACCGACTTCCACCGCCACCCCGCCGCCGCCTGATGACACTGCCTCCACTTGCCCTGGTCAGCTATCACGCTGACTTGCACGTTCAGGATATTAGGATTTTGTCGCACCTGTTGGCGGCTGTTTGGATCCGATTTTCCGATTTTGGCCTATAACCTAACCTCATGCTACGTGACCAGCCGACTGAGGCATCCTGGTGCGAACCATCCCGGCAGGTCCGAGCCTGGATGGGCATGGGCCTGGCCCGCGAACGCCTACGTGGCGGCCAGACACGGAGCCCGTTTTGAGCTTTTCCGGGCCAAACGGGCCCGGGCCTTTCATCTAGCAGTCAGCCCGGACCCCGGACTAGCCCGGCCCGTTGACAATCCGATTGGAAGTGTAAACGGGTTAGTGAATGCTCCTCGGAGGTTTTGCCGCCATTTGGTCATCCGGCAAGAATGTGGGCAAAACCTCAGGTGCAGGCGCACCACCTCAAATCCCTCGCGCCTCCGTCGCCACCGCCGGCGGCTTTTGGGCGGCGGCTCTGCGGGACGGTTGTGTTCCCATCACTGCCACCCGCCCCCAAGAGGAATCCTTCTCTCCGGGCAGGTCTGTTCGTCGCCTCATCCCTTCTGTGTTCACGTCTCTGTATCTTTCTTTAGTTGTTACTGAGACGCCGGGGGGGAAAATCGCGTCAGTTTCAGGTAGGACCAGAGAAGAGGACACTAGTGAAGAGGGCGGGCTCCCCAAGGAGTACTATGACGAGGTAACTGAGTGCTGGGGAATTTCTGATATCTAGTATTTACTTTCCCTTCTTTTTTCTGTTCATGGTATCTCTATGCTGATGCTTGCTCCAGTCCACCGACATATTTATGCTTTTCCGGGTGTCAAATTTCTGCTTGTATGTTCTTGCCATGAAAGACATTTCCTAGTTTCAAATAATTGGAAGCCTTCTTGGGAACCAATGATTTTGTCTTTGGTTGCACTACATCAGAAGTCAAGGTTGGTAATGGGTACGGATTGCTTTTGGAAGAGATTTCGTGCTGGTGCTCAGGAATGCCTGTTTTTGCAGGGAAAATGTTCTTGCATTTGATAAGATAACCAAATGTTCAACAATCAATAGTGGAAATTTGTATGAAGACTAATTACATATAATGAACGTCTGATTGCAAGAGGAAGTATATATATATATATATATTATCGTGCTCATCCCCTACATATTCAAACATTCATTCATTCACAATTTTTTGATCATGCATAATAATTGAAGGTGTTTTGCATGTTACTCCATTTTGTATATATTTTTGGTGTCGTATGCTCTTGTTCTTTGCCTTCTCTATTTTTTTTTTTTGGCTCTCGTTATTATCATTATATCCCTCTGATCAATTGAGACTGGAATCCTGAAGACTCGGTTTCCTAAATGATAGTATCTGATTCAATGGATCTCTCTTCACTGGGAGTGGTAGTGACTACCTCTTGATCGTGGAACACGACAAAGATGCAAGAATTAGAGGGCTAACACAAAAGGAAACTCGTGTAAGTCTTATCAGAAACAGTCAAGTTTGTCAAAACTTGATTTTCAAATTCTTACAACCCATCTTCTGCTTATGGAGATTAGATATAACCTCTGCACACAAGACTGAAAAGATACCCATACGTCATTTCCCAAATAGTTAACATTGAAATTTCTTAACCCCTGACTTCTCAACTCCCCATTCTCACAATTGGTGAGAGAATACTAAGAGAGAACGTACATCCTCCTTTATATTCATTAATGTGATAATAACACATCAAGGTTTCAGCTCTTCCTCCTTGTCTCTTCACAACTCCCAAAACGTGACATTGCACATCCTTGTCCACAGCACGGGTTTTTTAACAATATCCCATTTATTCGGTTCAATGGTTGATTAACTTCTAACCCATGTCGGACCTTCATCATCCCATTAATTGGAGTCAGATGGTTCCTATTATTTCATTATTTAGTAGGTTCAAATTTCCAAAAGTTAGCTTTGTTCCTACTTTGCTTTGCCAGCTTTGAGCGTGAAAAAGGTATTAGGTCCCAACTAAGCTCAGTCGCCGAACTAGTTTCTTCTACTTAATCTGTTTCAGTGTCTATTCACTTCAGTATCCTCTCAGTTGGTAAAGCATTGTTGGTGCACCTAGTTATTACACTGATCTATTGTTTTCTTTTCTCAAAAGTTAAAAACCTTGGGGTGCGCATTTATTGCAAGCTTCCTTCCTTGTTTTAATTTACAGTTCTCACCTTGTTGATATTTTCTCTGTTGATACTTAACTGGGCTCTTTCACATTTGAAAGGAATGGCAAGCACGGCAGCGGGAAAAAACAAAGGAGTGGCATGCATATCGCGACAAGGAAGAAGAAAAAGAGAATATGAAAGTTGATGAATATCGTGAAATTGGAATGCGTTTGAAGGGATACCCTGAAGAAGAAGTTCGGAAAGCAAAAATATTAGTTTCAAACTTCATAAGAGCTGCAGAAGAAGTTGAGGAGGTAAACTGGTCTTCATAATCTGGTCATTGTTTATGCAACTGTGTATTCAATATACTGTTTTCTGCATAAAGCTCACGTCATAATCGGTTTCACTTTTAAGTTGGACTATCTTTTTGTTAATATTACGTCCTAATTAGATTAAAGTTTATGTTATTTTGGTTACAAGGATTATGACTACTAGGGCAAAATTATACATAAGTATATTTTCATGAAGATTATGTGATGGATATAGTTTTATTTGCTGAAGATGAGACCATTGAAAGTTTATAAGTGCATAGATTGGTCATTCTTATTTCACGTGTTCTTAATCTACTTTTTTGTACACATTAACTAGTGGATTTTTCTAGTTCGTAAAAAACTTGTTCTTTTTCATGTTGAATATTTCCTTTAATAATGCATAATTTAAATATAAAAATTGACTGGAAAAAAAAGCCTGCTTAGATACCATGATCATTCCAGAAAAAGGAAGAAATGAGAAACTAGTCCAGTTGGCAATCTAGACGTGTTGGCTCCCCAGAAGTTTTAATGGCTGTCGAGAAATTATCATCTGCATCAATCATGTGAGCTTGAATCATGTTAAAATGGCTTAATTGATGCATACCTAAATGATTCCGAAAATCAATTTAGGATAAGAAATAATTGTAAAGCTGGGAAGATTAATTAGAGTGTTTGATGCCAATTGAATTATAAACATGCTTAAGAAGGCACACTTATACCCTCTATATTAAAGTTTGTAAAAACCAATATTGTAGAAAATAGTTGAGATGAGAGATTGATATAGTAGATGTATTAATTAGATAATTTCATCAATGTTTTGAGGTCATTAAACTAACAGTCGGTTCGAAGGCAAAGTAGCCAAATGACAACTTTATAAGCGTGTTAAAATAATTTTAAGAGTTAAAAAATAAATGAGAAATATTTCATAAAAAAGATTATCTATGTTTAATCACAACAAGGCTAGATCAGATCAGTAAACAGTTTATTTTCGTTGTTATCTCTTAGGTTCGATCATAGAATACATTGGGTGCTCCAAGTAAAACCTTCCACTAGGTTTATTGCAACTTGCATGTTAGCTTCCTAGAGATATTGATAAAACCTTCTCCATAGCCAAGCTTTGCTGATGGGAGTCAGTCAGATGGTGTGCGAACCCTTCCAAATATGTCATAAGCCTTGTAAGTCTTGATTAGGATTTGAATGTGCTGAAAATGAATAAAATTCAGTGAAATGAAATTCAAACAAAAACGTATTTATTTTTTATGTGGAAATAGGGTTTCAGTCAAAGGAGGACACATGTAATCGGTAAAAAATATAGTTACAAAATTAACGTTCAATTGGCAATGAAAACCTGGTCCAATGCTGTCTCTCTTTCCAATTTGAATATTGAGCTTGGAGGTCTCCAACTCTCGGTTGCAGCTCCAGATTTCTCTCTCGTCAAATGTAGGTTGAAAATGATTCTCCAACCAAAATGTTTCCGATGCTGATTGAGTTAATAAAGAAGGGTTACTTGTGGCCAGCGATCACCATCATGGGAGGAGGCAGCTACTGGCAGGCTAAAGATCTTCCCTATATTTCTCTCTTATTCATGGTTTGGAGAAGGGGGCGGGGTGTGTGGGTTCTTGATTTCAGAGAATATTTGCTGCTTTTTGGTGTTTACTATTTGACAATCGTAGGAATAATTCAATAGTTTGTCGGCGTACTCTCTTTGACCAACCTACTATTCAATTGAGAAGGTAAAATTTATAATAATATATTTGGTGCACATGACATATTGGACTGTGTTTTGGCAACCATACCTCAAAATTATTTGTACCTCCACTTGTATATTACCCCTTAGGGAATTTGACTGATAGAGTGCATTTTCTCTCTCCTCATGAAGTCTTCTTCATCTGTTCCTCACTTTTTGGTAACTGGTTCCCTCTAAACCATAGAAAAATGCATTTATCATATTGTACCCATTGTATTCAAGTTTAGAATCTTGGATGTCCTAATGTCAGGTAACATGCAGATCTAGACGGAATTTCAGACTTAAAAACGGTATCTGGATGAAATCTTATTTGTTTACCAAATTGTATTTTTTATGAGGATAATTAGATATTTTAGGCCGCACCTCCTCGTAGTTTCGGGGAGGTGAACGATTTTATGATCTTTTAGCTTTTGCGCTCGAAAAATATACGCTTAATTTGCAAGTTATTCTTCAGGGTCGACTAATTAAGGAATGCATACTCTCCTTCACTGTTCCACCTCCTGTTGTTTGTGTTTTGTATTATCTGCATGGTAGGAACTCATGAAAATTCTTTGATAAATATAACTCTGACCTTGTTCTTTCTGATTATTTTTCTGTGTAGAAAATTGAGGAAGCTGCTGAGAATGGTGAACTGACTGAGCTTGTCCTGCTGGTCATATGGAACCGTTTAGATCTGGCTCGAAGAGATGTAGGCGAAGCTTATTACATTGATTTTTCAATCTATTTCCTCAATTGTGCACTCCTCCCTTTCTTATGCTATCATATGCCGCAAGACTTTAGAATCTACTCTTTAGGTTACAGAGTCAATTCAGAGGATACCCTGTTAATTGCTAGTGTTTGATGTTTACATCATTGTTGTAATTGGTAGTTCTTATCATCACAGTCATTTCTTTTCATGTTTGATGAACATTTATCTTAAGAAATTCTAGACAACAAAGGGGAGAACGGCGAAGTCATGGAATTTAAGTTTGTTGTTTTATTCTATTTATTTGAACCAGCTAGTCTGGACTAACCTTTTTATAGATTAAATTGCACTGCATGAGTGCATGAACTTGGGCTTGTTGTTCATAGTTCAATTGACTTATCCGGCATGCCCACAATAGATCCTAGAATCATCTCTGCCGTATTGTCTTGTAACGGATACGATGTTTATTCGTTTTAATCCTCAACTTTAGTTTCTGAAGTTTTGTGACCAGTTGCATGGTTCCTCTTGAATAAGCTTGTCATGGTGCGAAAAATCATATTTCATTCACTTGATTTATTTAGAAGATAGGTTTTCCATACCTTTTTTCAAAAAAATGAGATATTTATATTCAACCTTAAGACTTACTGTAGACAAGTTGAGAAGTTAGCATATGACGATGTTGCATTGTTATGTTTTTCTTGCTCTGTTTCCAATTACTACAGTTTTAGTTTCCTTACATCAGGGATTATGTTTCTATGAAATATCTAATATAATTGCTGTAGGGCGAATTTAGAATTTGAAAGGAAAGTGTGAAACCCTCAAAAAGTACTTTTTTTGTCATAAACAGCATTGCTATTTTGGCTTATTCTTGATTCTAATTCAATTTAGCATGTATGTTTTTAGTTTTTAAAAATCGTTTATTCATAATTTTTCTACATCACATCTTAATGTGAGGTAGAATTGTTTTTATAAGGTTAGGCTTTTTATTTAACGTTGAGGCCTAACTTATTGATATATGGTATGTACTCAGGAGGAGAGAGATGCCATCAGGAGCTTAGATCTTTTATACCGGAGGGTAGAGGTAAGTGGTTTCACTTGTAATGTTGTTACGATAACTAGACTACATGATCAAATATTTCTTGAGCATGCAACTTTTAGTCATTGATAGCTTTCTAACATGCCAAATTCAGTATTTATCGTATGTTGCAATTAAGCGCGAGCATATGATGCAGAAGTTGCTTGGTATCTACTCTTCTTTGTTTTAGACAGAAATATTGAAAAGAGAATCATCGCCATCCATGCGTTTGCTTAATGATCTGCTGAATCTCCATGATGGATTTGATGATGATGAGTGGCTGAAGACATGCAGAAAATGCATGATTGATACATTTCCAGCAGAGGATCCTTTCAGTATACTTGTTCCAGCGGGATTTGATGTAGATACTGTAAGGCTATCCACCTTATGTCCATGACATGATTATCTTTGCTCTTGGCTGAACATTTTATACTTTCTTATAAGAATTTTTATGAGTGACTAAATTCTCACCACCTGAAATTTCTTACTCATGACTAATCGTTTGTATTAGTTTCGCATCTCGCATGCTTGAAATTTTTGCTTAGTATTGAATTGCGACTGAGAACTAAAAGCAAAATTTTGGAAATAATACCTTTATTCCACGAGATGTATTGGCTGCTGTGGATCATGTATTCTGTAAAATTTTAATCGACTTGATCTGATTAAGCTATATTTCATATGTCAAGGTTTGAAGGAGTTGTAACCCGTAGAATTATTACAACTCTAATGCCCTATTTTGACAGTGTCGAAAATTCTAGGAAGATAGAGAATAGAGAGGATAAATCCTACCTTGACTTGTGTTTGTCAGATAAAAGTTCCTCAGATCCTGCCCCTATGCTGGATTCAGTGTTTTTGCGTTTGGGTATGAGACAAAAATAGCTAATCAAGTATTTGAGTAGTCCTTGATGAGAGTGGGAGATTATAGGTTCATAGGTGTAGTCATGTCAACATATGTTTCTATTATAGTAATCAGGTTTACCGACAGTCTTTCATGTCAAGATTATACGCTGCCTTCAAATGTTTTGAGCATCCCTTACACACAGAACATGTTAGGCTGCGGTATAAAATGGCGCAGGTTTATTTTAGGACTAAGTACGGTTTAAAAGGTTCAGAACAATATGAAACAAGCCTTAAGGTATCTAAGTATACAAGGACGAATCGAAAACCCACAATATGAACATGGGTATGGCATGTGGGTCCTACCAGAGTTTCCACTCTGGGTAAGATAAGTCTGAGATGAACACCATACCTAATGTAATTAGTGCATGTCATGAATTGTTCAGTTACCCTCTCTAAGTTGATGTTATTTGCTAAAAATGTTGGTGATCTGTCAACGCAAATTGTTTGGATTATCTCCAATAGCTGAGAGTGTAAACAAGAGATCATTATGCCGTGTCGTTTTCATTCCAATATTTTTCTCAGAAATATTTACATCCCCACTACTGAGATTTCTGGTCAGAAAATATCTTCCGTTAATTGAGATGCTTTTCTCTTTGACCAGCATCACGGCCGCATCGAGCTCGAGCCAGACAACGATGATGTTCTGTTGAGAGCAGATTTTATCAGGGAAGTGGATGCGCTGCTCCAGGAGGTCCGAAGTGAGCAAGAAGACGACCGGCCCGCCGAGGGCCACGACGCCGAGTCCGTGGCTAACATGCTGAAGCAGCACGAGAGGCAGCGGACTATACGCCAGGTGGAAGCCCTGCTCGATTTGGCAGTAACATTACAGTGGTGATGCTGTTCTTCCTCCTCTCCAACAGCAGAGAGCGAGCACTGCTGCGGGTGTTGTTGTGTTCTTTCTGACTGGAGGGAGCGCTGCTACGGCGGCTGCCTGCCCGCTTGCTAAGATTCTGCTCGCCTACTCTCTTCGGCCTGTAAATTCCCAATGTGATTTTCGGAATCCCCAGTGGACATGTCGGCCTGGTCAACGCTGGCCAGAGATATCAGGCATCTTCCACTCCCATCATCTTGTGGATACATTTCAATGTGGGTATTTATTATTTTAAATGGGCCACATGAGCTCGGATAAAGTTCATCCCTTTGCCTGTGTCACCGCGCGTCGTGCCGCCGTGTGCGCGCGTGCCGTGCCGTGCCGCTGTGGACGCGCGCGTGCAAGAAATGGTGAGACCAGAGTGCATGTGCTGCACATCCTTCTTAATGGTGGGTTTTATTAGGCCCAGTGAGACCAGAGTGGGTCTTATAGAACTCTCATTTTCCATGGAAGTCGCCTTTCCGCAAGCTTGGAAGCCATTTTTGGGAAACATAAGCTATTACTTGGCTGATTTTAAAAGATGGTACACACTGCTTCATTCAGGAATCAGATAACTTGTCCATATTAAGAAAGCATCACAGAATATCTACATGACGGGGAGCAGCAGCCCTGGATGAGTCTCAGGCGAATTCCCTGTCGGGGAAGATCAGAGGAGCCAGGAGGGTCCAAATGTACAGAATAGCAGTGGCCCACTCAGTACAGATCCTGATCCACACTGAGACCCATCCGACATCGATAAGCTCCGAGTTCTCCAGACTGGAACTGCTCCACCCGGTGAGAAGCATGGCAGAATACATGCTTGCAAGCGCGAATATAAGATGGAAGAATGTGTATGAGTAGCTGACGGGCCGTGCTTCCTTCCCTTTCCTTCCTTCCTTCCCTTCTTCTACATCGCTCGAAGCCAGAAGGGGTTTCCCCGTCCCTGAATCACAATTGGGAACCAACTGGCTAAACAAATTCAAAAGAGAAAATTTTCATTCTGGGTGGGGCTTTTTTTCTAATCGTGTTTTTGCTAAGATCTAGTTGTGTGATTTTCATGGATGAAGAAAAAGTAAAGCAAGAGGCAGTACAGAGCCCAGCGGGTCTCATTATCCAGAATACTTAACTTTCGGTATGGTCAAGCATGATAATTAGGGTAGTTTAAGGCAGTAAGCAGTCTGAATTTTCTCATTTCAGAAGAAACATTGCGCCAAACATCTGAAGCAGATGTGAGAGTATGAGACATAATACCTGACTTTGGTGAGGATGGGGGTGACAAGAAAGTTGTTGAAGAACCAGCACGGACGGCAGAGTAGAGGACAGAGAGAACGGTGGTGAGCATCCCAAGAATAAGGGTACCCGTGGAAACTCCTTTCGAGTGTTTATGCAGGCCATTGCACTCATAATCTCGGGGTTCACTTGAAAGGCCGCTATAGCAGAGGTATGCACAGTACACAGATATCACAGAAGCAGGCAACAAACTACCATTTACCTATAGATTACAAGTTCCCACAGAAAGGTCAAAAAGTGCACAATAAGATGATAAAGTACAGGAAAAAAAGAAAAGAAAAAGTCTCAATGTAAGTACTAATGTAAATAAAATAAGATTGGATTCGTGTGGGCAATTCGTCCTTCCACAAAACACAGGTTTAAACCTTGATTTCTTTCTTTCTTTCGTTGTTTCTTCCTTGCTGATTTTTGTACTGCATCAGTTTTGCCTCCTTAAAAGTATGACTGCACCAAATCCAGAATAAAGACATATCTTCTGGATTAGGATGGCATTTAGCCCGCCCATTTCTACTGATTCAGCATACAACTAGCTAATGATGCTGCATCTTATACTCTTAATTCATCCCTCCCTTGTGTTAATTGGATCTACAAATGGCCACGGGACCAATGAGGGGAGTTATTCTATCTAGAAAAGGTTAAAACTGGCATAAAATTCATCTCCCTCCCCGGTTAAGCAAAATAAAACGATTTTGATCCAGGAAGAGCTGACTAACCAGGGATCAGTTTCAGAAATCCGACACCCAAGATGAGGAGCGGCTAGTGCAGCTTGCACTGGATGGTTTCTAACGAGGCCGTTGGTATAATAGGAAGATGGAGGGCAGGGGGGAAGAAAATGAAAGGAAGGGAAGAACGAGATAACAAGAAATATCGACCAGCGGATCCCTCATTGGATTTATCTGAATCCATAATTTGATATATTAAGTTCATTTATCTAAATTTTTTCTCACACGGGTCTTCTATTGGGTAAGCTGACCCATATTTATAGGAAAAAAATCCAGCTAAAAGGAAAAGAGTAATTGAATAAAAGTTCTGTTCCTACATCAGGCAAAGAGTTCCATGAAAAGCAACCAGGCATTCACGTATGACAAAAAACTGAGTCTCACAAGAGTTTCAATCGGAAGGTAGCAATCAAGGTTGCAGAATTTAGAGATATGTCAAGATTTTTTTTGGCTAACGAACAGCAAGGATAGTACCAAATCATTGAATAAAGAGGTGGAAGTTATGGTTTATAGCATTTATTCAACAAGCTTATGGCAAGGTCGAAGTTTCGATGACATAATCCGTGATAAAAGGATGCACGAAATTGTTCAGAACTCCACCAAAGTTACATCGATTCAGATAACAATCCAAGCAATGTGGGGGGTGGGCAAAACTTCAACAAGGTTACAGTAACCAACTAGTGAAAAGGCAAAATAATTGATAGAGATCAGGTTATGTAATTATGACTATCTAAAATATTGAGAGTAAGCTGAAAGCAATGAAAACAAACTCAAATCCATTAAGAATTTTTTTTGGTAAATACTCAAGAAAAATGCCAACTCATGATTTACGGAACTGAGGAAAAGATTCACAAAAAAATCTCTTCTTTTGTAGCGGCAAGTACCCATAATCATTGCATAGCAAAAAGAAAGGAAGATATGCTCATGTGAGTCCTCAAAAAACCTCATGTACGACAGTTTTATACCACACAGAAAGATTGTACACCACACTAGAAATGTAAAATATCTAAGATAACATATGCATAGCCTTCCTCATTCCAAAAAAGTCAACATCTTCTTTCACCCTATTAGGTACACATTACCTGAAAAGTTCCTCTTCTCTAAGGGTGCATATATTTCTTTCCTCTAAAGACCATGCCAGTGGCCCCTTTTCAGCATATACTGCTGTTTCCATCATAAATATCAAATTATCCAGAAAACTTGCACCATCATATATTAAGGCGTGATAACTTAATCAATTTTCGTTCTATTGGGTACCAAAAAATATTTACTCACTTTTCATTCAATTAAACATAACATATTCAAGAAAACTGTTATAATCTGGAACTTGAGCACACTTTTTAAGTCAATCAAATAAGCAGATAGGGCCATAAGTTGGCATTAAAAAGAGTCAACCATTAGGAGCACATTCCCCATCAACTAAAGGCCAATTATAACCATCAAAACTGATTTGCCTTAGGTTTCCAACCTCTGGAACGTAATAACTAACTTCGAATTCCACGAGCTAGTACCTGTGGATGCAATGCGATAACAGCAAATACAAAGGCAAGAACTATGGTCATGATGATGAAAAACAGGTTGAGTCCGCAGTCATTGCCCGATGGATTGAACAAGATAAAGAGAACCCCTGAGAATGAGAAGGCAGCAATATAGCACACAACTGATATCACAAGTAAAGCAATGTACCTGCACAGAATACTTAGACAATCAGAAAAATATGGTAAATTCACAATATAACAAGGATAAATTATACATAACCCACCATTTCTGTTCGTCCTTTTCAACCCATGCATCATTCCAAGTATGTGTGAAGTCCAGCAATATGACCACTTGGACCAATAAAAACAAACCCGAGCCGAACTTCGATAGTGTTTCTGATACCAAAATTATCAAATATGAAATAATGGAATAATGATAGAAAAAACATGCATTCAACAAGCAATGAACAGCCGGACAAGGCTAGGGATCAAAGTATTCTTCCAGGGTCCCAAAACAAACTATTCTTTCAGATGCCCTAGGCAGGGGAAGCACAGTTTACACTTGTTTCTCTTAATGCTTAAGGCCTCATGCTTCATGGGAAAGAAAGCACCAATGGCTGGAGGATACAATCAGATACAGATCACACAAAAAATTTGGAAACAAAATAATATTTCTTTGTGGAGAGAGAAAATAGTTTTTAATATCAGAATGTTGATGCTACTTAAAGGGATCACATGTAGTAAATTTTATTATTTAAAATGAATCCAACTAATTTATTTTTCCAGGATAAGAAACAATGCCAATTAAGAACATAAATTGTGAAAAATTCATCGTTATCAGTTATCTCTTGTGGAATAACTCTAACAATAGGTTTTTTTCTTACGCAATGGTGCAATATACAATGCTACATGATGCACGAGTTTCCCAAATTTAAGTTTTTTCTGTGTAATTCAGTGACTGTAAATTACATCACGACCTAGGTTTAGAATTGGAGGCCAAGTGCAGCTTTTGGGTAATGGCCACTCACTTTTGGTGTTAGTAATTGGTAAGCCTCTATAGTTCTTATCAAACTGAATTCGCTCAACAACAGTAAATCCTTCAATATCCAGGATTATTTTCCTATTGATAGTGATACTTATCAAATGCAAAATCGAAAAATTATACTTTTTGGTTCCTTAATAAGTACAGGAAATGACACTCTAGTGAATTTTGCCCATTTAAATAGAACAGCAATTTTCCTAGAATGAGGTCACATAAAGTGACATACTAGTGGGGCGATAACAAACAAAATAACCAAGTCTAGATTGTAGGAGAGAATGCTCATTTAGGGATACTGTAGGAAAGAATTAGTTCACAAAAAATTGCCTCAATGCAGTGAACTTACCATATACAGTAGTTACAACATTTGGAAGGAAAAACATCAGAGCAATAAGCAAGACCCAAATCACAATTTTCACCGTCCATCCTCCATGATGCCACGAATCTCTTCTGTCATTTTGGTCCTTGACACCAATCATTATAAGGGCAAATATTGTGAAAAACAAGAAATTTCCTAAGCTCACACGAAGAACTGCTTCGACCTGAAACCATTCCTTTGATGGAGTGTGAGCGAAAGTGTTAATCCCTGTAAAGAAAATCAAATTCAAGTCACTTTATATAAACCCGTGCCACCTAAAGCAAACAAGAACAGGTTGAAAGAAAGAAACCTTAAGGGCATCAATAAGTTGCCTTCTCTATTTCAAGGGTATGGATGGTTCATAATTGGGGACATCTATTTGTTTTAATAAAGTTTTATGATTTTTGAAATCCCGCTCTTCTCACTCATGCACACATCTTCTCAACATCTCTTGTCACATGATCTCCAACTCTTGAATTTGAGTCAGGATAAAGGAAGGAGACTAGAAAAAAAAATCACTCTGTCATTTTCCCTTCCAACTGGTCATTTCTTCTTGGAAATGTAATTCTAAATATCCCAGAAAAAGATTCTATTTGTATCTAGATTACATATAAATCACTGCCTCACTGCCTTTTAACACCTAAGCAACCCTCATCCCTTTAAATTCAGATTAATGAAGGGGAACAGTAAACCCTAAGATCTACTCTATAGTGGATGGGGATTTGAAGAAGGAGATACCATCTGTTCACATTTATGCAAGAGATATCATGACTTCAACGGATCATAGCATCACGTTTCCCAGATCATCATAGGTGGTGGCTCAAACTGATGCAGAGAGGACAGCTTCTTATGAAATGCCAAAAATTATGAAAATCGATGACTAAGCCATTTGAGAGACCAAGATAGACGGCGACCCAAAAACTCATCGCCTTATGAGGGATTAAGAGGAGCAAATGCAATGAGAGATGTCTCTAAAAAGAAAAACCTTGCGGTCAAAAGGGCCATAAATCAATTTCTTGAATACTAAGATTTTTTGCGCCATACACGATTTCATTGTCATCAAATACATCTCCACAGGATTCAGGCAACAAGTTGAATTATTGAGAACGCCATGGCATGAAAACATAGGATTCGCGTACAAATGGATATTTTTCGCATCGATTTCTAGGTTCATTCTGAGACAGGATAGATGGCATGATATTGACACTTTCCCTCTGGCTATCGGCACATCAAGAACCAAAAGCTTTAGATTTATCAATTTGTTTTCAGTGAAATATTCACACATGAAGCCTTTATTCTGCTTTGATTGGGGTGATTCTCCAAATCTGAATCATCAAAATACATCTCCACAGAACTGACCACACGTATCCACGAAAGGACGGCGATAGAAAAGAGGGGGACAACATGAAATTAGGACCCACGTACATGGGATCTTCTCAAGGAGTGGAGCGGCAACCTCCCGGAGTATCCACGAAAGAACTAGGAAGAGACCGAAGAGGCCGCAGTAGGCGATCCTTGCAGAACGCCGGGATATGCCCGATGCCGCCGACGCGCACAACCCGCAGGTGCAGCTCGCGCAGCACGACGTCAAGCACGACGCCACCCACATCGTCCCCTACCTCCTTCCCTCCCCCTTGTTTGATCCCTCTCCCCCTCCAAAGTTCCTCCTTCCCCTCACCACCTCCCCTCGCCCTCCCTCTCTCCCCTCAGCACAGCCTCCACCGTAGCGTCACCTTCCGGTCGCAGGAGAATGGAAGACGAGAAAATTCAATGGAGAAAATATATATATATAGACAGAGAAAGAGAGAGAGAGAGTGAGAGCGAGAAATATATATATATAGAGAAATAGAGAGAGAGAGAGAGAGAGAGAGAGAGAGAGAGAGAGAGAGAGAGGGAGAGGGAGAGAGAGAGGATGGTGGTAGTTTTTTTTGACGGAGTGAATAAAACCGAACAACAGATGAAGGTCATCTGCGAGAGCAAGCTACTCCAGCGATTTGTTGTCTCCCTAGTGGGCCTGAATTCTTCCAGAAGAAATAAGCCTCGTCCAGGCCCAATAGCCACGGAGACAAGGACTACACAGCCCCTTCCTCGGAGAAGCCACCCATCATTGAGTACAGGGGCAAATATGTGGTTACGCAAACTCCAGGCCCTCATCGCCGTCACCGTCCATCGCCGTTATGGCTCTACAGACGGCGCTGCTCCCTGGTCCGGCGAGGGTCTCTCTCCGGGGAGGAGTCCCACGCCGTCACCGTCCAGCGGAGGATCTCTCCCGTAGAGGTAAATGGTCAACGGTCAACGGTCAACGGTCAACGATCAACAGGTACATATGAATATAAGTGACATTATACCTCATGAATGTACAGTATTACAGATATACGTTATTAAGCCTCACTAAACGTGCCATTGTGGAGCAATGTACAATTTTGAGGAATAGTGAGGTAAAGTTTCTATTTTGACATTTTACCCGTATGCTCTAAGCCCTAGAAAGTTCATATTTTTTTAGTAGCATAGAAGAATAGCTCTCTCTCTCTCTTCTGGTTGCTAAACCCTTACTGGAACATAGCCTCCGTTCTTTCTTTCGAGCATCATCACCCGCGGCGCCGTAGGCGACTCGGTTCTTCCTCCTCGCCGTCGTCAACCCCATCATCCGGGTAGAGTTCAGGTCCGGCTTCGTCTCCGGTTGGCCCCGGAGAACATTCGGTCGGTACCCTTCAGCGGGTTTTCACCCATCCTGCTTCTTCAACTTTCAGCCCGGCCTCTTCAGCGACTCCGTCCTGCGGCGGTCTTGGTAGTCTTAAGTTTCCTCGCGTTGCTGAACGTCATCCTGCGGTTTGCGGCTTGGTGGTTGCTACTTCCGGCAGCAGGTTCCATCGTTGAGCCATTGACGCAGTATTTTTAGGGACTTCGAGGTACATTCGCATTCTTCCCGGCCTCCTCTCTGACTAGGCCCGAGTGTCTCATGTTTCCCTTTCATTGAACCGCAAATTTACCTTCAACACCGGGTTGAGGTTCCTCTAATTGACGGAGGAAATAGATCAGATAGCCAAAGCTATCTGACAATGGTACTTGATATTTTATTCATAGAAGTTAGAAATTAGCTTCTTGAGAGGTCTATCCTGGATTATCTCGGGGTACAAGGTTTTGGAAAGAGCGATTCTGGATGGAAGTCTCTGGACATTTACAAACTGTCTATGTTCTCTGCGACGTGAATGATTGATTTGTAACCATCTCGTGTTATTCTCTGTGGATTTTGCATCCGTCACTCGTTCAACGAGAATTACACTGTGACTGCTCTGCGCCTTTTCCTAATAAACCGGCAATCTAACCCATTCTTTTTTGAATAGTGCCTAAGACAGCAGTATCTACTCCTACAATTGCATAAATGTTGAAGGTGAAAACTCCCAAGACTCATAAAGCTAAGCGAGAGCTTGAGAAGCGTGCACCAAAGCTGGTTAGCAATACTATTTATTCTATCTTCCATCTTTTTCGTTTTTCAGTTTATAGAAACTGTCATCATTTTTTTCCTCTTATATTGCAATGTAATGTATTGCCCTGTATTTCGATAGGTTGAGAATCCAAAGAAGACTCTAATTCTTCAGGGAACACGGTCTAGTGCTGTACTGAACGCCGTGCTTACTCAAATTTATCATCTTAAAAGGGACAATGCTGTGAGATTTACGAAGAAGAATGACAGAGTCAGGCCCTTTGAGAGTGCCGGTGAAGCATCTCTGGAGTTTCTCTCTCTCAAAACTGATTGTAGCCTCTTTGTGGTAAGTGGGAAATTTTAGCCTGTGCACGAAATCTGTCTAAGGGCTCTTAAACATGAACCCTACATTCACCTCTGGTAGTCTTATACTCGTGATATAATGTTTTCCATTTTTAAATGGCTTTTACGTACACAATCTATACAAAGTAAGCCTTATTTTCTATGCCAATTCCACAAAAGATAATCCTTGTTCAGCTGTTGAGTCTTGTGAGCCACAATATCCGAGTATAATTAGTGTTGATCTTATGCTTTTATCTGTGCTCTGCAAGCTTCTGAAATAAACATACAAAACTTGGAATAGCTTGGATTTCGAGTGAAAGCAGATTTCTGGCTGTGGATTGGAAAACGAATTGTTGGACATAGTTTAGGATATCATTTCATTTGTGTGTTGCGCACATTTCCAGTGTAAGGAATGCTTTTTTTCACTTTCAAAACTCAGAATTCAATCAAGATGATAATAATAAAATACATGAGAATGTGCCTTCCTATTAAATGTTAAGAGTCCTTTATCAGTTAGTTTCGATTGAAGACTGTCTTATCACATTACTCTTAAAATTTTGAGCATTGAGTTTTGAGAAATTTGAGTTCCTTTTGGTCAAGGTTATTATGATTGTGGTACATTTTTCTATGAATCCTGTCCTTGTTGTCTGCTTGTCGTTGTGGCCCATTTATCAATAAAAGTTTCTCTCTACATGACAATACATCTTGTAGATCATTATTTGCGATTTTTTTGAAGATCTAGGTGGGCTGTTGGTTGTCTCACGTTTTCAGAAATAACAGTCAATGCTTAACTGAAACTCATTTGAGGGCTAGAATTGGGTAGAAAATCATCTCATCCTAGCAAGATCCGTTGATTTTCTGCCACAATTTTATGATCAACCAGGTTTTGGCAGGGGCAGTGCTATTGGGTGAAGATTTTGGAATAGTACTCCATAACCCACCTGCAGAGGATGAATCACGAAGAAGGGGGGGGCAAGTGTTGGAATGTTTAATAAATGTTGGGCTTTTATGTGAGAAAGTTACATTTTTTATCTTTTTGCACGATTTTTTGGTGAAACTGCCTATTTTTATGTTGTCCAATTTGGCATTTTCCATAGGTCATCCAATTATCTTATCCAAACCTATTGTGTTGGATTGGACCTGGCCCGGTCAATTTGGTTGGTCAATTGTATTTATGACTCCATGCCTCCCTTTGTGGTGTGTTCTTCTTTCCATGTGCATCAACCCACTTCATTTGATGGGCATCTCCTTTCAGGACTCCAGCTGTTATTTTTGATCCACTTCTTTTTGAGATCCATTCTGGCTATTTTTTTCTCTTCTTTAATTGGAATACTGGCTATTGATGGGAAATGGGAATGTCGTCTCCGGCCTAATTTAGATCACCAAATTATTGTCATTATCTGGGGAACCTTTTTTGATCCTGTGGAGCTCTTTCACTCCATATTCAGACTCGACTTCGAACACTTCGAAACTTTGTATGGAGTATGTGTGATATACTCAAGTAACCTTGGGATTTGATGGTGGTGATAGATCAATGGCATGCGTATCAGGAAGAAATTGGGACAAAACTAAGATGTTAGAGAACTAGTAAAAGTGACGTGTCTATTGGTTTGAATATAAACTTTTGACGATTATTCATACTTAGGAACTTATATTTGAGATTGGTGGGACCGTGGATCTCCAGGTAATGTATCCATGTACTGTTGTAATGATGACGCAAGTGAGAAACTTTGTAAGTGGAATGAGAAAAAATAGGCGGATGTATCTTCTTTCGGTTTCAAGTATGCATCTGAAGCCCCTTGAAGACTTCTCTGTGCTTTTGAAGAAAACCCTCTTGTTTATGCAATTGGTTACCATAGACTATAACACGCATGCATTTTCATCTGTTTTTTTTGTTACTTGTTGCTTTGAGTTTTGCCATTATAGTGTGACATGTATACTTCCGTGCATTGTCAGGGGATATAGTCGTTGAGCTTTCATACTCAAGAACGATAGAAGCCATTTTTGTACTTCATGATTTTTCTTCTTTCGGTGCTATATCACAAGGGGAGTTCCTGTTGGCTATAAAATTAATGTATGCGTGGGGACCGGCGAAAAAAGAACGCAATTCTTTGGACTTATAGTGCATGTACTTTGGTAGTTATTGATGCATCTTTTATACCTATCATGAAGCTCTGCTTATCCTTATATATTTCCAGTGTTTGACTATCTGAAGTAAAGCAGGTGGGTATTGATACCCTCTGAATGCTGGAAACCTTCAACAAGTAATCTTTATTTTCCTAAATATCTAACCCTTGACATGCCTAAAAGAAATCTCAATGCGTTAAGTGACTATGCCCAGTAGATTTTTCATGAGTTACACCAAAATGAAAAAAATACAGAAGCAGGGGATCGAAAATTGGGTGGGAATCTTTCTAAGAGACTAGATAATGCAGAAAAACACATCTAAGACTCTTTTTCGGTTCATGTGGTGTGGGCTAGTGAATTTCACAGTGAGGAAGGTTTTAAATCTAGTCTAAAGGTGGATCCCCTTGTGCTAGGTGTGTGTTGCTGAAACTCTACAGGTGGAAGGAACATCTGTTTTCCATGAATCATGCTCAATTCTTTTCTAGACATTCGGATGCTATATCTCCAAATGGAGAGTTTCCAGCGCTCTTACCTTACCTTTATAAGTAAATATTTGATTCTCATTTTCCAGATGTTTTAAGTTTCTGGTTTATATTCTCATTGGGATGCTACATTCTCATTAATGAGATGGCGGTTTCCTTGGGTTGCAGTTTGGTTCCCATTCTAAAAAACGTCCGAACAATCTAGTTCTGGGAAGAATGTTTGATCATCACGTTTATGATCTTGTGGAAGTGGGCGTGGAAAACTTTAAGACCTTGGAATCTTTCTCTTATGACAAGAAAATAGCTCCACGTATGGGTTCCAAACCATTCTTTGCTTTTATTGGCGAAGGCTTTGAGAGCTCAGAAGAACTGAAACATTTGAAGGAAGTCTTGCTCGACCTCTTCAGGGGAGAGGTAAACAAATTATCGAGTCTCTATCAGGAGCATAAGTGTTTTCCAACGCCCATTGATTGTTTTTATGCATTTGACCGTGCAGGTGGTGGACAACTTGAATCTTGCAGGAGTTGACCGTGCCTTTGTGTGTACCGCTATCTCTGCAAACACCGTTCTCTTCACGCATTGTGCCATCCGGCTGAAAAGGTCGGGGACTACTATTCCCAGGATCGAGTTGGTGGAGGTCGGACCCTCCATGGATCTTGTGGTCCGGCGGCACCGCCTCCCCAATCCAAGCTTGCAGAAAGAAGCCATGAAAGGTGCCCGTGAACCACATAAGAAGGTTGGGCTCTTGACTCTTCATCCTTTCTTTGCGCCTCAAAGTTCCCATTTATAATATTGAATTCCGTTTCTCACTGCATATCTTCTCGGTTGACTGATGTTTATATCTGTTTCATGCTGTTTTTGGTATATCCATCTGATTGTGCTCGACATTTCCCATTCTTCGCAGCCTAAAAATGTGGTCCGAGACATCGTGCATGGGAAGCTTGGGAAGATTTACGTTCCAGACCAGAAGGTCAGCGCCGCCACGCTCTTTGTTCTTCCCTGGGCTCTTGGGCCTTCTCTCTTTGCCTTGAGAACAGGTGCTCATGGTGCGGGTGCCTTCAGGTTGGAAATCTGGCTTTGTCCAATGACGTCAAAGGGCTGAAGAGGGAGAGGCGTGAGGCCAAGGCCAAGGCCAAGGGCGCCTCCACAGACCACCCGCCAAAGAAGCAGAAGGCCTCCCCCGAACCTTGAAATGGAATGAAGAAGGGGCTCCCTAGGTAATCGGAATTGAAACAATTCTCCTCTTTGATCTTCTCAAGCAGTTCGACATCATGGACATGATCTTCAAAGCTTGCTTTTTCTGGCTCTTATGCTAGATAAAGGAAGAGCAAAGGGGATTTCATCTGTTGTCCCAAGAGGGTGGTGGTTCATTTATGGGAAGAGACAATGCATGTAATCTTTTAGGCGATGATATGGAAGAGGACTGGTACCAAGCACAGTTGGGCCAGACAGAGGGGGTGGGCAGCGGCGAGGCCGGAGAAAGATCGAGCCTTTGATCTTTTGAGTCAAGATTTTGAGTCCAGTTTTGTCCTGGTTTTATTTATCGGATGGGTAAGAAGAAGAACAGCAGCTGAGAATCTTATCTGGTTCACAGGTTTTACAGTGAAAACTGTGCTTTGTTTACAGCGTTTTTTTTACCTGCCTGCGAGTGTATGGTGATGATGATGATGGTCACATCCTGGGGAGCTGAAAGTGAGATTCTACCTGGCTTCTCCTTGATTGTGCTCGTCTTCCTACTTAAACCCCAAGAAGGCTTCTGTCTTCGATCAGTGGCCCAGCTTAAACAACTGTCAGTGGCCTAGAGAAGAAGAAGAAGAAGAAGAAGAAGAAGAAGAAGAAGAAGAAGAAGAAGAAGGGGTGGTTTTTCTCTCTGAAGAACTGGTTCAAGATAATGTTGGTTGATGTTGATGAATTAACGTAGCAGAAATTGGAAGAACTGGTGATTTGATCCTGTTCAGCTATGAGTGTGAGAGTTTGGACGATTTTGTTAGACTTATAGAGACAAACAAAAGTTCAATTAAAAATTCTAGTATCAATAATGATGCTTAGATAGTAATTGATGACTTATTATGAAAAGCAAATCAGATATAAATATTAATCAGCAACAGTGATTAATTAAATAATAAATGAAAAAAAAATACGTTGAAAATAATGGCTATGGGAATAGTTAATTTAGTAATTAGAGGTTGCCTAATAGTTAGCACAAATTATTCCAAGAGAGGACGGAGGTTCTTGAAAGTTTATTAAATAACTTTAATTTATTGTTCAGATTAAAACATAATTCAAATATGTTTTGAGGGACATAAATGGAGCAGCACGGCGATGCTGCATAGACTAACTAGTGCGATCCGGCACCATTCTTTTATTAGGCGTTCAACCTCAATCGAACTCACCTAGAAAATTAGGCCCTGTTCGATCCCCTAAGAGCTGAACCTGCGCTTCAGTACTGTCCAGGCTTGGAACCTGAACCTAGTTATACTTCTCTCTCTCTCTCTCACTCTCTCTCTCACTCTCTCACTCTCTCACTCACTCTCTCTCTCTCTCACTCTCTCTCTCTCACTCTCTCACTCTCTCACTCTCTCACTCACTCTCTCACTCTCTTACTCATTCTCTCTCTCACTCTCTTACTCTCTCACTCTCTTACTCTCTCTCACTCTCTTACTCTCTCTCTCTCACTCTCTTACTCTCTCTCTCACTCTCTTACTCACTCTTTCTCTCTCTCTCTCTCACTCTCTTACTCACTCTCTCTCACTCTCTTACTCACTCTTTCTCTCTCTCTCTCTCACTCTCTTACTCACTCTCTCTCACTCTCTTACTCTCTCTCTCACTCTCTTACTCACTCTTTCTCTCTCTCTCTCTCACTCTCTTACTCACTCACACACACACACGCACACACTATCGGCGGCCAGGCTTTTCTCTGAGATCTATCCGAGCACGGCCTGAGCTAGGCGGTGCTTGCGCGTACTTTTCCAAAAAGGATTATCATCAACATTGAATTATGATGATAGGATAATCCTGAATAAAACCCAAGAATCTACAGAGGTGCAATCGTCGTCTGGAAAAATCTACGGGGAAATCAACTCTAGCCCAATGGAGTTTGGGACCTTCTTCGCCGAGGCTTCAGTGATAATGCTCACAGAGGCCTCCATCAGTATCTCTGATTAGCGAGATGAAGAAGCTTACGTGGGTCTGTTCATGGCGGCAGTTAATGCTTCGGTTGAAGGCGCAGAAACCCTAATCAGACCTCGCCCTCGGAGTTGATGTTGCCCACGCAAGCGTTCAAGTAGGGGGAAACCCTAACGAGATCCTCAGAAGTTACACGTGCACCAGTAAACTGGGCGATGCAGGGAGGCAGTGATGGAGAGCAGGCACTGTGTGGCAGTAAGGGGACATTCGTCATTCACCCGCCTGTGTAATTGAGCCTGGCCCATCAGCGTGATATCGCAATCCCGAACCACGTCATGATCGAGAACAACGGTGTCACGCTCGCGCGCGCGCGCGAGAGAGAGAGAGGGGCTCACGGGGAGTGCGACAGAGACATTAAAGTGGCGCACATTTGGGAGTAGTGCGAGGAGTCAGAGATAAGAGGCAGGTGCCGCGCGGTTATCCTCAGCATCTGTTCTAGGCGCAAGAAAACAGACGGACCCGCCGGCCCCCCCCAGCCCCCCCCCCTCTTTCCTCTCTCTCTCTCTCTCTCTCTCTCTCGACATCTATATATGCGTTGTAGCACCCCTTGTCAGTAAGACTCTCGCAGACCAGAAGAGGAGGAGACGAGCTTGAGGGAGCGCACTTGCAGGGAAGGAAAGGGAGAGTGGGAACCATGTCGCATATAGCAGTGGAGAGGAACAGGCGGAGGCAGATGAACGAGCATCTCAAGGTTCTCCGGTCGCTGACCCCGGGGTTCTACATCAAAAGGGTAAAGCTCTCTATACCTTGAAGGTCTAGATTGTTCCTGGGGAGTTCACAGAAGTAGCTCTCTTGTTCGCAGCCTTCAAGAAGCACCGACACGAGTGAATGTGGGGGCCGGGTTACAAGGACTAGGGGGGGTTCTTACTTGCTTCTTCTATTTCTTCTTCCTGCTTCTCAGGTTCAAATTCATATCAAGGGAGGGAACTTCGAAGACCTACGATTGACTGTTTGGTCACTTCGCCGCACTGTTCAGCAATCCAAGCAGTACATTAAATAAATGAATTAGTGGTCGAAAGGGAGAAATGAACCCTAAAATTTTCTGCCGTTGTTTCGGAGCTTCCTTTAGGCCATTCCACTCCAGATCCTTGGATCCTCTACTCTTTATCTCAATAGCCAGCGAGAAAAGATCCCTAGAGGATTGAGGATAGACATGAACAGACACAGATAACTGATGCTTACTGATATCTAGCGTTCCTTCTTCGGAAGAATAGTATTCATGAGAACACAAAAGTTGCAACCTTTCTTCAGAGTTTTTAGTCTCGGTTATTTTATGGTTTTCATGAGACATGCGTTCTGATATTTTCCATTGGATGTCGTGAGAAGGGAGACCAGGCGTCCATCATTGGGGGGGCTGTGGAGTTCATCAAGGAACTGCACCTGGTTCTCCGTTCCTTAGAGGCCAAGAAGAAGAGGAGAAGGATCAGCCTCAGCCCCAGTCCGAGCCCGAGATCGCTGCTGCCGGTCACGCCACCACCTGAGGTACCCTCCTCCGCCGTCTCCCGGGCACTGGAACTCGGCGCCTGCTGCAGTTCCCCGGTGGCCGACATCGAGGTCAAGATCTCCGGGTGCAACGTGATTCTGAGGACGCTCTCCAAGCGCATCCCCGGCCAGGCGGCGAGGGTAATATCAGTGCTCGAGAAGCTCTCCTTCGAGGTCCTCCATCTTAACATCAGTACGATGGAGGACACCGTCCTCTACTCCTTCGTTATCAAGGTATGAAAAGGACATCAGCTTTAAGAGCGTTTCGTCTGACTGCTCCTCTTCAATTTAACGTTTTTCGAATTTGAAATGTATTAAGTTTTATAATCGGAACTGTGAAAATATTAATCAGAATCGATTGTAATGCTTATTGCATTAAAAGGGATGAAAAATTTCCAAGCCACAATATAAATAATGTTGGAATCCCCCACAAACTTTGGACGGCAAGCCTTGGTTTCACAGAATCTAACAGATGATAGTGTTATCAAACATGGTTATCTCGTCTAATTGATGTTTTAAGTTATTAATCACAGATCGGCCTAGACTGCAAGCTAAGTGTGGAGGACTTAGCGCTTGAAGTTCAGAAGTGCTTCTCCCAGGAGGTTGCTCACTGACTGGGTGTCGACCAAGAGAACCGAAAAGCTATGCGAACTAGATGAGGAGATTCACCTATAGAAATCAGCTTTTTATGAGGAAATCGCATAGTACGCTTCTATGAGGGATACAGGGGCATACTTATGAACAGTATCTTATCGTTTTATTAATCTGGCAAACTTTGTGAAGAAAGATAGCATGATGCCCCTATCATCAAGAAATTGAAATTTTATTTGCTTAACTAATATCTTTCCTGGTATCTCTAAGAGGCACTCATCTACATATAATATGTATATACGTATCTTTGTGTGTGTATAATATAATATACACTTGGATTGATAGAAAGAGAGTGCGCGTGTGGGGTGGGGGTGTGTGTGTGAGAGATAGAGAGATTGAAACGAATAATGGAAAAATAACCTTCTCCTTCGATGAAGAAGGTCATGGCTGCGTAGACTTCATATAAGTTGGTTTTAATCAGGAACCTCCCGTTATGCAGTGAACTTCGAGACGGAACAGAACATGGGGACGACCCATCCGTGGTCTTCAGTTAATAAGGTCACCAGTGGAAAGCATGGAAGATACAAGACGAGGCCTGGTGGAGGCAACGACAACTAAAGGTTTGAGGTAGCCGGGGGAAGTACGTACGTGGAAGGATTGTCTCCACCCCTCACTGCAGAGAAATGCATTCCCATTGCTAATCCAAGCGTAGGGCAGCAGGCCGGGGATGAGGGAGGTGGACTCTGTCTCGACAGCCAGCACGTGCATGGCGAGCTCTCAACAGAAGAGCTCGGCTTCGTAAAGCTCCTCTTGGAGTTGCGCCGCGTTGCACATCGCGGTGCTGACGCGGTCCAGGAGACGCAGAGGAAAGCTGTGGTGGGAGCTGGGAGCAGGTTCAAACAGATGGCTCTTGAACCTACCATAGGAGTTGCCGCAGATGAAAGACGGAATATCCATCACAGGGCCAGAGATTGCCGACGGAAGGGTAAGTGGCAAAGTCCGTGACGTATACCTCCTGTCCTCTATTTCGAACATCCGCCAGGAGCCTGTGGCAGCAGGGATGAGACCGGCAGTGTATGGGGAAGACCATTGCACGGTGGCAGTTACTAGTTTCTTATTGAGTTTATATTGAGCATAAAGGCTTCAACTAGCCTTCGGAAAATGTCATAGCCCTAGTTGATTTAGGTGTTTTCTTGTCTAGTCGCTCTTCCAGATTTATAACAGGAGGCCAATCAGATAAGTGTCCAACTAATCTCTTCTACATTCCTGACTCTTGAAGGCCAAATGGATTAACACCAACTAATCTCTTTTAAATTTGTAGCTCTATGTAGCCAACTGGATTAACAATCTAATCCCTTCTAAATTTATAACTCTAGGTCAGCACTAGTACTTAATAGTACTCAAATTAAAGTAATGCTTGGGTTTATGCTCTTATATTCTTTGTCATCTAACTTTCGCAGTCATAAATGCCTTGCTTGATGGCACATAATCATTTAGAATGGCATTTCACCTTGAGTGGATATTGATCTCTTGGCTTGAATGATTTTTCCGACTAGTGAAAGTTAATGAGAGTTTCTTTTATACTTGTAGGTTTTTCCTGACTTTATATTACTTTCAATAATGGTTAAAATGATAGGAAATTAGTCTTTTTCACGGTTGCAGACTGTCTAAACAACTACACACTACTTTCTCATTTTCTTGATTTTTTTATCTTATGCGATGCTTAACTATTTTTATCCAAGCTTTGTGTAGACCAATGTGCCAACTTTTATGTCAATTATTTTTTTCCCTAAGCAAAGACATGAAATCTTGTGGGCAATAATTATTCTAAAATATATAATATATCTCATAAATAATCTTTGAGAATTTTCAATATACTTGGACATGTTCAATGGTCACGTTTCATTTTCGTCATGTCCATACCCAATCTCAACTGCAATATATATTTGTTAATGTTTTAAACATCATAATAATTCAAAATCTTTGATTTTGATGTGCCATTTTTTGTATTGTTTCTTTTCCAATTAGCTTTCAATGAAGCACCTACATTTGTGTACTTGTGGCACCTACCTGCATCTTAAAACCATTTTAATCATATATAATATGAATATGGACGTTTTCACCTTGAGTGAATTTCACCTAGTTGAAGTATCATATTTTATTTGTAGCAATTTTCTCTTTAGGGTTCTCAAATTGATCATCTAGATATTATTACTGCTTTTTATCATTAAAAGAATTAAGCTAACAAAAGGATTGCTGTCTTGATAAAGGTTTAAATAAAATTTAAAGTTAAAATAAGGCCAATCCATCCCTTTCTATTGCTTGCCGTTTAATCTATTTATCAGACTAACAATTGGTTTTAGAACCCACTTGATTTAGAAGATTGAAACTCTTTATGGAGAAGATTTGTCTAGGGGTGTAAAACTTCCTTTTGAGGAGTATTCTACCAAAGATAACCCTTGTTCAATGGTGCAAACTATGTAGATAGAAAACCTAGAATTAAAAATTTAATTCAACCAACTGATTTTAGTAAGAAAGTTATAGAAATATAATTTATATTTCATCTAAATATTATAATGACATACTTTGAGATGAGAGGAAAGGAATACAAATTCATACCCACATAACCAATGTGATAAAATGTAATAGTAGTTATTTCCTTCTTGTTTTTGTATTAAAGTAATTCTAGTACATAAGTTGACATAGAGCCATGAATACTTAGTCAAATGGTAATCTAGTTGGCCACTTAGAGCTATAAGCCTAGTAGAAATGTTTCAAAACAACACTTGAGTTATCTAGAGGTGCGAAATATAGTGGGAGGCTAAATGAAGTCTTTATATTGAGCAATCATACTAATAAAAGTTACTGAAACATAATGACATCTTCTTGAGATAGTGTAGTACACTAGGTGAGGTTAACTACTATAATTTCTGTTCCAAAAATTTATAAAAAAAATTATATTTAGGGAAGTTTTATGAATTGGGGAGTGATGAATGCTACCCAAAGCTTTATGTCTTGTTCTTTCACTAGACTTTGGCTAATGATTGCCAATTTTGTAGATAGGCCTTGGTTGGACATCTTTCACTGCTATCTTGATGTTATTTTCTTTGAGTGTTAATAAGATAATGGAAATAAAATATGAGTTGAAAGAAAACTAAATATTTTAATACTAGTTCCTTTTTCAATTTAAAATTTTTAATTATTAAGTGTGATAAAACTATTGATATGATGCAAGTCATTGATTAGAAGGTGACTAACTTGAGAAAACTTTTCCTTTTATGTTATTATTTTATAGTGCACAATGTTAAGATCAGTGGTAAGAAAATCCTACTGACCCTTCCTAAAATATGCATTACCTCAACTTGAAATTCTAACTGAAGTTTGATGGAAAGAGTATGAACTACTTATTGAGTGAATTTAAAGCCTTGCATGACCCAAAATATAAAATATTTATCATCTTTCTCAATAAGTAGTTATCTTGTAAAATGAAATAATTACAAAAACTTTATAGTACTAAATCCTTTTTTTCTAATTTTTCTTTCTTCTTATAACACCACATTGACAGCTATCTTTTTCTATTACATTGACCCATTAATCCACTCTTGATATATGAAATTACTATTTTACCTTTGATTACGATTTCCTCAATTTCATTTTTAATTTTACATAGAAATATCGTATAAATAGTTTTAGAGAATTTTCAGCATTCTTGGATACACAAATAAAATTTCACCCTAGTGAATATTCTTCCTAAATCGCATGCTTATTATTCTCCAAAATAATTGTATAAGCATATCATTACACAAACAACATGATTAAACATATTCAAGGGTCAAGTATTGTAAGAATATTTTCCCCATATCTTAGCACGATTTTTATAGTGTAAAATTATCAATTTACATTTTATCCCATTTTTCAACATAAAATCTATCAAGACTCCCAAAGTCAAGACCTACAAAAGAAAATTTAAGGAGACCTCATTCTTCAAAATATTTATTAGGAAAAATAGAAAATTATAAATAAAATAAGAATTATTCATAAAACAAGAGGTTGAGAGAAATCAGCCTTAGGTTGGATACTTGATTTTGAAGAACTAGTTAAGAGAGAATTTTCACACAGGGTTTTGACCAAACACTTAAAAAAATGAATTGATTTAAGAAATTACAATCTTGAGGTAGTTGAAAAGTTGAATCAATAGACTTGAATTAACATATAATCCAGTAACTTTTTTGAACTTAAATTAATATCCTTACACTAGTGATACTAGTTAGAATAATTTCCTTCACATGTGATAGTGCTTTTTTTGTAAGAAAACCATCAAATCGTAGAAGACAATGGTAATAAAATTTCATATGGAATAGAGAAGTTCAGTATAGTAGATTTCTAATTCTAAAGAATTAGTGAGAGCAACATTAAAACTCCCAAAAGTGGGAACTATTAGGGATCAGAGAGTCCTCATCTTCCCTTTTTGCAAATCATTAGTCTGATGAAAAATGAAATATGAGAGAGGGAAAGGAAAAAAATTAGCATAATAAAGAAAAAACTAGATTTATCTGGCTTGAGGAAGGCTCCTATGTGGATGATTGAGCATATAATAAGCTTCCTTCAAGAGATAATCCCTTACAGCTCTCTGACGCCAAAACACCTTTGCACACTAATTATATAATGTGGTCATGACCCTCGTCTTAGATATACGATTAGGGTAAAACACAAATTTTATCCATGTTCTCACCAAAGAACCCATTAGAGCCCAACAAAAGCCCAATAGGAGATCAATCTCCACAACCTCAATAGGAACTATATTTGACAAAAATAATGTGATAGAAACTATGACAAGGACATCAATCTTGCAGTGATATATATTCATGTAAATTTACCTTGTTATTAGTGAAGCTTATTCCATTTTTGACAATTTATGAGTAAGTAATGTACCACAAAGTTGAGGCATTGCATATAATATAAGGTGCAATGGTGATATTCATCCACAGAAAAAGCACAGAGAATCTCAGGAGTGATCTTCCGACTCGATGGCAATGCGGGCCTAAGAAGAAGAAGCAGCAGTTCCAATAAGGGAAGCTAAGACTAATTTATAACACTTGGGTAAACAATGAATGACTCAGGTTATGAATATGAGACACCCCAAGGTGGGAGAGCGAGTTCGATGTACACGACGATGCCAAGGATCTCTACAAAGGGCCGGGGGGGAGGGCGTAGCTCAGTGACTACAGGGGTCATCTTCTCCACCAGCTCGGCGAACATCAATGTAGCCGACAATATGCCAGCCACCTGCCCAATCGTTGCCGTGTCCATCTTTCTGTTTTAAACATTGTGCCGAGGGAACTCAACATGATCTTGAGAAGAAGGAAAGACGCCTCATCTATGGGATCGGCCTGTCATTCAAAGTGTGTTACCCGTTTTCCTCCACTGCTGCCTCAACGGTTGCCCTCGCCTTAAGCGACCTGCACGTTGGTGTTCAAGAATGATTGATCTTTGAGGTAGCAGAAAAAACATGTTCATCGTCGGTTGCGGCAACGTGACCACGAGGAAATTGTTTAACGACATTCCAACCACCGTCTTGGTCGTTACGGTCCGCCTCTCTCAGTTACAACATTCTCCTGAGCAGACTCAACCTGACCTTGAGAAGAAGGAATGACACCTCATCCCTGGGGTCGATACAGGCGTGCTCTTACTATGGCGGGAGGTCCTCCGAGCTGTCATCTCTTACCAGAAATATTTCCGGAGCAGGAAGACTCGCCACCTCCAAGATTGAGGGCAGTTGAAGATAAATATGTGGTTGAGTCGTGTCCAGGAGCCATCAGGGATGCATCTCAACTTGGGGCAGTCCTCAAGGTACAGAGTTTTGAGGCAAGGAAAGCCACCATGTTTGTTCCGTTGCCTGTTTTCCAGGACCATGTTTCAAGGTTCGGCATTTCTATGAGAGTAAAGGAATCCAGCCTGGGGAACAGAACAGCAGTTGTGCCAACAATTGCAGCAGAGGAAGAGGTAGAAGAAGATGGATTGGGGAAACAGAAGAGTTTGCTAGCTCGGTCTCAATGGTTACAAGCTGGGTACAACCACTGATCTAAAGGACCTTCAGATGAGGGATAAGTCCGAATGGAGGAAGCTGAGAGAAATTCATGCTTTCTACATCCCCCATTCCTCGTCCTCCCACTCCTTCTGGTCCTAACTCGTCCGGTAGCTAGATGGCTCCTCTGTTTCCTAATTCGGAACGCTTCTGGCTCATAAATGTACCAGACCTGTAGAGAAGGGATTGGAATGCATAAGGTATTGTAGCGACAACGGAGGTTCTCCTCCCCGTCTCCGGGAACTATTCCAGAGAGGAGTCCATTCCTTTGTTAAGATGGTTGCAATAATGGACCATGGCTCAAGAGAGCTGCGTCCGATGCTCTCTTCGCCAAGGACCTGTCCATCTCCCACGGCAGCTGGGTTCCATTACGGGTGCCGGTTGACGGACAGAGAGAGGTTCTACAACCGTAGAAGTTCTGACCGCATATGCATCCTTGGAGCTGTAACAGATTTACTTTTACCCGACGTGAAGGGTGCACTAGCCCAGTGTTCACCCATTAAAATCCGCCTGACTCTGCAATTTGCGAGAAAATAAGACGAGTGTCATCATTGACCAAACACTAGTGCAGCCCTGGCGTTGACCATTGAAGAGATGAAACTGCAGGAGAGAGACCAAAGCAGCAGGGCCACGCTCTGGCCCAGTAGACCTAGCCAGCTCGATTCAGCACAACGGATATGTGGACGATAGAAGATAGACTTCATATGGATGTGCATGGCCGGGAGGGCGGGGAAGGAGAGAGCAGGTTCTTAATTAGGCCCCTGATCTGCGCTGCAAGCCCCGGGGCAAGAGCATATATAGAAAAAACAGGTTTCTAGATATATCCTGCCTTGGTGTAGGAACTAGGCTTGACGTTCAGTGCAGATTCCTGATGATAACACCGGTTGTGAAGGAATCACGGTCCTCGGGACCGTTCCCCGAGAGGACATCGATGAGTTTGATGTTAGAAATGATGTTTTTTCTTTGTCGATCAGTGCACACACTTAGCATTCCATGTGAGCGTCTCTCTCTGAAGCAGAAATTAAGCCAAATTTTATATATAAATTTGGACGAAGAAGGAACTAAGGTTGGGTAATTTTCTTCAGGAAATCTTACATTTTGCTCAAAATTAGTTGCATTGGCAGTCAAATGACTTTATAACTATAGTCGAGAAGTATGGTGTAGAACAGCCTAAATTATCTTTGGAAGTAATGACACCGTGCATCTCTGATATAGCGTTAAGTTAAGGACATTTAAGCTCTGAATAAATTCCTTCACATAAGCCGTTCAACATTTAATCAATGAAATTAGCTGCTTCTACGACAAGGAGATGAAATCCTTTTGAAGCAAGTTTTTCTTCGGACATATTGCTGAACGGCTTGCTTGACTTCGTTTGTGTACACAATGAACTACTGATTATAACGCTTAATTTCTTTTGCATGGAGTACATTTTGAACAAAGGACAAAAGAAATCAATAGCTTGCGGCAATTAAACATTCAAAGCAGACAACAGAAGAATCATCCATGCGGTCAATCGAGGTGTACATTATTATTGCCATCTTTTATTTAGGACAAGATACACATCATGCCGCCGTCACCATGTGTGATTACAAGTACGGGCCATGCAGAAGAAGGTTCACGACGGAACTCTGTTTGGAAATGCGACTAGATTTAGGACTTAATGGATTAATGCATCACATTGCCTGTTCCTATAGCCTCACACACTATGAAACATGTCACATCAGCCAACTGTCTTAGTGTTTCATGAGGCAAATTCATGACAGAATGGTCTATAGGGACATACACACTCTGTGTCTGGGCTGATCACCTTGGGGATGTCTTAAGAACCATGGTACAATAAATGGGCTAATGGATTGCTATCTTGTATTCATTAGTCTTCCTGAAAACATAAAAAAATCAATCAAGTGAAGATTTGACAAAATCTTGATTGGACTAATGCAGTTAATCAGTTCTCAATTTGGATGCTGCCCTCCTATTACTAGATTGACTAAAAGTTTTTTAATCTGAAATAATCTATTTGACTCTTTACTAAATTTACTGTCTCAACCAAAAAACTTGCTAATTCAATGTTCATATTATGTTTTATTGCTCTTTGTATTTGAACCTTCTTTTCCTGAAAATATCCCTTATTTCAAATTATTCATCAAATTTAATTTTGTTTTCTTCCCACTCGTAGAAAACTCCTTCCCACTGCCCCTTATGTAGAAATACCTTTGGCTAGCATATGCCCAATCCTTGTTTTTACTCTGTTACCTAGTCCATTTGACTATTTATCATTCAGCTCTAGATTTCTTGCAATATTCCTCTTTCAAGGATCTTTCCTCAATGATTCTTCCATATTGTGAAGATGCCTTAACACGATGATATTCTTCACAATATTTCTCTTTCAAGTATTTTTCCTCAATGATTCTTCCATAATGTGGAGATGCTTTAAGACGATGATACTCAAAATTTGGCATAGGACTCGTGCAGTGAAACATGACTGAAGTTACCATAATTAGGTCCTTTTATGGCCCCATCCTGGGTGGACAGAACGGCAGACAAATAATAACCTGTATCAAAGATGCCTTTGAGAACTAGTGCATTATCTGATATTTGCTAAAAAATAAGATAGGCATTTATATGTTTTGATCACTATTTTAATGATCTATTATATATTATAACAGGGAGGGACACAACTCTTTAAAATATTAAAAATTGGTATGGATTTTTCTTATCAAATGGATAGTCATATCTTGCTTACTAGATGGTCAGTAATTTTCCAACGATATTATATTGACATTATAGCATCGCATTCATCTTGATTGTGGGATATTAGAACCTTTGTGAAGTCTAAAATATCTTCTGGACATGTGAGAGTAGTTGGAAAATCGGCTTATCCTAGTCGATGGTGACAAAATCATATGGGATCATGGGTTCCTGATCTCATTAATCCATCTATTTTTTTCTGGAGGGTAGACTGGCTACTGCTTGAGGAAGAAGGCAGTCGCAACATTAGCAGATGGTGGGAAGTTGGTTGGAAAGAATTAGGACGAAAATTTACTCTGCCCACTGTCAGTGCCATCCGCTCCTTACCTATCGGCAGCTTGGATTGACTTAAAAAGTATCATATATTTATGTTTTTTCTATTTGAACATTTTATAAGTATTTGTATAAAATTGAAAGTGTTATTTTGATTTTATTTTAACCATGTTGGTCGTCTTGTCCCCTAGGGCCAGTTGACTGGTCTGCCTGGATTTCTATCTGCATCACATTGAGCATAGGTCGCCAAGAGTTTAATCCTTCCATGAATATTCACGTTGCTGATCTGTTCAGAAGTTCTTTTTATTCAAAGCAGGTTCTTTTTATTCTACTACCTGTACCTTTACTAAGCTTGTGTTTTTATTTGCAGCATCACAATATACTACTTTGCTAAAGAGGGAGAGAAATGTAATATCTTGCCTATGGATCCTGACATTTACACTCCTGTGACGGAAAACTTTCAAAAAGGGATTGGACAGAAATTTTGTCAGTCATCAGGTCATGGGATTGATCTTGGATTCTTTGAGCTGGATGCCCTTTCAAAGCCGTCTCAAGAGGATGTCTTCCCGCTTGTTGTAAGTGCCAAGACATGGGCAGAGGCGACACCCACCACTGACGAGCAGCGTCAGAGTCCGGCACATTCTGGGGCACAAATTACACAAGCCGTGATAGAGAAAACTAATGACGACAAATTAAAAGTGAAGGTGATTAAGCAGATATTATGGGTTGATGGCGAGCGATATGAACTGAGGGAGATTTTCGGCCTTGCAAGCAGTGCAAATGATGATACCAATGGGGATGATTTGGGGAAAGAATGTGTGATATGCATGTCTGAACCGAGGGATACTGCTGTCATGCCTTGTCGGCATATGGTAAGCTCTGGATCATTATGTTTTTATACCTTTTTGGATAATTATATCCCTCTGCTTCTGAGGCGTGATTCCTCTTTTTTTTTTTTCTTTTTTCCCTTCATTTCAGTGCATGTGTCGTGAATGTGCGAAAACATTTAGGCTCCATTCAAGCAAGTGCCCAATATGTCGCCAACCTGTTCAAGAACTGATGGAGATAAAGGTAAATAATGGGAACTCATTGGGACCCAAAGCATAAGGTTGTAACCTGTGAAAGGTTGTTCTTCAATTGTAGTCCACTTTTGGGGTGGATTCTGAAATTTTTCATTTTATTGTGCATATATCCTATTACAACTACCTGCTTTTGCTGTGTCACTGTGACATAGTCTTCACGATTAAAAAGTGCCAGTAGTTGTTGTATATCCTCCACAAACCCTTCCTACTACAGTTGAATGAAATTTCTTAAGATAGATTATCTCTGAAACATCAGTGATGCTTAGTTAGGTCTGTGGCTCTCTTTTCCTGATATGTCCATTCTTCTTTGGTCCAGACCTTGGATTTACTCTGGAAGTGGCTAATGCCACAAAATCACTGAATATTGCACATCCGATTTCATTCAATTTCATTCACTTTGGAACTAAATATGCTTGAGTGTGTTAGTGTGTGACCCAAGAGCTCTCATAAAGAGCTCTATGCATGTCATCATCCTTGGATATTCCATTGGAGTTGATGATCAATTGGTCTAGGCGAAAAAATGGAGTGGGCTCCAAAACATTTTCTACATTTTTGAGGTTCCCATAAAATCTTGACATTTATCTGGGGAGACGGACAACCAAAATAAAGAGCCAAGTGACCTAAAATAACATGATGATATATCATAGTCTTCCCATTGTCACTTTGCCATCTGAACAATTCACATACTTGCAGGCGAAAGAAGGCACTGTGTTGTCTTTTGCCCATCTTTGTTGTGTGAAGATGAAGATGGCTCCATCTTGGCTGAAGTTGATCATTGTGGGTAGGGGTATCGTCATTGCATATCTAGGTTCAGGTAGAGTAACTGTCAAATATCTTCTAAGAGGAAAGCTCAAGGATTAAGATTTTCAACGTTTCATCTCTGCAAGGTCTAGACGCATCAAGAATATTATTTGTAAAAAAATGCTGACTGATAACGATTGAAAGTCCACTTTGTGACACTTTCAAGCTGAATTCGTTTTAATTAACAGAAAAAGGGGGACTCCAAAATTGTATCTAGAGTTTAGTAATTACATATTAAAACGAAAGTGTATACAATTGGTCACTTTGCAAATACACTCTCAGAGGAGTCTTCAGTCACTGAACTCTTCATCTTTTTGGTTCATGCCATATATTGACAATGATATTGCTCTTCTTTTCTTCATTGTAAGAGAGGCCTATTCGGTAGAAAGCTTGAAATCTTGTATTGTTTTGAAGAGGCGCCGGCTCTCTCTCTCTCTCTCTCTCTCTCTCTCTCTCTCTCTCTATATATATATATATATATACACACACACACATATATTGAGCAGGGAGAAAACTTGAAAAAAACCACAAAGCCACAAATTTGGTTTTACTGTTTGGTGTGCGGTTTGGTTAATTACAGTACATGTAAAACGCATCATTGTAGACAAAAGGAAAGAGATTGAGAAATATTGCAAGAAAATTGATAAAAAAAAGGGTGAAAAAAAAATACTTGTCAAATAGTGGAGCAAGAAAATCAGCATGCGTACTAGTTTGATCCCTCTCATCCATCCAAGTCTTCACCTTCTTAGCCTCTCTTCTAATGAGTTCGGACGCCCTGTGCAAGTCATTTCTAGGGCTTCAGATGAGCCTAATGGGACAATAATTTCTTCAAATTATCAAGATTTAATCTCTTCAATCTAATTTTGAATCCTTAGGATGCATGGGTGGGTTGTTTCAGAGGCGTTAACTTTCGAGAGGTTTTTACTATTCCTTCAGCACATGACAAAAGGGAACGAAGTGGACAAAAAGCTAGATAGTTTAAGGCGCCGGCTAGGATACGATAGTATATGTCAACGGCCTGTACTTTCATTCGACCGAAAATCAATGGAATTATTAGGCAAATATGCCTAGAAAAAAATTTCAAACCTTTATCCGTAAAAATCTAATAAAACATTCATTTTCTTCTTGATTTCTGTAATCAACAAGCTGAGGAAATTTGATTATTTTGAAAATTTGGTTGAACAGATTGAATGAATAATTTACCATTTAACAACTTTTTTGCCTCGAGCCAATGTCCGAGTACCAGGCGCTACGGCGCTGAAGTAACCCCTGCCTCTGGACACCCTTAAACAAATCAAATAGACTTAGATAAATGGCAAACAGTTTGGGGTTGGAGGGGTAATAGATTAATTTATGATTAATCATGATATAATCCTTTAGTTTTGATTTCTTTTGGGTTTTTTCTCTGGACATCCTTGAACTAATCAAATAGACTTACTCTGATAAATGACAAACAGTTTAGGGTTTGGAGGGGTGTCATAAGTGCGCCCCTCCAAATCTTGGAAGCATCGCCGCTGCCAATAGGGAGGCGCCAATCAGGGGAGTTGAACCCCACCCGCTTGATGATTCCAATAAATTTTTCCTCAAGTGTTCGTTGAATCTATCACTGATGGAGATCTGTCATTGCTTTTGGAGGAAGACAGTATAAAACTCTCATTTTTCATTTAACTAGAGAGAAAGCAGTGTTTATCTATTACACTAATTATCGTTCGATTTTAGTCTCGAAGGAACCATTTGACAAGAAGATTTTAATCTCTCTCTCTGCCTCCCTCCCTCCCTCCCTCCCTCCCGCCCAGTGAGTGCATGTCGAAGACACGGAGATTAAGCAACAAGCTGAAGTTGAATTGACAAGGAGACTCGATCTCTGCTCAAAAACTTTCACAAATTAAAGAGAATGATTACGTATAAAAATATTCTACGTGGCAGATTCATTTACAAGAAGAAGACTAACCTTCGCTTGAAATCTTAACATATTTTTCACTCGGCTGTGCTATACTTTGGGTCTATTCTCAAACCTCAACAATTCATTGTGTGATGATCGTCGAGGCGGAAGCACTGCTGAACTTCCCAAGTGAGCTTGTTCATGCTGATCCGGCAGCCCACGTCAATCTGTAAGCAACATTAAAAGAAAAAACGAGGATAAAATATTGTTCTCATGCTTATATTCTGCGAATAATGCGTCATGTCCGAACTGCGTAATGAAACAGAAGAGAAACAAATCTGCCCCTACTTAAGATGTGTGAAAAATTTATTGTACATTGATAACGTCTATAGGTCATCCCCCGAGTATTCTTTATTAAGATTTCTTGATTTTTTTTTCCAGCTCCTTGCTGTAGTTCGAGTGAATCTGTATGTAAGTATGACTGATCTATTGAGGACTCTATTAATGACTGATCAAAAAGATAATCATCCAAATTAGATTGTGATGGGAAAGGTAGTAGATCATTGCTAATATCATTCATAGGTAGTGGTAGAACAAGATCAAAGAATAGAGATCATCCAAGTGTGTCGCATTTGATTTAAAATTGTGAAATAAAAAGATATTTTTATAAAATAAAACATCTTGTGAGATGATGTTCTATTTTGTTTCCAGGTCATAGAGTTTATACTCATTGGTGTCAACGGCTATCCAATAAAAACATATGATTTGGTTGGAGACTTCAATTTTGTTCGATTTCCTTACAATGTAGATGCAAAGGCCCAGCAACCAAACACCCTTCATATAGAGTATTCAATAAATTGTTTATAAAGCAATTCATATGATGTCTGATTGTTGAGAATTGGCGAAGTTAATCTATTTATAAGATAAGTTGTTGCCAATATACACTTTCACCAAAATTATAAACCGGCGAGACGGCGTCAATCCCCGCTACGTTCTCGCTGGATTCTTCCAGGACCTCCTGAAGAGGCTATAGAGGGAGTTCGGGCGGGTGGAGGACGCCTGGCTGGGCACCCTTCCAAGGAGTCTTTGGAAGAGCTGGTGCTGTCTCTCGACTCCAGGCTGGCCGCCGTAGAAGAGAGCATCAGCAAAGCGCAGATCGAGGAGAAACAGGAGACAACAGCAACCCAGATAAGTCAGAACCAGTTGCCTTCAGTTGAGAACCTGCATTCGAAGACGGACATTGACGTGCAGCCTCTTCAGAGCTTCGATGGCACGGAATTCCACAACGCAAGGCCAGAGTTGCTGGAAGATGTCGTTGACTTTAGGGGAACTTCCATAGACATGCAGAGCTGCTCAATGCCCTGGGCCCCCTGAGGACCAGAGCCGGTGAAATTGGTAGTGGATGCCCCTCCATAATTTCTCGCTGTGCTCTGCCGGCGACCGATATACATTGTAGGCGGAGAAACCGCCGACCTTCGGCCCCAATCTGAACCGAGTTGCGGATGATTGACACGATGTAAATGAGAGTTCGACACACATAAACACATTCTGCACGCCACTCGGTCCCTGATTGACGCGATGCAAGCACACAGAAACATGGTTGTATTCCTTCTCGTGAAGCCTTTTTAATTGTCATGTCGTGTAGGTCCAGTGGAGCGATGTGGTCGTGGAACCTTGGTAGTCATTTGCATGGGAGGGATACGACCGAGGAGGAAAACCCAAGGCCCGGGCAACTGGAGCCGGACCGGTCTGTTGTACCTCGGTGACCGGCGGGAATCCTCCTTGCAACGGTCACAAGAATTCTCCCGCCTTCGGCTCCCGCGCAAACTCTCCCATTCGAAACTCCACAACGGGCGGGAGATCTCCCCAACGGTCGGTAGATCCCGGCCACAGAGGGCGGGAGCGCGGAGGATATAACAGAAGGAGTGGGGGGGGCGGGGACGGCCATTGAGTTCAAGAACTCATTCCTTCTCAGCTCCCTCCTCCCACCAGATAGATAGATGGCTTCGACTTCCGCAATGGAGAGGGGTGCCAAGCGCAGGGGGAAGAAACCTTGGGCAAGGAGGGAGCAGGGTCTGAAGAAGAAGGCCGCCGAGTTGTCGACGTTGTGCGGGGTCGACGTCTTCTTAGCCGGCTACAACGATGAAGGAGAAGATTTCTTCATCTGGCCGCACGACATGAAAGAAGCGGAGCGCATCGCCGATCGGCTAAAGGAGCAGCAGGGAATCGGCGGCGGGCAGGGCCCAGGTGGGAAGAGAAAGAGGGGGGCTTCCACCTCTGCCCCCAACACTGCTTCGAAGCGACGGAAAGGGGACTCCAAGGCGGCCGTTTGTCCCCAGAATTCCGCCGCCGAGAGACCTGTGCAGAAATCCGACGTCGAGTTCTGTCTGGATGTCCTAGACAAAGAAGAACCGATGGCCTTCTGGAGAGAGATTCTCGAGATGACTTCGGGCAGCAGCGGCGCGATCACCAACGACTTTGGAGCGGCAGCGGGGGCAAACGCTATTCGTCCTACAGGCCGAGCAGAAGCCACCACCGGGATCGCGGTAGCCGCCGGACTCCCCTCCATGATCCCTCCTCTGTTCCCGCCTCATGAGATCTCCGACGACCTCCCAGTGGAAGCCGGCTGGGGAGCCTCGCCGTGGAACGGGGAGTATGTGCGAGATTTATCAGCGGGGAGCAGCTGGCCGTACTTCCAAGAGCCGCTCGTCGCGGACGAGGCCTTCCGCAGTCCTTCACTGGAGGAGCTCCTCTGGGGGGTACCTTCAATGTCCGGCGGACATGCCCTTGAAATGGAGGCGCAAAGGAGCTATCTGTGCTCATGTCAGGCGGCGATAGGCGTTCCCGGGGTGATCCCCTTCCTTCCTCCTCTTCTTCCTCCTCATCCAGCAGCTTTTTCCTTTTCTGCCGCGAATCCGGGGTGGGCGTATTTCTAGGATCACGCGGCGGAGCATTGTGAAGCAGTCTGCTGTAAACCCCTGGGACCGACCCAGTCCGACTCCAGTTCTTGTCAGGCATTGTTGTAAATCAATACGAAGCATTGATGTAAATCAAGATGTCTTTTCTTCGCAAACCCCATAGTCTCCCCCACGTCGCTCTTATGGGTTTGACTTCCGAGCAGAGTCCTCCATTGATTAAAGCTCCATTAGGGACCCAAATCTGGCTCGAATAGTTTTCCAGTCTCCGCCATGCTCAGCCAGAAGAAATGCCCACTGCATGTGGAGAGCGGCCGTAAAGAACAAGCTTGAATGAGGTTGGACAGAAATGCGCATGGCTACTGACCTGTTCAGGTTGCAGAGCGGCATTTAAGCAGCTGGATGGACATTGCTAAACACCACACAGAAGATCAATTTGCGGCCGGCATCTAACGAGGTCTTTGTTAGCTGCAGAGTAAGCAGAAGGCAGCGGTGGGTCGGGGAAGGGAAGCCGTCACTTGTGGATTTAGGGAGAGAAGAAGAGGGAGGGGGAGAGACAGTAGGTGGGTTGAAGGGCCAGCTACTGGGAGCTTACAGGCTAGTCTCGTTGTCACCCATTCTTACATCCTAGCCAGATCCCTGCTAGATCACTGCTGGCGTCTAATACCTGATGATCTTGTCGGTTTCAGGGAGAATGGCAGAGGAACCAAGACAGGGGTCAATTGGGAGAGAAATGATCGAGCAATCCGAAAACAGAGTCGTCTCCTACTGTTAAGACAGAGAATCCTGCACAAGAGTGAAAATGTCGACACTCAAATGCATCGATTTCAAGCTGAGGTGCAGTAACTGACGTGTCCGCCGCTACAGGAAGAAGAGTAGTTGTTTGCGGCAGCACGTGAGACTAATCTGAATGGTATGGCTCTTATCGGCTCAAGGTGAAGGTGATGTGACAAGAAACCGCTGCGCGATAGAATGGATGAGAGACAGGTCGTGCAGTGGGTTTAGAATGTGGAAGATCAATCAATCAAGTGAGGGAAATGATGGGGTCTGCTTTGAGATTATCCCTCAACACATACAATTAGTCGATTCACTTCGGCTTATCAGCGGATTAACAGAAAAAATCACAGCTTCGAGGAGTGTGATCACAGACATCTCAATCCACTTGAAAACAAAGCTCAGTGACTAAGAAACCATTGATTTAACAAATGGTGTCTGCCTGTCAGAATCATGACTAATTTTCACCACTACTGATATTTTATGTACAAAGCATTTTACTGATTAGGTTCTAACGATCGCATCTAATGAATACAAGCTGAATTTCAGGATTGAAAATTCACGAGTTAATAATTCAAAATCAGCGTTTCAGAGACAGTGTATGCGAACCATCTACAATTATTTCAAACTAAAATTCAGAATTCATGACACAAATTTAACAGTCTCTGTTTGAACATATTTCAAAAATTGGAACTTCAATAGTCAATGCCCACTATGCCCACTGAATACAGAGTACACAACTCGTGAGTTCCATGGTATTTAGAATTATTTAAAGATCAGAAATTATCAGATAAATATCTCTTGACTGCATAGAAATCTTTTACTCATAGAAATCTTCTTTCTCGCCATAAATACTTCACAAGATGGTTATTGTGTAATCAATGCCCATGGATTGTATGTAATCAACTCAGACTAAAATTAAACTTTATAATTCTTAAATTTAATAGTCCTCGAAGATATTTCAGGATCATCAATTAATATATTAATCACTCTTCGCTACACCACCATTTCAAACTAAACTAAAATTTATAATTCATACCGGAAAGCCATATTCATTCCAATCTGTCTCATAATAAGATTAAAATCGAATCTTTATTATGCTAATTTTTTGTCTCAATAAAATGCAGTTGTCTTGTTTTTCTATTGATATGATCTCTAATAAATTAGATCCATATTATTTGTCCTGTAGTATATGTCAGGATTTAATTCTAGTTTTTTTGCATTGGTACTATCAGATAGAATTATAATTTTATTCATTTGATTTCACAATCTTCAAGTCGAGATTTTATTGAGAAATGTTTTTGGCAGCATAGTGCAGCAGTGATGTATTCAGGTTCAGTTGTGGGCAAGACAATTGATTCTCGTTTTCCTGAGGACCAAGAAATCATGTATCCTGCAAGGAAAATGCGAGTGCCATTTGTGCTGTTTCTATAAAAGACAACAGAATCATTCAAAGCCCGCTAAATTGAAATACTAAATTCCAAGCTCGATGATTGAAGGTAAATAACGAAGAGTGAATTTCATTACAGTCAACCGTGATTCTTCTCATAGGGAAATGCTATTAAATTTTTTTGGTATACTTGCTGACAAATAGAGCAGAAAGCCAGTTATAAGAGTTTTTTCTCAATTTATTTTCTATGGTAATCCAAATCTACAGAGAGATTTCAATCCATTCATGTTGAATTTCTTTAAAAGTTCATTGGTATATTTTGATTAGGAGATAAGATTTAAGGAAGGAGATCTTCAGCTTTTTGGTGTAAAAGATAAGTTTTAAGTGACTGCAGATCCTGGAGATTCTCCTTCATCTTCCTCTACCTGATTCTCTCCATTGCTATCGGCGACTTGGTTCCCTGTCTCCCCTTTTTTCTATGCTGGTGCTCTCTCAAAGTCGTCTCCTCCGTATGTTATATATATAGATGGACACACAAACACATACAAATGTCAACGTCTGTCTGCACTAACTTTGAAATAATTTGCTGCTCCGGCCTCTTGTTGCCGAGTCTCACAACCCCTCCGATGTCAGTCTTCATCACAGGAGAGACGTCCATACATGTCTCAACGTTTTAAACACCCACAAATCAAAGAGAGACGCTAACCCCTCTCCACATGCCTAAGACGAGTAATCATCAGCACCTTCCACCCGCTGCAGTGCCCTTCTTCGGGGGGAGTTCTGCTAACAAGTTTGTGGTCCATATTGATCTACATGAAGAAGTAGTCTCTTACCTTCGACAAGAAGCCCAAGGATCAACACAAGCTGTTATCTTTTGAGTTCATCCAAAATGAACCCACTGTTGAGGAAGATGAGCGTTCTTGTTCCTTCTTCTAGAATAGCGGACGATTGACGCCAGACACACCATGAGAAAGTGAGGAAGAGAGTCCAAACAAAGAGAACACACCAGATTTAACATGCTTCGGAGAACCCTCCGACGTCCACGTACTTGCTGAAGAGCCTGAGTACTCATCGAAGATTCCAATAGAGCACCACTAGACTTCAACACCCACTTGCATATGCTTCGTGAAAGGCCCCATCCTTTCTTTCCCGTATATTCATCTTGTGAACATCTAAAGATGGCTAAGTCTAGACAGTCTATCTGCTTTGGTTGTAAGACTCGGCTTACATAAATTTCTTGGTCCAAAACAAAACCTTTCTAGGGTTGGGACGATTTAAGAGGAAACATTTTTCGTGGTTTGTGGGTCTCATGAAAGGAAAGTCGCTGACGCAGCCGCTACATAGACTTTGCTAGGTATGTTAAAGTCTTGAAAATGCCACAGCTATAAGAATAGGAAGATCTTTGATCCAAAAGCTTTTACTGTCTTCCAGCAATCCTTTTTTATTTGCCTTGAGAACCTATTTGTGTATTTGACGAAATTCGTTTTCTGATGTACGTCCAATGCAAATTGCCTCGTATAGTAAATACCACTGAAGCGCGCATGGATAACCACGTACGCTTGCCGCCCACCGGCGCATGCTGCTGCTCACTGGCGTTAGGGGCATTAGCAGACCGCCAGGCCGTTGCTTACTAGAAGCGTCCGGCGTGCACGCGCCGCCGTGTCACGCCCACATTGACGCTCGCCGCCTGGCGGCCTTTCCGGACCAGCTGTGTTCAAGGATGAAAGCCGAAGATAGACGGAGAGAACTTCCACAGAGCTGACACCTTCGTCTCTTTGGAGGCAGACGTCTCCGTCACTGCGGTTCTCGAGTCAATCAAGAAGTTGTGATCCCGCATGATGCGTGTAAGTAACACCAGCTAATCTTTGAAGCTTTCCACGAGGGGCCGTGTGGCGGCGTTGACCTTATTAACAGCTTCATACTGTCTCAATGAAGGTTATCGGAAATCGGATCAGATTCTGAAGGCTGCTTCGTCTGACTAGAGCCATGTGCAGGGTACCGATGATTAGGCGACAGGATCAGCCATGCCCTATCCGATCTACTGGAAGCCTCGAAGTCAACTAGAAATAATGCCACAAGCTATGTAGGAATGGGATCCTCTAAGTCATATCGTTGAAATTCAATCTTGATCGTCCGATTCTCCTAACTGTGACCAATGAGAGAGGGAGCGGGTCTTTCCTTTCAACGTTTATGACTTCTCAAACGCGATTTTTGTTTTATACAACGGAACTCGATCTCCCTAGTTTCTGTGCGCGTACAGCTCGCCGAAAAAGTTCACCGACGTAGAAACGTTCACACGTTTTGACGAATTGGATCACCTCGAGTGGGTTTATTCCTCCACCTTCCAAGCTTTGAGCTGGTGTCCCGTCCGACGTGCATCTCTCTCTATCTCTCCCCTACCTCATCCTCCCTCCGCAACCCTTTCCTCTCTTCTGCGCTCGACAAAACATCTAGACCCGCAGTTGGACTAGGATATGGCGGCGCCGCTGCTTTCGCTCGTCTCCTTATTCCTAGAGAAGCTTAACAGTTTGAAATACAAGGAAGTGATGCCATGCGGGTTACAGTCCGCGCTAGAGGAGCTCGAGGAGAAGATCAAGGAGATCAGACACTTCGTCCCCGATGCAGAGACCCAGGCCTTCGGCAGCGAGTACGCCCGCCTCTGGCTGAAAGCGCTGAAAGAGGCGGTGTACGACGCAGATGACGTCCTCGACGACTATGCAATCGCCGGAGGAATGGTATCAGTACAGCCGGAAACGCTCTCCTCGACCAGCATGGTACGTCCTCGTTTCTCCTCTCCATTGTCTCGCACGAGTCAGATTGAATTTGAACACGAAATGGGGATGAGAATAAAGAGTATAAACTCTAGACTACAGAAGATCTCAAAAGAGAAGGCTGAGCTACACTTGACGCCTACCGATGATCACTTCTCAACGACAGGCAGCAGCTTTCAGACATCATCTCTAGTCAATCTAGAAATTGCTAATTCAGTAGTCGAATTACAATGCAAAAAGTTACTGTGACTACTTGTGGGGAATGAGAAAGATAGCAAGCTGATAGCGATCACGGGGATAGGGGGAATCGGAAAGACTACACTGGCTAAAGTGACATTCAACGATCAATTCATCGCAGCCAATTTTCACATGAAGATTTGGGTCTGCGTTTCCAAGTACTTCAACCAAATTAAGATATTAAAAGAGGTCATAGAGCACGCCGGTGGGGACCCCCGGGATGGTGACTGCAAGGAACAGCTGGCCCAGATCCTAAGCAGCCTCATCAAAGACAAGAAATTTTTTCTTGTTCTAGATGACGTCTGGACGACAGAGGTCTGGGACGAGCTACTCCGAGGAGCCTTGCAGGGCGCCGCCGTTGGCAGCATGGTGTTGATAATGACTCGTCTCGAGTCTGTGGCGAGGCAGGTGGGGGCGTCGCACCTTCATCCTTCCATGAGAATGACTGGTTTTGAAGGGTTCTACCTTTTGTGCAAGATGGTGTTCAGAGATGGGGAGGAGCAACAGTGGGGAGCCATGCAAGATGTTGGCGTTAAAATTGCCAAGAGATGCAAGGGCATTCCTTTAGCTATAAAGATGATCGGAGGGGTTCTGAGATGCAAGGGTAAGAACGTACGGGAGTGGGAGGAGATACTCGAAGATCAAGTATGGTCTACATCCATCTTCCCAGAGGACGAGGAAAATGTTCTGAAGGCTCTGTATTTGTCTTACAGGGATCTGCCCTCAAGCATCAAGCAGTGTTTTCTATACCTCTCGCTGTTTCCCGAGGACTACGCGTTTGCGCGTCCCAGTGTCGTGCAGTACTGGGCCGCTGAGGGTTTCCTGAAACCAGAGGGCACTTTGACCATGGAACAAATAGGAGACAAGTTTTTCGACGAGCTGACCGGCAGAGGTCTTCTCCATCCAGAGCTCTCAGCGATAGAGGGGGCTCTGTGCAAGATGCACGACATTGTGCGTTCTCTTTGTCAGTATCTGGCTGAAGGTGAATGCCTCTTCGGCGGCATGCCGAGACTGAAAGGCAGGTCCGGAAAGCTCCGCCGGTTGTCAATGGTAGATTGTGACTTTCCCATAGACCTTCATCTCTTGAAAAGAGAACAACGCCTGAGGAAACTCCTTATCTGTAGGAACCCATATGGAGGGATGGTTCTAAGACAGGATGTTATTGAAGCTCTTGGGTATCTGAGAGTCTTAGATATCAGTGAGGAACAGCCACATTTCATCACAAAACTTCGACACCTGAGGTATCTCAACGTCTCTGGGACTCCCATTGGAGCGTTGCCAGATTCGATAGGCGATATGAAAAGCCTGGAGTTCCTGTTACTGATGAACTGCGAGAACGTCACGTCTCTTCCAGATGGCATAACGCAGTTGAGAAATCTAAGGTGCCTTAGGATGAATGAGAGAACTAACATCGACCAGATGCCAAGGGAATCGGCGGACTGCATCAGCGAGTTCTTTATGGGTTTGTTGTGGACAAGCGGGAGGGAACTCTGCGAGAATTGGGGCCTCTATTAAAACTGAGACATCTGGTGATCAGAAAATTGGAGAGGATATCAGAAGCAACGTAAGCCAGAAGTACCCTCCTTGAGAATAAAACCTCCATGAACTTCACAAGCTTTGAGTGGACCTTCCCTCCCGTCGATACTAGCACTACAGATGCAAGTATCTTTGATGAGCTATGCCTCCCACCTTCCCTGAAGATACTCAGCGTCGTAGGATGCCTTGGGCTCACCCTCCCTCGTTGGATGTGGCCTTCGTCGTCATCTGGCGTCTGTCACACCCATAATCTCACAATGATAATCTCCCTCATCTGAAGCTCGTCTGGATCAGTGGTTGTGCCCAGCTTGTAAGCATTGGGCCGAGCTCGCAAACTCTTCTGTTTCCCCACATCCATCTTCTTCTACCTCTTCCTCTACTGCAATTGTTGGCACAACTGCTGTTCTGTTCCCCAAGCTGGAATCTTTTACTCTCATAGAAATGCCGAACCTTGAAACCTGGTCCTGGAAAACAAACATAATGGCTTTTCCTTCCCTCAAAACTCTGTACCTTGAGGACTGCCCCAAGTTGAGATGCATCCCCGATGGCTCCTGGAGACGACTCAACCACATATTTATCTTCAACTGCCCCTCAATCTTGGAGGTGGGGAGTCTTCCTGCTCCGGAAATATTGATCGTAAGAGATGACAGCTCGGAGGACCTCTCGCCATGGTTAGAGCACGTCTGTATCGATCCCAGGGATGAGGTGTCATTCCTTCTTCTCAAGGTCAGGTTGAGTCTGCTCAGGAGAATGTTGCAACAGAGAGAGGCGGACCGTAACGACCAAGACGGTGGTTGGAATGTCGTTAAACAATTCCCTCGTGGTCACGTTGCAGCAACCGACGATGAAACACTGTTTTTCTGCTACCTCAAAGATCAATCATTCTTCAACACCAACGTGCAGGTCGCTTAAGGCGAGGGCCACTGTTGAGGCAGCAGTGGAGGAGAACGGGTAACAAACTGTGAATGACAGGCCGATCCCATAGATGATGATGGAATAAGCTCGACGCTGATGGCAGGGAGTCATCTGCGGCGACAGGTCAGGAAGATGGAATCTTCACTGCTTTCGTTTTTTTTTTCCTTTTCTCCACCTGTTCTTTGAACTGTTCTTGGGCAGTTGGGTCCCTCGTGCTGCTTATTTGGCAAGGTCGCTACTGACCAAGCCATAAACGATTTCCTTTATATGTTCGTCGTTTCCTACAGTAGAAAAATAAGACAGTGTTTGCTTGAAATCTCTTTTTCTCTTCTTCTTGTTCGTGAGGGTTCTTTCCTTCATCTGGTATCAGAGCTCTCGTTCTGATCCAGGGAGAATCATGCCGAGACGAGGAGATGCATCGTCCCAGGCCGGTGGCAACTTCTTTGTGGAAGGAGCTGTTCCTAGCTTAGGCACCGGAGCACCCGGGGTGGGTGATGTGGCACCGTCGGTATCATTCCCTGTGCTCTCCAAAACCAACTACCCTCTATGGGGCTAGTCGGATGGAGGTCCTGTTGGAGGCACATGGGCTATGGGAGGCGATTGAGGCGGAGAGCGTGGCAAGGAAGAAGGATCGTCAAGTCCTCTCAATCCTTCTCGGAGCAATTCCTGAGGAGATCCAGGTGCAACTCAACATCAAGAGGCCTGCGAAAGAGATACGGGAGACTCTTAGGAATAAGAATGTCGGCATCGAACGCGTGCAGAAGCCCGTGTTCAAGCCTTGAAGAGAGAATTTGAGTCTCTCAAGATGGGCACTCGGGTCATTAAAAGTTCATGAGGAGAAACTTCAAGAGCGTCAAACTAAAGAAGAAGAAGAGCAAGCCCTGCTGACGCGTGCAATAGATAAGAATAAAGGTATGGGTGGAAACTCAAGAGGACGTGGCAGAGGATGAGGACATTTAAGCTCTGAATAAATTCCTTCACATAAGCCGTTCAACATTTAATCAATGAAATTAGCTGCTTCTACGACAAGGAGATGAAATCCTTTTGAAGCAAGTTTTTCTTCGGACATATTGCTGAACGGCTTGCTTGACTTCGTTTGTGTACGCAATGAACTACTGATTATAACGCTTAATTTCTTTTGCATGGAGTACATTTTGAACAAAGGACAAAAGAAATCAATAGCTTGCGGCAATTAAACATTCAAAGCAGACAACAGAAGAATCATCCATGCGGTCAATCGAGGTGTACATTATTATTGCCATCTTTTATTTAGGACAAGATACACATCATGCCGCCGTCACCATGTGTGATTACAAGTACGGGCCATGCAGAAGGTTCACGACGGAGTGAATGGCCATTTATTCACCCATCTCTACTAAAACAACGTTGAAACCCACGAACGAGAAAGCACGTCGCCGTCCATTAGCACACCATCTCTACGCTCCAGAAGGGGAATCTATGGCAGTAACAGGTCTACTCGTCCAGAAATTTAGGGCGATAGCCATTCTTGCGGTGGCGGTACGACGGCCTCCTGATCCTCCCTGTACACGAAGTGGAAGCCGCCCTGGTAGCCAGTGAGGTGGAAACAGACGCAGCTGGTGATGTTCTCGCTCCGTCTGCTGCAATCATAAGCGTGCTCGCCGACGCCGGCGCAATCAATGCGACTTAAAAAAGAACCAGGGGAACGGCGGCGGTCGTGGGCCTGCCTGTGGTGGCCATTACTTGCGCTTGCCGGCGGAGGTGCTCCTAGGAATCGGATTCAACTAGGGTTTGGGGTTACGTTGGGCTGGAGTAGCAAATAAGTATTTTCGATGCGCGAAGATTAATTTATAGGGAACGGAAAATGGAGAGACAGCTGAATAATGTGGTAAGCTTATTGACGCGGCCGCAAAAATACATCGATGGTGGAGATTGGGATTCTTAATCGGCTTGCATTCAACTAATTACTTTGCTCATATCCGCTCAATCTGAAATGAGTTTAGTCGGTTGACATCTACTCAAATGGACATGACGACGGTGTCCTTGAGCTATTAGTCTACTTGAATAGACTCAGACAATTGTGACTATTCCAACTTTGACGTGGTTGCCTTTCATCAAAGGAGCCCATCATTTCCAAGCAGAACAAAAGTATGGATGACAAAGGAACTCTGTTTGGAAATGCGACTAGATTTAGGACTTAATAACAGGCCTGTTATCACAGTAGAAGATGAGAGCATGAGTACAGAATGCTCACAATCTAATAAGTGATATGCAGAAAAGTAAATGTGCTAAAATAATGATATCAGTAATTTATTATCATTTAGAAACACACCTCAGAACCACTAAACAAAGAAGGAGAATATCTAATAGTCAATGAGGAACAAAATGCAAGGATATGGAGTTAACGAAGCTCTAACCACAAGCATCGAATGAGAGAGAAAGAAGAGAAGCTGGAATCTAGATTTCAGATGTCAGAGAGAGAAAGGTTTCTCATTCCCTTGATTTCAAAGGTTATCTCTTCAAAATGCGCAAGTACACAGCCACTTAAGATAGCTCGCCGTGTGATGTTAACGTGCAGAGCAATACGATAGACAATATTTTATAGGGAATCTGACGAGAGTAACTAGATGGTTTTCTCTTATAAGAACTCCAGTAGGTTACCTAAATTCTCTTTTGTCTTTAATGAATCTAATGATGCGGACATTTTTATGCACGTCGACAAGAAGAGAGACGCTGAGATGGTGTTTGTGTGGCAATGGTCTCCCAATGCATCTCAATTAAACCCGAACTTCCTATTTGTCAGAGTATGTCCTTCCCCGCTGCCGAAGTGATTTCCATTTTCACATTGGAAGTGATAGGTTCCGTTCATGGAACGCAACAGGAAATCGTTCACAACGCGAATGACAGGCGTAATGTATCTACGTAAAGATTGATATAGCTATATTCTCGAGTCCAAAGAAAATTTTTGTGCATCAGTTTTAGTATCGCAGAAACTATGGGACGGCTTGCACAGGACACGACATAAATATCAAGCTTGGAACCTTTTTCAGGAATAAAGTCTTCTTTCCATTTAATCCTATAAAAAAAATACGGCAGCAAGGTTGTTGCCCACCACTAAATTCTGTAACGTATATTCTCTTCTAACTATACTAAATTACATTATCGACCAAGTTTATCTTAATGATATCAAAGAAGCTCAATTTTCTCAACCTTTATAACGTTTACGAAACAAGATCTACACACTCCCTTCGCATATACGTGCTGTAGAGTATTTAGTGCATATTACCATTAAACAAGTTTCGGTTCCATACTATCCTCCTTTACACTATTTATGATTGCAAGTACACATCGTGCAGCTAGTTTACGACGAAGTAATTGGCCGTTTATTCACCCATCATTATTCAAACACTGCCGAAAGCAGCGAAGGGGGGCACGTCGCCGTCCCCTTAGCACACCATCTCCACGCTCCTGAAGGGGAACCTGCGGCAGTAGCGGGTCTCCTCGTTCAGCAATTGAGAGCGATAGTGGTTCCTGCAGTGGCGGTCCGTGTACAGGACGGCCTCCTGCTCCTCCGTGAACACGAAGTGGAAGCCGCTCTGGTAGCCAGTGAGCTCGAAACAGCCGCAGCCGTTGATGTCCATGGTCTGTCCGCTGCATCCTGGGCCGGAGAACACCGTGAGCGTGCTCGCCGATGCCGGCGCAATCATTGCGACGGCAAAGAGGACAAGGAGAGCGGCGGCAGCCGCGGGCCTGGCTGTGATGGCCATGAGTTCCAGTTGCGGATGGAGGTGGTCCTAGGGAGCTGATTAACTTAGGGCTTGGGATTATGCTGGGTTGCAGCGGTGAAGAGCTCTTGTCCATACGCGGAGGTTCATTTATAGGACTGGAAAAGGTCGATAGAGTGCTGAAAGAATGCGGCAAGTCCATTCACGCTACGTAGAAAATCGATGGGTCGTCGAGACAATGGATTCCTAATCGGCGGCCATTTGCTATAATTATCATTTTCATACGCGGTAGCTGAATTTATGATTTTCCGTTCAGCTGTAATTGCAAGCTGACGACGAACGCTTCGTTGAACTATGCTTTTTAAAGGATTCAGTTGGCCGTACGCTGTCGGAGTTTGATCAGGTCGATCGCCCGCTTTCTCAGGTATGCCGTCAAAACGAGTTTCGTCCGGGTTCTCACATTTCAAACAGGTGACGACTGCATATTAGATGAGGATAGATATAACAGTGAGAAGCCCAAATGGTCGGAGGATAAGGCAAACTTTCCTACGCCTATTGACGAAACCAATGGGTCGTCGATCGGCGGAGTCAGAACCCTTCGTCGTGTCTGCCGGGCTCTATTCCTTTGCAAAGCGGTCTACTAAAACTTTTCTATGCGTTAACTTTTTAAAACGCACAGGTCCAAAACGGCTTCAGGTTAGCTCCCTGTCTTTCCATTATTAGCGTGCGTCAAGCGCGGTAGGTAGAACGCGGCGATAAATAATATCTATCAATGGATTTTACTACCATCACTGACTTTTTCCGTCTGAAACAACCGCTCGCTTTGCTGAATTGCGTCTTTTGCTCTTTTCCAGTCTATCAATGTGCACATAGTATGTATATTGGTGGAGCGTCGATACTTGTCGTAATGTTTGGTTCCGTTCGTGTCAAGCAATGAAAAATTTAACGCAGAGATAGCTACGTTCTCTTCGGTCATCACTTGGCCATTTCAGATATAGCTGTTCGAAATCTCTTTCCCGCTCGCTCTGTTAGTCTTTTACACTGGTCGTTCGCTTCAGTTCCGAAGGACAAACGTTTACATCAGTTCCGAAGGACATACGTTTTAGGGTTTTGGTCGAAAGTTTGCCTTTGATCGCCGATCGGAATCTCTTAACGCCAAAATTTCATATTCAGACGTAGTATTTAAGCATGAAAAGTTACTTGTTCACCCTTTGTTAGAAAACGTGTACTCTGGTGGTCTGCCGGGAATATTTGCCGCTTAACTTGCTATCAAACGCACTTTCCTTGCATTTTAATTATATCTACCTGACAAGTGTCATTGATATCGGAACCGCCTATGGTGTATGACACCACTTCATTCCATACATAAATTATGAATTATCTAGTGTATAACAAGTAACTTAAGTATGAAAGTATCCCCTTAATCATTGGTCGCATTTTGCTTTCATAATTTGTAGGTGAGTTAGTTAAAATGATGCGCACAATGGATCCGCCAATGACAGGTCTCGGAATTAAATTCTGTAAACTAGTTCATTCGTGATAAATAAAACAGTAAAAAATAAACTGATGTTTAACTATAAGAGTCAAAATTTCAATGTATGTCATGAGCTTCCATATGTTGTCCCATGAGCTTAGCTATGCAGAGTAGCTAGTTGACACAAAACTACAAGCATTCAAAATCTGGGACACTACCTCCCTCAAGCCAGGTATATGCTAACCTTCTTTCTAGTGTTAAATTACCTATTTCATATGGAATTAAGCTTGGTCCTCTTTTTGGTTTAAAAATCAATCACTTTTTCTATTTAGCAGAAATGCAATCTCATTCACAATTTTCTCTCTATGTTTTTAACCAGCATACCTTTCCTTTACCCTCATCAATGAATAAAAAGCTTTTAAATGGCCACATGAACCTAATCCAATGGTTGAGCATGATTGAAATATTTGAATTTGACATATTTTAATGATTCACAGTACTGTCAATTACCATGGTGTAAGTTGCCTTTCATTCTCTTTGTTGATGCATTTTTTTCTCTACCTAGCCCTGAATCATTCATTTTAACCATAGATTTGAATAAGTCTACTGTTAAAAATCTTTATTTTCCAACTTGGTTCAGCAAATGTAGATTTACAGGTCATTAGAAAAGAACTTAGTAGAAGAGATTAACAAGTGAAAGACATACTATAATGGAAGATTAGTACATTAATGTGTTTTAACTTTTTAATCAATTTAGTGTAATTTTTATACATATGACCAAAGAATTTATTGCACTGCGTATTATACAATTTCCAAACATTTTAAGCAAAGGAGCAACAGGTTAGCAGCGATGATGTTCTATTTCAATTATCATGTCATGCTTTACATTATATTACATATTTTTCACTTTATTTTTACAGGTTTTCTATGTTTTAATTTTTTTTTTTCCAACTTATATCATTCTTTAATATTTTATGCTATGTTTAAATTTAAATATTTATTATTTAAATTTTTACATTTTGAGGTTGATTATAAATATTTGCTTTCTTTCATGTTAATCTTAGATTACTACTAAGCATCATGAAAACTTTTAAGCGTTGAACATTACCTATATTAAATTTACTCTGCTTAAGCGTTAAACATTACCCCTATTAAACATTACTCTGTTACATTACCTCTATTAGATTGAGGAACGTTATAAGGTGTAGAAGTTAAAACCAATGAAATTATCTGCTCCAAGGACATGGAGATGAGTTAAATTCGAAAATAGTTTTTCTTGGTACTTAATGTTCTAGGGCTTGAATGTGTCTGTGTATGCAACGAACTATTTATGAGAACGCATAAATGTATCGGTAGCAAACGGCAAGAAAACAATTTAGCAGACAAGAGGCGAATCCTCATGCATAAGATCGAGATGAGCATTAAAGTTTACTATCCATCCCCTTTAAACAAGAACTGATTGTAAATTATTATTACCATCTTATATTCATGACAAGAACTAAACATCATGTTGCCGGTGCACAACGAAATAACCCGCCACTTATTTACCCTTATCCGATTAAACAATTCTGAAAATCAAGAACAAGAGGACACGTCATCGTATACGATTAGATGTGCGGATCATGCAGCCAGTTCACAACGAAAGAAATGGCCGTTTATTTTCCTATATCTACACAAATAGTATTGAAACCCACGACCGAGAAAGCACGTATCCGTCCCTTAGCACACCATCTTCACGCTCCTGAAGGGGAACCTGCGGCAGTAGCGGGTCTCCTCGTTCAGCAATTGAGAGCGATAGCGGTTCCTGCAGTGGCGGTCCGTGTACAGGACGGCCTCCTGCTCCTCCGTGAACACGAAGTGGAAGCCACTCTGGTAGCCGGTGAGCTCGAAACAGTCGCAGCCGTTGATGTCCATGGTCTGTCCGCTGCATCCTGGGCCGGAGAACACCGTGAGCGTGCTGGCGGACGCCGGCGCAATCAATGCGACGGCAAAGAGAACAAGGAGAGCGGCGGCAGCCGCGGGCCTGGCTGTGATGGCCATGACTTCCAGTTGCGGCCGGAGGTGGTCCTAGGGAGCTGATTAACTTAGGGCTTGGGATTATGCTGGATTGGAGTGGTGAAGAGCTCTTGTCCATACACGGAGGTTCATTTATAGCGGTGGAAAGGGCAGACGTGTTGCCGAAATAATGCTCTATGTTCATTCACGCCACCTGGAAAATCCATGGGCTCTCGGGGCCCGGATTCTTAATCGGTGTGCATAGGAAATTATTACTTTTTTCATATCTGCCAAGTAAGAATTTATTTAGTTGGTTGACCTCCGCGACGGTGTCGTTGAATGATGACTCTGTTGGAATGGACACAGTTTGTTGTACGCATCCGGATTTTGACGCCGTCATCTGTCGTCCAAGGGAACCCATCGTTCGAGAGCGGTCAGAACCGTAAAGTATGGATAGGAACAGAACTGGTGCCATGTTGTCAAGTTCCTCGCGTCCTTCAAATGGCTTAACTACAAACTTTACGATGGCTCTTACCTCTCCCAAACGCGCAAGTACGCAACCCCTTAAGGAAGCTCGCTGTATGATATTAACGTGGAGAACAAGACGATAGATGCTGCTCAACAGTGAACCTGGCTATCATATGATACCAGCTAGTTTTCCGTGTGGGAAAGGGCTGTAGCTTTGTTAAGATTGTGTCTTTTGTCTTCAGCGAATCTATTGATGGGAACACTGTATATACGTCGGCGAAAAAGAATAGAAGCCTTGATGGCGTCTGTCTGGGAATGGACCGTGCTGCATCAACTTATCAAAATAAGAGTTGATAAGAAATGACAATGATCTAACTACAGTAGCCATCTAAATCTTTTCATTAGCACTCTATGTCATATGTTGAGACCTAGAATCTATCAATAACAAAACTCATTAGTTTTAACAATGAAATTCTTGGGGATGCAAATTTTTGGGCACGAGAATAAATAAGAGTCCAAAAAGACATTTGAGATCACGAAGGAACATAATCAAGCTGATAATTGTGGGTAGCTTTGTGCACTACCTTTCTATAAGCTTTCTAACTAAATAATGAAAATCCATGAACCGACCCATTTACCTTCACCCTCTCTCCAGATTTTCTTGAACCATGATATCTATGTGATAAAGAAATGATAATGTAGTTGTCCTTTGAGAACCGTTGAACTTTTTTTATGAGCTTATTGATAAATAATTGTGGTTATGTCTTAATCTGTTGTTTATGTCACTGCTACAGATGAGTAGCTCAATTTGGTTGACCATTCAAGTTGTATATACCACTCATACGGAGCTGCATGTATCAAGCTGAATATATGCTTAAAATTCCTTGATAAATAATTCAGTTTATTTGGGCCCTTGAGACCACTTACAACTGTTAGTGAATTGTATGATCCGCATTGAGTCACCCTCTTGGAATATTTTAGATTGAAGGTCCTGATGAACTTGCAAGAAAACGCACGGTGGAAAAGATCACAAGAGCCAGAAAAAAGCATACTCCTAGAGAAAATGGGTCACTTAAAGATGGAAGTTTCCTTGACTGAAACGATGGGGCAAGAGACTCATAATTATAATCAGAGGGCCTCTTGCCTTGTACGGTTCTATGATTCAAACAGCCATGTCCTATAGACACTGGCTACGTAGAGGGCTAGAGAGTTTTTTATTCTTACAGCGGAAGTATCCCGGTCTGACGACAATCAGGAATACCAAGGCTTGAGCTGATACTTCCTTTGACGCAGACTTGTGGTGGGATATATGGCGAGATCGAAGCTGTGACTCATAGGGAAACGTGGAGTTAAACATGTTTTGGCGCATGGAAGACGGCAAGGGTTTGGGAAGTACTTGTACTCGACAGGGAAGAAGGGAGGCCACTACAGTTTGGATGAGGAGAGACAGAGAAGGACGCAGAGGGAGGCGAGGAGTGGTGGTGCGGGATCCCCATCCTTCAGGATGCCATCCATGAGGGCTCATGTCTGGAGCACAGACCACGAAGAAACCCGCGGTGGCGCTCGCCGTCTTCCGTCCGTTGGGATGGTTAGTGATCCGTCGTCAGCAGAGAAGCATTCGTTGCATGCGTAATCACAGCGCCTCTCCTCGCCTTGGAAATTCTTCTGAGAACGCTCACCCCGCTGCAAGGGCGGGAAGTCCTGGCTATTGCCCCCGCCGCCTCCAGTAGCTCCAGAGGGAGGGAGAGAGGAAGAGAGGCCCAATTAAACCTCCATTTTCTCTAATCTTCGAAAGAATAATGAAAAAGTTAATTTCCTTTCACGAACGAAATAATGTCGACACTGATGATTATGGTGAAACTTGTTCGGACAAATTGCGCACGGATCATGCACAGAAAATCGCAGAGGACAATTCTATTGTTACTAAAGATACGCCATGCTCAGCTTCTTCTCAGAGCAGACAGGTTTTATGACGAACGTCGTTAAGTTCAAAGGGTGGTCGCCGGGAGAAGAAAGAACCATGGAAGAGTTTCCTTAAACGGAGGGACGAAGGAGAGCGCCCTCTGTGCCGACGAAAGGAAACGGTCTGCTTCTGTTCCCGCACGAATGCCGGGAAAAGGAAACCATAGGAGAAGGGACTGAAAAGGAAACAGCTTCCTGTCTTGTTTAGGAAGGATGCACGCCGCCGTTGGAGCCTGGTTGGGATGATTCCTCTATAAAAGAGTAAGTTTTCCTTGAGTGCTTATTTTCCAAAGAATTAGGTTCACCAGCCGGGGGGAGTACTCGCCATGGCCCGCAGTCGGACTCCGCTCAGGTTGATAGAGGCCGACAGGCACCGCAGCTACGCTTTCCAGAGGAGGAAGGAGGCGCTTAAGAAGAAGACCATGGAGCTGGGCGAGCTTTGCGGGATCGTCACTCTCCTGGTCTGCTTCGGCCCCCGTGGCCAGTTGGTAACGTGGCCCGAAGACCCCGAGGAGGTTCGCGGCATCATCCAGAGCTATCGGCGAGTCGGGCTCGACGGAGACGGCGTCAAGCGCCGCTACGCTCTCGTCGGATTCTTCCAGGACCTCCTGAAGAGGCTACAGAGGGAGCTCGGGAGGGTGCGGGACGCCTGGCTGGGTAACCTTCCCTTGGAGTCCTTGGAAGAGCTGATGCGGTCCCTCGACTCGAGACTGGAGGCCGTAGACGAGAGTATCGTCAAAGCGGAGATCGAGCAGAAGAAACTGGAGGCACCGACAACCCAGTTCCCTCAGCACCAGCTACCTACGGTTGAGAACCTGCATTCGAGCACGGTCTTGAACGTGCAGCCTCTTCAGAGGTTCGACGGCTCGGATTCCCGCAATGACAGGCCAGAGTTCCTGGAAGACGACGTTGATTTCAGGGGAACTACCCCAAAGTTGCTGGAAGACGTTATTGGCTCGGAGATGCAGCAGCCGTGGGACGGTCTTTGTCATTCACCGCCGGGCCCATCCCTCCTGCTTACCCCGGTTCAAGGGGGCTGCTTCGATCTGGGCACTAGCTATCTCGGTGAACACCTCTTCTGTGATTTCCTGACTCACTCCACCTCCGGGGACGTCTTCTATTCGGCGATGGCTTCTCCTACGAATGTCTGCCGCTACGGCTCTGTACATAGTTCCAGCGACGTAGGCCGCAGTGGCGTCCAACTCGACACTGCTCCATTGTTCGAGAGTTCTGCTTTCTCCTTCCTCTCCACGGAATTCGCCACCTTCCCCGCCGCCGGTGACTTTCACGACGCCTCCCTCCGTGGTTTCGGGGACGGCGGTGGCGACGGCGGCGTCCATCTCCCCAATGCTCCTTCGTTTGAGCCCTTTCCCATCTCCTACATCTCCACTGACTTCGGTACTCTCCCTGCTGCCGGCGACCTTGGCAAGCCGACGATGGCGTTTCCTCTGTCTTTCTTCCTCGGCGGCTGGGATCATCTTCTCAGCAGCCAGTCACTCGAGGAGCCTTCCGCCAGTTCTCCACGCAGCTTCCCTCGGCATCTCCTCGACGACCACCATTCCGCGACGCTCTACGAAGCCGACGCTCTCCGAGGAGAGTTGACCGACATCTGGCCGCCTCCCGACCCAGGATGCTCCTTCGTCTTCCCCGATCCACTGCTCAATGCCCTGAGCCCCCTGAGGACCAGAGCCGGTGAAATTGGTAGTGGATGCTCTTCCATAAAGTTCTCGCTGTGCTCTGCCGGCGACCGATATACATTGTAGGCGGAGAAACCGCCGACCATCGGCCCCAATCTGAACCGAGTTGCGGATGATTGACACGATGTAAACGAGAGTTCGACACACATAAACACATTCTGCACGCCACTCGGTCCCTGATTGACGCGATGCAAGCACACAGAAACATGGTTGTATTCCTTCTCGTGAAGCCTTTTTAATTGTCATGTCGTGTAGGTCCAGTGGAGCGATGTGGTCGTGGAACATTGGTAGTCATTTGCATGGGAGGGATACGACCGAGGAGGAAAACCCAAGGCCCGGGCAACTGGAGCCGGACCGGTCTGTTGTACCTCGGTGGTAACCGGCGGGAATCCTCCTTGCAACGGTCACAAGAATTCTCCCGCCTTCGACTCCCGCCCAAACTCTCCCATTCGAAAGTCCACAACGGGCGGGAGATCTCCCCAACGGTCGGTAGATCCCGGCCACAGAGGGCGGGAGCGCGGAGGATATAACAGAAGGAGTGGGGGGGGCGGGGACGGCCATTGAGTTCAAGAACTCATTCCTTCTCAGCTCCCTCCTCCCACCAGATAGATAGATGGCTTCGACTTCCGCAATGGAGAGGGGTGCCAAGCGCAGGGGGAAGAAACCTTGGGCAAGGAGGGAGCAGGGTCTGAAGAAGAAGGCCGCCGAGTTGTCGACGTTGTGCGGGGTCGACGTCTTCTTAGCCGGCTACAACGATGAAGGAGAAGATTTCTTCATCTGGCCGCACGACATGAAAGAAGCGGAGCGCATCGCCGATCGGCTAAAGGAGCAGCAGGGAATCGGCGGCGGGCAGGGCCCAGGTGGGAAGAGAAAGAGGGGGGCTTCCACCTCTGCCCCCAACACTGCTTCGAAGCGACGGAAAGGGGACTCCAAGGCGGCCGTTTGTCCCCAGAATTCCGCCGCCGAGAGACCTGTGCAGAAATCCGACGTCGAGTTCTGTCTGGATGTCCTAGACAAAGAAGAACCGATGGCCTTCTGGAGAGAGATTCTCGAGATGACTTCGGGCAGCAGCGGCGCGATCACCAACGACTTTGGAGCGGCAGCGGGGGCAAACGCTATTCGTCCTACAGGCCGAGCAGGAGCCACCACCGGGATCTCGGTAGCCGCCGGACTCCCCTCCATGATCCCTCCTCTGTTCCCGCCTCATGAGATCTCCGACGACCTCCCAGTGGAAGCCGGCTGGGGAGCCTCGCCGTGGAACGGGGAGTATGTGCGAGATTTGTCAGCGGGGCGCAGCTGGCCGTACTTCCAAGAGCCGCTCGTCGCGGACGAGGCCTTCCGCAGTCCTTCACTGGAGGAGCTCCTCTGGGGGGTACCTTCAATGTCCGGCGGACATGCCCTTGAAATGGAGGCGCAAAGGAGCTATCTGTGCTCATGTCAGGCGGCGATAGGCGTTCCCGGGGTGATCCCCTTCCTTCCTCCTCTTCTTCCTCCTCATCCAGCAGCTTTTTCCTTTTCTGCCGCGAATCCGGGGTGGGCGTATTTCTAGGATCACGCGGCGGAGCATTGTGAAGCAGTCTGCTGTAAACCCCTGGGACCGACCCAGTCCGACTCCAGTTCTTGTCAGGCATTGTTGTAAATCAATACGCAGCATTGATGTATATCAAGATGTCTTTTCTTCGCAAACCCCATAGTCTCCCCCACGTCGCTCTTATGGGTTTGACTTCCGAGCAGAGTCCTCCATTGATTAAAGCTCCATTAGGGACCCAAATCTGGCTCGAATAGTTTTCCAGTCTCCACCGTGCTCAGCCAGATGAAATGCGCACTGCATGTGGAGAGCGGCCGTAAAGAACAAGCTTGAATGAGGTTGGACAGAAATGCGCATGGCTACTGACCTGTTCAGGTTGCAGAGCGGCATTTAAGCAGCTGGATGGACATTGCTAAACACCACACAGAAGATCAGTTTGCGGCCGGCATCTAACGAGGTCTTTGTTAGCTGCAGAGTAAGCAGAAGGCAGCGGTGGGTCGGGAAGGGAAGCCGTCGCTTGTGGATTTGGGGAGAAGGAGGCGGAGAGAAAGTCAGTGGGTCAAAGGGGACGCTACTAGCGACATACAGGGAGCTACACAGGCTAGTCTCCTTGTCCCCATTTCTTACATCCTACTAGATCGCAGCTGCAGGGTAAGTTAAGTAGAAAGCCCGGAAACATCGCTGCTGGTTTCAGGGGGGAATGGAAGAGGAGCCAGGAGAGGAGTGAATTGAAAGAGAAATGATCGAGCAACAAAGAAACATAGTCGTCTCCTGTTTTGGCAGAGAAAGAAACCGGCACAGGAATTCCGAATTCGGTGTTTGGTGGCACGGATATTGTGGACACAGAAATGAATTGATGTTTAGCAGAGGTGCAGTAAATGATATATCCTCCACTATAGGAGGAAGAGATTGTAAATAAGTCGATGGGGAGTGGATGGGGCCCGATTTCAGATCATTCCTTAGCATATATAGTAAGTAAGTCGACTCCAATCTGCTCAATAGCGAATTAACCCAGAAATTTTTTAGCTCCCCCAGGAGGATTCCGCTTATAGATATCTCAACCCAATGGGAAAAAAGAATTCAATGATTCGGAAAATATTGATTCAGCAAACTCTGTCTGTGCGTAGGAGACGACCCTGTTTTCTGATTTCTCGATTATTTCAGTTCCAATTCACCCCTCTGTTGGCTCCATTTGTATTCCCCTTGGAACCAGGAAGATCCTCAGGGATTAGACCCCAGCAGAGACTAGCCTGTAAGTCTTTATTGCCAGTCTCTCCGGCTCTTCTTCTCTCCCCAGATCCACAAGAGAAGCCCTTTATTGCCAGGAGTACGAGCTAGCCGCACTCTTCCCGCCGGGCGAGCCATGACCTCCCCTTTTCCTTCTCTCCTGTTCTTGAATCCCCTTTAACCCAACTTGAGCCCAACAATTGGTGTTTAGTAGTATTTAGTGGCCTCAGAAAACTAGTGACACATGGAGCAAGTGGCTGTAATCAGGGTTGGAAAAAGTATATAAAAACAGCTGGGAATACAATTTGACCCTCTTTAGATCCTCTATTTTTAATTATATTTAACATCAAAATAAAATCGTTGATATATTTTGTTATCAATGGAAATATAAAATATAAATGATCAATGAAATATGAAAAAATGTTTAATATTACATTTTAATCAATCAAATGCATAAGAAACATTATAATCTTCAAACTGTAAATGCTATTATTGATTTGGTATGAAGAACACAACTAACCCCTTTGGTATTGAAGGACAAGAGCAAAAGTGAGATTATATCCTCAACACACTGAAGGAGCATCTCACACGAGCCTAATCTTGTATTAAGGCTCAAGCAGATAGACATTAGAGAGACATTGAGTTCACAATTGGAGACTAAGCATATATGAAGGTCTAAATTCTATTACAACATACCACCTAGCCTTACCACTAACATCTCAAGTGGACCTGATGTTTCATGTGTCATTCCCTCAGCTATGGAACGAGAGCTTCAGTGGATTGTTGAACTGGAAGAGGCACTGGACGTGCACCAATCAGCCAATGGACCAGAGATCCTTGTGTAGTGGAAGCATCTATCCCCTACAAAGAACTCATGGGAGCTTATGCAGCGTTTTTCGGATCTACACCTTGGGGACAAGGTTTTAGAGACAGCGGGGAGTGATGTTAGGCCCTAAGGCCTAGGGCCTGGACCCACAATGGGTCAGCTTAATGGTGAACCATTAGAGAAGGTTCAGAAAGGATCTCATGTATAAGAGAAAGGGTCCCCCTGATGAAATTAGTGTTAGCTACCAGGAGAGTGAGGGAGCTCTGTAACTCTTCAAACGCTAGGGTTCCAGCTCACTATCTTTTCTCTCCTTCCCTTTTCTCTATCCATCTGAGTGAATCCATTCTTCAATATCTCTAGCTGCTGTTAGATGGTAATGCTTAACAAAACAAATTTATTAAGGAATGGGTCGCCTGCCTACCTCACCTATAAAAGTTATCATTTGGAATTTTAACTTTTATGTGGAGAGCAGTAATCTTGGATCACGGTATCCTATACTCTAGGAAATTAACCATTGAATGCAACATTATTGAATAAAACTCAAAAAAAAAAAAGAAAAGGACGAAGTTTCATGTTAATCTGATCAAGCAGTTGATGCGTTTCCAACTAGGTTCTTAGATGACCTGATTCTTGATCCGGACTGTCCTCTGCTTGTGGTTCATGAGTAACGGTATTCATCAAGTGGTGCGCCTCATTATCCAGAAATCAGAAGAACTCTATAGAGCAGTTCTCCTAAACTTAGCACATCTGCAAAAATGTCTTGAAAAAAAAGGGCCGGCAAAAATCTCCAAAAACTCTTCTCACCTATGCAGAAGAAGCGCTTATCCCAATCTGCAAAGACAAAGAAACACTTTGAGGTGCCTTTACGATCCTGTGTAGATCAATGGACAAGGAGGAGATGGAATAACTATCCAATTCACCCAGAGCGGAAAGAACTATTGGGGTAGGATATCTGCGAAGAATGATTGAAGATCCCCCTCGTGAGCATCCAAGGCCAACATTTTAACCACACAATCCTGCCAGATAAAAACAAACCAAGGCAATGCCGATAATATCAGCGACAATCATCCACATTTGAGGATGTGTAAGTTTTAGTGAGTGCTGCAAGTGGTTCGGAGAGGGGAGCGCGCGGTGAGGAATTGTCTCACATCACCTTGTACCGGCGATCCATGTCTGATATGTTCTGGCTGTCCAGACGCTCAATGGGCTTATCGGACTTGTTCATCTCCAATATATATGCAGCTCTTCGAACAAGATCATCGGGTACTCCTAATCATAGAGGATAGAGAACAGGCGTTATCTGTATAAAGACCACAAAAACCAAATAACCACTACGCATAGCCTTCGTAAATACACACTGAACTATAATCTGAGATAGATGGCACCTCCCTGCGGTTCATGATTCAATAAACATGCTATAATATAAAGCTGTTTTGAAGGATGTTTGAAACGCAATTTATTTTATTTTATTTTATTGGTTAATGAGCTACAGAATCCAAACGAACTATTCTAATGTGCGTCATATTTTGAACACGTAGTTTGCCATTTCTCCCACTGACTTTACCCGTATTACTGATTATTCAAACTGAGGATCCTGAAAACCTCACGAACTCAGTCAGACTCACTCAACTCATGCTGCCGTTCAGGTGAAGCCAAAAGATATAGATAATTAAGCTTATTAGTCTCGCAAAGCTTGCAGGAGAACCAAATAGCCTCCCAAATCCTATTAAAACTTCAAAACAGAGTGTACCTATTCCTATCGAATGGTTTCTTGAGTAATTTATAGAAACCTTGTGACCAATCGATTGGAATATCTGAAATCAAACACAAGTATTTTAAGATAACGGGATGAAGTTTTTGCTTTTTGCTTTCTGTTTGATGCAACATATAATGCCTAAATATTATAAATAAATCTAACTCGCTTAGAACTTATTTAAGTATGACATGATGATGTCCAGACCATTATGTCTATCATATATATCTCCCTTATCCAACGCATCAGAGGGAATCTTGATCTAGTTTAGTGCATCTTCTACCCTTTTCCAAACACTCTCCTACTCTATCAGTGGGCGTGGTCTCAGAGTAGACGTAGGGTCTTTTAACAGAACCGTAGCAGCCATTTTTCAGTATTCCCCGCAACAGGATACCATGACAGAGGCTTTTCTGCAATGCGATCTCATTTTGGACATGGGGTGTCAGGACTCCATCGGAGAAAGAGTTCCTCTAATGCTCACGTTAGACCTCTGAATCGTAGTCCCCTTCTTCTGTTCCTATGTTTTTGACTACTGAAAAGACATTCACACAGAGAGTATGATGGATTCTTCCCGCTGATGCTGCATTTATCCTCTCCATCCTCTATGAATTATCCCTGAAATTACATCCATTGGACTTGATATTTAACATTGTTAGTCGCCAAATGATTTTTTTACTACGTTAGACAATGCTTATATTCAGATATGTCACAAACTTTGAGGTCAAATATTACTCGTCCATTTTTTGACAATAGCCCTAGTCTCCCCGGCTTCACTTAATGGGCCAGCATCTGGTTCAGCCTCTTATGTTCGCACTGATAGGCCTTATACGCCAATTCCTTTCTAATGCTCTAGATTATGCGTTAACTTGCTCTTCTTCACAATATCTTTCATGAACACAACCAATGATTTTATAATTTGGAGAAGACTTGTCATCAAGTCATTACTGTAATTTCACGAGTATAGGGACTTGTTAGACAAAAAGAAAAGGCATTATTAGAGCACTTTCTTCAATAAGTTATTTCTGATGATCGGTAAGCACTGAGATATGGAGTGGAACAAAAGTAGGATGGAGTAATGATAGTAACGCATACAGTTCTATGGATTTGGGGGAGGATAGAAAAGGAAGAATGCATGGATATTGAAATAAAAAAGTCAACAATGGGAAAATGCAAGCTAATACATATACGCATTATTAATTGTATGTGAGAACGATAAAAGTAGAGCAATTAAGTACAAACGTTGGAGAGAATATCACCAGAAATGTTATCAACATATAAAGGAGAAAAAAATTACCAAACGTGAGCCTCCATGAAAGATGCATCAGCGATAGAACTAATTATAATACAATGAAAGATATGATTCTATTCGAACTGCAATTCTTGCAAAATATGAACTAAGGGAAAGAAAAAATCTTGATTCAGTCTTTAACATCCCTTCTGGATGAAGACTTAATTACCGAGCGACTGTCAAGGCGTTAAATCACCAAAGTTAAGCCGTACCAGCAAGTAAGGCGCAGTGCAATCCTAGAAGATGTGCAACATTGAAAATTACGACGCAAAAGGCATGAAAAGTCTAAAGATACAGAAAAAAATAGCAACCTACCGTAGCTCAAAAGTATATTCCCAGGACTAAGCCTTCCATCCCAAAAGAAAGACAGCAAAAGAACTCACGTTTATTAGTCTAAATAAAGACATTTTTTCCATGATAAATGACAAGAAAAAGAAAATAATTTCACATAGTAAACAACGGCAATACCGGTACAGGAAAATGATGTCTTCAGTGCTTGAGCAGTTTTCAGGCCTCAGAATACTCATGGTGTAAAACTTGATGTTCTCAGACTGGACGAAATACTAGAAGCTCGTTAGGTTCTAAATAATAGCTAGAATGAAATGGCATATCTGGAACTGTGAACAAAGTGTTTCAGACCTGGAATATGTAACTGTCACTGAAGATCTCTGATAAATGAGTACACAATAAAACCTGCTAGTCAGTGTTGTGTGTTAACTCAGAAAACCACACTAACGAGAAGTTATCTGTTGGATTATATAAACTCTATATTGGAATGTGTCTTCAAGTTGAAAATGCGAAGGAATTGCAGTCATGTTTCATCTCCAAGGGAAACCAAATGATGAGATACCAATCATACAAATTACTTAAATTATGCACTTGAAACAGGGGGGAACAATTACTTCCTGGAAAATGCGTGAAATATAACGGGAATAGAAATTCTCCATCTCATGTCAGTAAAATAAGTTATTTAATCTACAGGCAGAACTGCCTCAACTCGCAGCCACTACATTGTGAAGATACATCACCCCTGGCCAAAGATGGAGGAAAAGAGGCTCAACGATGTTGCACTTCAAAAGATAAGAGTCAAAAAGTCAAATTGCACAAGAGGAGTGCGCTAAAATGATCTTGCACTGGTTTACTACATAACTGGTTTTCGACTAAATTCCTCCCCCCCTCCCAAATAACTTAAAACACGACAGAGCTAAAATTGCGATTCAGTAGTCCTATATACTTATTTCCGTAATGCTTATACTGTCACTGTACTTCGTATTCTTGGTTATTTTATATGAACCATTTTAATGAAAATTTTAAGTAACCTTTTAGAAGGAATATGTGAAACTCACTCGTATGTCAACTTCGAGATAGAAATATGAATTGCACAAAAGCACAAAGAATTTTCTAAGATCGAAATATGTCTATTCTGAAAAAAATATAAGTAACCTTTGGAGAATTTTCAGATTGAGCAAAATGATTTATGATTCCTCCAAGAAGACCGATGCCATCTACATGTGTAGAAGAAAATGCTAGGTAAGGCACGCCTCCTGGGGAGAAATTTCATGCACACGAACAAGAAATGAATCATGAAACCGACCTTCAGTTAGAGTGCCCTTCCCAAATTCATCCAACAAACATAGAGAATGAGGTGTAGCCTGCCTACATGATTACAGATATCACAAAATTAGTAAGCATAGAGACTAATCAAATGAAGGAAATATATTGGACAAAATTAGAATCACGTTGGAGATTAAATTCTAAGAAGTACCTAAGCATCATTCCTACTTGATGAAGATCGATCATAAATGTTGATTGTTCAGAAGATGTAAGTTTGCTTCCTGTTGCACAAAATATTCTATTTGTGACATAGTTAGATAAGTAAACTGATGTAACTCAAAAAAAAGGAATTCTCCCAGGATGATGTGTGCAACCTGTCAGTCAGGCCAATTCTAGCTCCATCAGCAGGAACGAAACTTCCAATATGAGCGAGAAAAACCAACAATGCCACCTGCAAGACACCCATGCAATAAATGATCATCCTGAACCAACAAGACTGCAGTCATGGAAATTATAATCCAACAAACAAATGGTATCTCCTGTACAAACAAAACAAGAGGAATAAAATTTTGAAATTCTTAACTAATTTTTATAATATCAACTTTTAAAGAAAGATAATCAGAAATAAGAAACTAATAAGACCTAGCAAAAAGAAGCTATATCACAAAACTTTTGAAGTGTACACTACATCTACGCATAAAAGGGAAGAGTCACAATGGAGCCTGCCTATGGATGTTTGTCTAGAACGGATTCTGCAGAAACTTCTTGTATGACTGGTTGAACAAGAGGAAGTCACGGAATTAACAAGTTCATTTCGATAGGATCCATAAAAATGCATATTTCTGTAGAAAATTAATAACATTTTAAGAAAGACTAAATTGATATCAATAGAGAAACTCTGCTTTATGCAATAGTGGTCAGTCAAAGAAAAAGAATATTTCCCCTGAAATGCATATATTCAAAAAATTAGAAACGGAACACTTTAGACTGCTGTAATTTTTGAGCAACCCATAACTTTCTATGCAACCCATTACTTAGGAACATTTTTACCAAAAGAATATAAAATTTAATGGACGAACCAATAATTTATTTGCTCGCAGTTCGTTGAAATCAGTAATATCAAAATCTTCACAATGGAAAATATCAATAGATAACCTGACTGATGTAGATTCTCTTTTTCAGAATCAGTTATTTGCTAACAGTTCAGCGAAAAGTGTTTTAAATAAAAGTAAGGAATATAAAAACCTTCACAGTGGAAAATGTGAATAGATAACCTGCTTAATATATATACTCTTTCCAGAATAATTCGGACCAGAAATGATGTTCACCCTTCCTGAGAAAATGGGCATATTTAATGTCCTCACAAAGATGAGAGAAACAGAATCACCAATCGTTGAATGTAAATCTCATTTTCAGTACGAATATCAGTCTATTACCATCATGAAAAATCCTCGTATCATTTGGCACAAAAGTGTCAACTGTCATCTCCTGCAACACATGCCTGGATTAACAGTTCAAATTACTTTCTAGTAATTGCAAGTATATTCTCTCCCCAACCTCATACAACAAAATTTTGGTGTATATGATCACAAAGGTGTAAATCTCATACCTCCCATTTTGTATATCAAGCAAGTTTTCTTCAGTTAAAATGGGCCTCACATAATTGTTCTGGCGAGCAACCAATGCATATGACAATATGCTAAACATTGACAGAACAAGAAATATCAGAAAAAGAAATAAAAATGACATTACAATTAATCAAATTGAAGTTATATGCAAATAAATTAATACTCATGCACTTACCAATCAAGTTCTGCAGCGAAATTTGCTGCCTTGATTAGAGGTAATGAAAACTGAAGGATGTGAGAGACCAAATCCCTGATAATTGCTCTTTCCATGTCTAACAAAAGAAGTACATTTGATGCAAAGCTTGAGTTTAGAAAGGGAAAATTACTTTCGTAAGAGTCTTTCATATATTTATCAGTTAGACTCTAAAATGGAGGACATAATGATTCCAAGAGTCTCAAGCACAGAGTGGTATGGTAGAAGTAATGACATCCATTAAGTTCGCATACTATGAAACGTTCTCCAAACATAATTAGAATACTAATAGAATTGATAAAAAAAATTGAAACATACCGAGAATTTTATGGTAGATATCACCAAGAAGATTGTCCAGTTCCCTTGTCTTCGACGTATGATAGTAGAATTTATTCTCATTGTCATCCCCTTCAAAAAACTGATCCATTTTTCACATCATTTTCCTACTCCATGCAGCTAGCAGCAGATTTAGAAAAAACATACCGCAAATTCAAAATCCGGGAGTTTTTGTAATGTGGCTTCATCAAGCTTCTCTTCAAAAATGCACATCAAGTATCCTGAAAGCAGAAAAAAAATTATCACAAGAACCTTTGTGAAAAGCTTAAAGAGAAATATTAATGGATAAAACCATTAGTGATTTCCAATTGATAGGAAGTGTGATCAGTTGAAGATCGCGCAATCATTTTGAAGACAATTGACGTCTAAGAGAAGATTAAAACCTAAAGTTTGTCTGGGGATTGGAAGTTGAATGGTACAGAGAATAAAATTCTTGGAGATACTTAATGATCAACCGAAATATCAGTGAAAGATCAGGAAATAATATGATTATTTGTTCTATGTTATAAATAAGTTCTAAATAAGTTTCACTGAGTTCGAATACTGTATTTATTCTTCCAACCAAAATGTCACTTGTTGGCTACGAAAAGTCGAAAAAAGTACAAAAGAGAATCTCTCTCAGGGGAATCATTTCTAGAGTCTATAATAAGTCATTGTAGGTACTAGGAGAAAGATAATTTGTTGATAAATGCATATCTCATGAAAAAATTTATCAATTAAGTCAATGTAGTGACCACCTTTTAATTCGAGAATTAATATTTCCGTGCTCGATTCAGCACTGATACTGAGTGAAGAGAAAGACATTCATGGTACAACCAAAGCTCAATATACCTAGCCAACCATACCGAAAACCTTGATCAAACCTAACCTTTCTACATACAACTACAAGAGAAAAGTGGATACTTTCGGAAAAGGAGAGAAGAGTAAAAAGTGACGAGTATTCTTGTAAGTCAGTTGAACATAATGAATTTTGATGCACTTTAGTAAAATGGGATCTGTAATTACGAGCTTAATGTATTCTACTGTAGCGATGGCTGAAACTGGTTGGTAAACCTGTTGAAAAACGATTCAATAAAATGTTTTCATCAAGAAAGGAGACCAATGTTTGGTGAAGAAACATAAGAATAGAGCCATAAAAGGCTTAGGAATGATTACTGCTAGAATATAAGGGTATTAAAATTCCTATTTGCACAGTATTATAATCAAGATAGTGAAGCGTAAAAACTTACGGCAGAACATGGTCGGTTAACTTGGCACAACTGAAGTTCGATTTGTATAAGTCAGGTTAACTTTTTAAGGTTATAACACAACTGTCAATAGGATTGACGAAATTATATCATCAAACGTCTCAAAATACATTTTATTATTAAACAGAATTTTGAACAAAATTATTTTCGATGAAGCTGAACGAGTTCAAAGTGGCAAGTTGTAGCTGACTCTGTATGATGATACTTGATTTCTGTGGTTTAAATTTAAATACAATCTGAGCCTGCAGGCTTTGGGCAAAAGACAAGGGTTTACAAAAATGACCATAGAGTTAAGTTCCAAGAATATTGAGAATTTTGACGCCTAACTTGACATCCAAAATTATATTAAAAACACCTTCTGTTGATTAAAACATTAACTTCTATTTTGCTTCCATCTTTCTTGCAGTGAGAGCAGATCTTCAAGTAATTCATTCTCCATCACTATGGAAATGAGGTACTACTGGCGTACTGTAACCATTTCCCCCCCATGACAGTTTTTATGCAATGTACTACTGATTTTGCCTTGCAAGAGAAAAATATCACTTTTAAGATTGAGACGACGCAAAACTCGATTTGGATTCAAAGTGAGCATACGACAAATTTTTACAACAAAACCGGAACACATGCACTAATGTCGGTTCCAATTCCTTGGGAATGTTCTTTCAACAGGTGGAAATGAAACCTGCGTGCAGTAAAGAGGATTTCTGTCTGCTTACTGATGGAGAAAGGTGTTTAGCAGACCTACTTTGATGAGGACAATCTCATTGCTGGTTGGGAGCCTTGTAAGGGGTGACTAAGTAAATGGATAAGTCTTTGGTGAAGCTGTAAAGCACACCAAGTACGTTGTAGTTTCTGTAAATCCCTTTGTATGAAAGTTTGATTGATCACTAAAGATTCGAGGATTCAAACTTTTGAACAAAGAATTTAAGAAAACTTGCAAAAGAAGAAAAAGGGAAAGAAAGTAGAAAGTAACTGAAACTCTATGATAACATAAGCTATCTTGAAGGACGTCTGGTCGGCGACACAGATTTAAATAATCAAGCATTTGATCTAATTTGTAGAATGAACGTAATCATATTAGTAAATAAAAAACTGGGGATGAAAAGCCAATTGCCCCAATTCATGGACAGTATAAGCCACCTTGAAGATTTTTGCCTCGTTGAAGCAAAATTTTAAATAACTGATTGGTAAAGATTTATATAATAGAAACTTTTTTATTCTTTTGACACGAAATTTTTTTCCATAGGCTGAAAGCATTGCTAACTAGAATTAAAACAAAGATTACTTCCCACCTCAACACCAAGGAAGGACACTAACCTGTCTGAGGGATATAAACAATGCATGGAGGCTTCTTGTGTTGATTCCGAGGAAGAAATGCAATTTCAAAAGTAGAGACCTGAAAATGTTAGCCGATGTTAATTATGAAAAAAATTTAAAGAAAAAAAGTAGCATTTCACCTGCTGAAGAAACTCTGGCAGTTCTTCATAAATTTTCCTCAGCTCATCCAACTGCATTTAAAGAGGAAATATTAAAAAAAATTGAATAGGAACAATGAAAAATATAATATTGGCCAAAAATTTCGGATAGAATTTTGACGCTTCAAAAGTGCTCAATTTCCTAAAGAGAATGAGCATTAATTTATCACAATGAAAAGAATAAAACAGAGATACCAGTCTTGGAAGTGATTTTTAAGTTCAAATGTAGAAAGACATTTACTCGCGTTGAAATCCATCTAACAGTACATCCAGATGTCCAGATAAGAGAGAATTTTACTCAGAACACAAAATCCTATAGTCGACTCTGATAAAGTAAAAAAACAATCACGCAACACTTTCCAGAACCCTAATCTTCCTGACTTTGTTTTTGTTTTTGTTCCTCGATCTTCACAGGGAAAGAGTGAAATGAAGATGAGCACATTAAGAAGGTTTAAAAAGATTAGAGTATAGGATAGGGAGGAGAAGGAAGGGGAAGATGAAGGGAAAGGTGACGATGCCAGTAGAGATATCAAATTTTAATATTTAAATAATCATTTTCATCACTATAAAGAATAAATAAGCATCTGGACAAAGATTATGCTTAAGGTACATAAAATTTTAATGTGTAGAGATTTTTTTCCTAAATTATGAACCCAATTGATACCTTTTCTTTTCATCTGGGGCGTTGCAGGATATTGCATGTCAACAGAGGCAGGATAGGAAAGGAAAGGGTACTCAAATCATGCAGTGAAAATGTATAGGGGGTTTTGCATCCATCAATACCCAATCATGAATCTCATAAGACAATAAGAGTGCGTTCTCTGACTTTGAGAAACATCCACATCAATTGCAAATAAAGATCAATTTTCCTTATATATAATATCTTTTATCTGACATGATAGTATCTTGCAAAAATACACCATAGTGTGAGTACATAAATAAAGAAAAAACAAACTGAAAAGAAATTGTATCGCAGAAGATTGACCTCTTCACAAAATCCCTCTTTCACCAATGTTTCATATCTCTTCTCATTAGTTCTCTGAATATCGAGTACACCCATCACCTGCAAATATGCACTTGTTAGCTGGATTCTTCCAATCCAGTCATACGATGACTTTTATGTAGATAGTCAACCATCCTCCACAAAATAATTTTCAAAGTGTGTTTTTCTTGGAAGTAGACTGTACTGCGAATTTAATTGAAGCATAGAAAATACAAATTCATGTCATAAAAAACTAACAAGACATCCGAGTACAACAGACATGACATAGTAAACAATAAATATGAACATGATGTAGTTAAAGCCGACTACAAAAAACATACTGTATTGTAAATATGTTGTATTCCATATTGTTTTTTACGCAATCTTTTAGACTTCACATAAATCTTTTCAAAGTGTCTAATCTGGAATTAACAAAGTTTATGAAATAAAGTCATATGGAATATGAAATCTGTTCGACTGTAACAATGACAGCCTTCTAGTTCCCATAGTCAACACCACTAACTGACGTCAGCGAGGGCACAGCTACATCAAAGTAATAGTTCATTACTTTTGGTATCCGTAATTATTAATCAGCATTCTCTAATGGAGATTGATGGTGGTAAAATCTTTGCTGTATGGTACACCAGATATGCCGAATATTATGCCCAACTTGGGCCAGTGCATCAACAAAGAAAAATCGTGAATCTGTGATTGGGTTTGTCTGAATGAACAAAGGGACAGCCAGAAAAGAAAGTGGGAGGGTGGAGGTCGCCCCTTGCTGCAGCATTTACAGGTGGGAGAAGCGTCTGTTCGTATTTGAAACATCATGTGATGGTTGCAAGTTTGAGACAAGCTTAACAATGCCCAGAAAATCATGGAGAAACAATGTCAGTGAATTTCATAGAAACAATCATCATCGAGTTGTGAAAGTTACATAAAGATTAATATGAACAGGTCAGTGTTGGTTGAGAACATGGACAACTTTATGAAGTGAATGGTTCCAATGGGCTGAGTATTGTTAGAACACTGCTTACCGTTCATCTCCCAAAACAACCCCATTCAATGTGCTTTAGGACGAGATCCTCCTACCATCATCAAATATGGAATTCCCCCCTCACCTCTTTCTACAGTAGATTAACAATTACAAGACAGAGATCAGATGCTCACTATCATCAAAGACCAATTTAAGCACGCTCAAACCATTATGAAATAGAAGGCTAATACAAGGAGACTTTGTCTACCTTCGCCTTCCACCTTCCAAGATGAAATCCCTAGCCAAAAAGCCAAATGAAAAATTGGCACCATGACACTTTGGACCATATAAAGTCCTCCATCGTGTGGGCCAGTCAGCCTATCAATTGGATCTTCTGGTCCACTCTTCTATTCACCCAGTGTTTCATATATCACAGCTACATAAAGTGATAGGACTTCAGGATTGTGTACAACCCCTACCTCCAAATTTAACACAGGAACTCGAATGGAGACTTGAGCCAGAATCTTGTCAAAAGGTTCAGCCCGTAAGAATAGGACCCAAGGTCATAATCAAATGAGTAGGTCTTCTAAAATTCAAAACAACATGGGAAGCAGCTTCAGAGATAATACATTGGTTTCCTGACTTTCACCTTGAGGACAAGGTAGATTTGAATGGGGGGAGTACTGATACGTTACCCCTAAAAACATATGTCCACCATAAGAGAACAATTTAGAAGCTTCCATAGTAAACATTGGGATAAGAACAGGCTGAATAACATAAATACCCTCCTTTGTGATTAAGAGGGGGTATCGTGGTAGAAGGTCACGAGAGGAAAGGAGAGTGGGGAATTCTCTTGAACTAATTCCCATCTATTCATTGTTTTCTCTATTCTCTTTGAATACATTGTTCGTTTTCCCCTCTTGACCAAGAGGAGAGAAGAGGATTGTATCATATTGCTGTATAATTAGAGGAAATTTGGTTACCTAGCAAAGCCAAAAATAGAGAGTTGTGGCTTGATCAAGTGCTGAAGTAGAATTTAGGGCTATAGTCCTCAGGATTTCTGAAAGCATCTGAATAAAAAGTATATTAAACGACTTACAAAATACCCATAGAAAGTTCTACTACCCTGTTTTGTGATAATCAGTTTGCAATAAGTATTGCCCATGCTCATGTTCAGCATAACAAGTCCAAACACAGTGAAGTCAATAGACATTTTATTAAAGAGAAACTTGAATCAAGGATGTTCTACAAAAAAATGTCTCATTTATAAGTCAACTAGCTGATATATTGACGAAGGGTATTTATGTAATAGAGTTCTACAAATAAAGGATCAAGCTGGGCATGGACGATTTGCATGTACCAACTTGAGGGAGAGTGTTATGCAGAACAAACCTTCTATATTAAGCCTTTTCTCTACTTCCCTTTCTTTATTTTCCTTGTTAGGTGTATTTCCTTCATTTTGTTTTCCATCATTAAACCTTTCCATAAATGCCGAAAGGGTCCCTTAAATGCCAATATAAATACCGGCATAAAGCCCTAGGGAGGGCTAAGTCAGTGTTTCCTTTTGCTTCTGCTGGATCTCAAAACATCATGTTCTTAAGAGAATATTATCACGTTTAAAATTAAGGTACATGCAACTATTTGTGTCTTAGTTATGTTATGCCCTATGGAAATTGTCGATATTCCTTCAGCACATCATCATTTATCCTTTCTTCTTGCTCTTATTTCAGCACCCACGCCAAACAATGAAACCCACACACCCAATGGAAGTTGACTGATATCTGAAGGAAACAAGTTGAAGATCCACCAGATGATACATCTAAGAGAAAGGGTTTGTTTAGTTCAAAATTAATGCATCCCATGGCAAGACGCTAAATAAAACAACGTATCGAAGATGACAGATCCGAAGGCTCACAAACCTTCGTACAGTGAAATAATATGTGAAAAATAGTGTTAACATTTACTACATGTGATCAGACATCAGTAACATCATGAGTAAAACTAAAATAGGAAAACAAATGACAATCACAATGAGTAACATTAAAATAGAAATCAATAAGTTAACGGCTTTATATCATCACAAAATATAGTCAAAGTCTTTCTAAGAAAAAAAAATAATTCTGACCAGATCAAAGACATAAACAAGCTCTGGTGTGATACTCGATGTTGCCTGCAGTTGATTAAGGAAATACAATAAGCATAGCAGAAAAAACATCACAAAAGAAATGAAAACCATAAACAGTACTCATGTAACAATGAAATAAAAGATCCATAACTTTCCAAGAATATCCAAATTCAACTGGTGCATTTTCTCCTGAAGGTGCTCTGAAATACCTACTTCAAGGATTTTCTTTAAGTGCAATAATGCACCAATGCACTGCAAAAAATAATCTCATGAGAAATGGCACAATCTAACAAAAAGGGATAGCACCTGAATTATGTAGGCAAAGGTAAAAAGGTCGGGACTTATTAGTACGTATATCAACGAAGCATCTTTTTCCCTTTTCTTTCTCAGATACATGTGTTCCAGATGCTTATACGTATCTTGGACATGTTGGCATGTGCACATAATAAAATTTATAAAATTTACAAATATTATACTACTAGGAACTACTGAAGAAGAGTTTGATTGGTTATACTGCACCAAGCTTCTTTTTCCTCATAGAACTAGTGTAACATAGTGCCTCAGAGAAAACATGTCACAAGATACTCATTGTTAGCGAAATCAACAATTCTGTGCAGATCTGGAGAAAGCCTATTAAGAAAACAATAAACTATGAATGATGGTGAAGAACAGCAGTTAAAATGACAAATTAATCACCTTTGTCATTATGTACCGTTTCACCCTTACATAAAAAATTTCTTTTGAAGAAAATCTTGTTTTACGTCTTATTCAACATTGATCATAGGATTGTACGGAGAACAAAGCACCATCATTTGAAGCTTTCTTCTGCATATGTACTGCTAATTCAACAATGACTGTGAATCCGCCACTTTGGAACCATGATACTATTTTGAACCTATAATGGGGAATAGAAACAGTAACATCTGATGGAAAATGAACGACCCAAAACCATTTTCTTATCATCCATACTCCGCCATACCAGAAATAACCAGAGTCCGTGTTACCCAAGTGTTGCACTATATCGACTAATCCTCAGAAAAGGTATTCTGGCCATCAACCTTTCAGGTAAAATGGATCATCGGGTTTGATCTTATTTTGTGCCAAACCAGCTAGCACAATTAACTAATGATCAAACTTCCTGTAAATTGGTTACGCACGAGCATGACTGGATGAAATTCCCGTTTTATTACTTTGTGATGGACAATGCTGTTTATAGGTCCGCCAAACTGGCTGACTCAAAGTAAAATTACCACTCAGCTACAAATGAAATAAAATTATATCAATAATGAGTGAGGTTAATTATTAGAAGCAAGTTACCAAAGCAGAAAGGATATTAGGAAGAGGGACCTACGAGGGAAAGGTTCACAGTTTCTTCTGCTTTCTCCTAGAGCCTTCTTACAGATGTATGACAGGGTATGCCCCTCTCTATTATTCTTTCAAACCAAGCAATGATCTTGCTAGAAATCTTCTGATTCAGGAGAGAAAAGTCAATATTTTGCCATTCCTGCAGTCTGTGTTTTACTACCGACTCCAAGGATGATTAGATATCCCGCGTCATGCATTCTCAAAAAAAAAGTCAGTACTATCTCTCTGTGGCCTTAACATATCGCCAAAATTTCTGTGATTACATGAGAAACAATTGGTATTCAGAATGGTGGCATCCATTGTGAGGGGGTAGAAAACTGATCCGCTAACACAGGGAATGTATTAAATGTGCGAATCCACATTCATTCGGGAGATGTATTAATCAATATGCAGTGATGCACATAGTTCAATCAAGTGATTTTGTGCAATCAATATATTTATAAAATTAAAGAAATATTAAGTGATTTTGTGAATACGACCTGTTTATAAAGGTCACAATATCAACGAAGTAAACCAATGTATTTGCTTAAATATCTATAAAGCGAATCAACAATGAGCTTACAACACTTCAATTTGGGTTTCTCAAAGAACAATGGAGCAGAAAGGATCAAAGTGTATATAATAATCCTTTTTAGATGACCATTACATAAAAACACAGATAATGTTTTTTCTAAAATATTGCTGGTACTTCAGAAATTCAAAGATGGTTAATAACGAGCTAAAATCAGGTTCAGCCATCCTCACATTACCCATAGAGTTACAGTTTGAAAGACCAAATTGATGTGTTGAACAAGTCGTCCATATGTATCGATTCATCTGGCACTGATACATATTAGGTATCACAACCTCTGAATAACCGTCTGATTATCCAATCAATATTGGTACTTCCATGTTTGACTTTCTAAGGCAATGCACAACTAGCCATTTCAAATAAAGTCAAAATCATTTAATTTCATAGAGGGATAAATTTAACATTCCACCATCAAAAAGCCCTTTATTCACAAATTTCTGCAACAAATGTCATCGAAACCAAAAGTTGAAGTTACCTTTAAAAATGCCATCCAATCACTACTTGCACACATGAAACTTGGAGAGTTTAATTTCTTCAAAAGGAAAACCATTCATCAAATACAACCTAAATAATACCCGCAAAAAGAAAACACTCATGGCTAGATAACGTCGAAGTTGCATAGCCCATCAATACCTTAAAAAAGTATATTCAATAGATAAGAGACATACAGATAAAATAAAGATCCCCAAGGAAAGTTTGCACCAGAAATTAATAAAAGCTACTGTCATACACTTTTCCTAAGAGAAATTTTCGCTGATCCAACTCCAGCGTAAATAAAAGATTTTTTTAAATCATATTTCTATAATAATGAGTGAAGGAGATCATATAAATAAAACTGTCAAACTATTTACCCGTTTCAAAACATAATGACTCATCATAAATAAAACTGCACACAGAAAGTAATTGAAGCTATGAAGTATGAGGTAATGGAACAAAAGTTACCTTCTAATTGAATATAAAATAATTAGATGCAATATAATCTGTATGTGTTAAATTATTTGATTGAACTCTATGGTCTAGATGAAGAGCATGTAAGACAAACAAGAAAATCATTTGGCGAGAAAAATTATAACATTACTCACGTTTTTCAGGACATATTTATGATTGAAAGAAATAAGGCCTCTCCCTCCATGTAATGAGTAAGAAAATGGCAAAATATGATCTCCTAATTTGAGTGACACACGAAGTATGTGACTAGCCCCACTCAAGCACCACTAGATGCAATCAAATTTGCAACCTTGAAGAACCCAATTAAGTAGACACTATGTCCTGCAAGATGATGCATTAAATTTCCTTCGAAGAAGGAATTGAATAAAAAGAAAAATATGTTTACATTCTTACAGTGTAGAAAAATATATCCATTTCATGAGTAAAGATCTTCGAACTAATAAGAAGTTTCTATTTCCGGAACAAGGTGCAAGAGGTTCTCTCTAACTCTCCAATGGAGCATTATTACCAAATGAAAGAGGAGAATGAGAGGGGATATGAAAGAATTATGAAGTTTTTCAGTCTTACAGATTAGGTGGTTGATGGAATTCCAACACATACAACTGGGTCCTTCGTGTGAAGGATAGAGGACGCTGTGGCTATTGAAATGTCCAAAGTCACGGGTAGATGGAAACAGACGAGTTCATTATTATGGATAAGTTAACGAAATATAGAATTGACGGATATCTCCAACAAATTTGAAGAATCTTCATTAGCACGTCTCGTAGAAGTACTAATCATACAGCTAAATTTGAATCTATGTTCATACTTCACTTATAACTTATTAGTGAGAGGGCAATGCTGGAATTGAAATACCCATTAATATAAATAGGACGAATAATTTCTCATCTGATTCGAAGGTAAATGATTTATCTTCCCTAGTGGCTGCTACTTTATGAAATGTAACAGGAATCTTCAATCTTGGCGATCCTAGAAGCCACACTGAAGTTTCATAGATGCAATCCAAAACTGAAGAATTACACAGTTTGCACAATTACCCAGAGGACAATACATTGAAAGTGACATGAATGATCAATTCCGTGTGCATTGACAACTATGAACGATACAGGTGAAAAATATCTGCAACGACTGAAGGAACTCGCAACAGCATGGAATAAAGTCATATTTCATCTCAAATTATACTCGATTTGGTCATTGCATAGACAATAAAAATAGACACACGACTCCAACAAGAGAAAACGTTTAGTCATTTACAAAAAAGACTTCAAGTTATTGATCCGTTATAAATACTCGTTTTTCTATTTGAAGGTTCATTCCAGTTAAGTTGACGAAATCGAAAATGGAATTCCAACATTAGAATAGTGGAAGAGTAGTTCCACACACCTTGAGTAAGTGAGTCACATCCCTCACTGACTTCAGTGTTTCCCTTAAAGCTGATATCAATTCTTCACTACACAAGAAGAATGAGACCTAAAATATACTTAAGGGTCATTCAATGACAAATATTTATAAAATCCCCCCTACTGTCCCAAGTAAAAGAAGGATACAGTATTCAGGCGATCATTCAATAAACCGAGATCTAGAATAGGTCTCAGAAACCAGGTTCTGAAAATAAGATTCAAATTAGGTTAATGAAAAAAAAAAATCGAACGCATTATTTGCTCATTAGCCTCAGGATTACCTTAAAAGATGTCTGCCCATTGGTGTGACACACTGGTAGAAATAAAGAAAGTTAATTCAAAGATAATGAAAGACAAGCAAACAATCAACCAACCTTGTTAAAAATTCCAAACACCGAGAACCTGCATTTTCGAAACACATGATCTCTTCACATTTTAACCATTGCATAGTACAAGCATAAAATCATTTTCATATTATGTTCGTACCCTTCTTTTGCCCTCCCAATTCCCATGTGACTGGGATGCTTGTCAATTTGAAATATCTGCAGTGCCTCATATGCTGATGCATCAAGTTTCAGAAATTTGTTTCTGTTTTCTGATGTAAGGTCAGCTATATTAATCTTCAGCACGCCAGTTTCAACCCAATTTCAGGTAATAACTGGATATTGAAAAAACAATTCAGTTAAAGGCTGGATACAATGAAATCTCTATCACACGATCAATGGTTATTGACGTGTTGCCACATTCTTTCTGTTCAAGTGTATCGACAAGTCTTTCACTCTCTAGAATAGCAAGGAGACCTCCAGTGGCACGAACTTGGATGTCACTTCCAATGTTCATCATAGAATTCAGCTGCAAATGCGTTCCATGTTTATGAGAAATTGAGAGCATAAATAGAAACAAGAATCAAAGAAACGTATGATGCAACTGTTGAAGCAGAACACAATATTATCTACGGTAAACAGAAAAAAAATTAAAGAATAAAGGTAAATCTATACAGTATCACATATATGACCCTCGGTGATTCTGTCAAATCTTCCAATACAATACAACTCTCTTAAGCCATCCGATCTAACAAAACTGTGATCAACTGTGATGCTGCTTAGGCAACAGAGCAATAGCCTTTTCCAAATACTATACATTAATGATTATTATTGTTGTGTAACTGGTACAATCATTTCCTTGATGGCAACCTAGGAAGAATGTTCAGATATAGATATGGATTGCACCTCATCTTTAGAGCAACTTCAGAAACATGCAAAGAGGAATTTTTTAATTTATCCCACAGTTTTATAGGGAGCTACAACTGGGGAAGTTGTCAACTTCTTTGGTAATAATTTCAGTTTCAAATCATCTGTTAATTTGAAAGAAAGGGATCGAATTTTCATAAAAAAGCTAATGGACGTGAAGGTAATGAAAAGTTAATAATTTACACGAATAGAAAACTCGAGATTCCTATCAAACTTGCCACGCCAAAATAGAACATATGAGTCCAAGCAAAGGGTCCCATTTACACCTTGCCACTACCTCTGAACTTCGGAGACAGTAAAAAACTCTGACGCCAGTAATTAAATATTTCACATCAAGCATCAACTCTAGAAGGCAATTAAATCACATTGACTTTTGAAATTTATTCAGTTTGTATTCTTCGCTGCTTTTAGAATTTCTCGTTATCTAGAAAAATTCTAGGAAGAAAGCTTCATTTTGTGATAAATGTTTCTTGACATTTGATTATTGTTTTAGTGTAATAGAACAATGCCGATGGTACTATCAACTAATGATCCTATTTTTCTAAGTTTTCGTATTTTTTCGTATTTAACGGATTATTGTCTAATCATTACAATCCAAGAGCCGTACAAAAAGAAGAAATAAGACAAATAAATACAGGAGTGAGGAAGAACAATCATAAGCTGGTGCTATAGAAAAAGAAACTCATATAAGTCAAACTATTTGAAACATGTTCTTAATTAAAGAATTCATATTATTTCGGACTTACAAAACAAACTCTCTCCCTGATGCTGAGACCATCGTCCATCCCTGTAACTCTTAGGTATACTAATCTGGAAAATAATAACTTCATCATTCATGTAAATATTTTGATGTAAAGTAGCTACTATGATGCACTTCAAGCGGAGCAACATACGAATGACTTTCAAGAAAGAAACATAAGAAATTGGAAATAAAAGGAACTAAAGGTCAATATAGCAAACCACAATGAAGACAATTGTGCTTTTCAAAGGGATTTCGTTAAATTATCATGACTAATAAACTCGGTAGGTTCGCACAAGAGAATTATTAAAAACATAAAACAAGCTAGCATGTGAAAAACCCAGCACATTTGAGAAAACTTTTATTGAGAGGTAATATAAAGATGAAATCATTGTCATAAATTCTTCTTCTTCTAAGGCACACTTAGTATGTAGGCACATGAAGTATCTATAAATATGTGCGCTGGTTTACGTACATGTGTATCTGTGCATACACACATTTATATATATAGAGACATATCTATACAGAGAGAGAGAGAGAGAGAGAGAGAAATAGAGGATGGAAGATAAAAAAATAAAAGAATGTCCGTTTGCACCTGGTAAGAGACTGTATGCATGGTACATGCTCTGGTGACAATGTCATTGTCAGAACCTTCAGTTTTTAATGTTGCTTCGTATATAGATTTGTTTGATTGCATTAAGAGATAATTGGAACAAAGGTTACCAATTTGCACAAACAATGAGACTATATATCTGCAGACGACAGAATTGGACTCTGCAGTTATATATACTGACAGGGTCTGATTGGAAGAGTCGGCAAACCACCAGCATTTCTCAAGAGATATTTACAACTAAATTTTACACGCAACTGAACCCAAATACCGAGAATTACATATGCATGGAATAAGTTAAAGAAACGTAGGAAGTGCCAGTGCAATGAGGCAAAGTCTCGTGCCAAGTAAGAAAATGATCTAATAAACCAGAGCCACAACATTTTTATGTGAGAATAGAAAATGAAACTTTGTGAGAATTTTTAGAGAATAAGCGTGAACAGAAATCACCCAAGAACACACCTAAATCTCAAAAATGTTCCAGAATAAGACGAATGCCCTGCACATGTTACTCAACAAGAAGACGTAGTTCATGGCTCATAAAATATCGACCATATGGACAAAAATGATTCCACTAATGTTTAACTCAAGCATCATGAAATGTTGAAGAAGCTAAAAAAAAAAGAATATAGAAGAATTGGTCAGAATATTAATAATATAGATTGCATACTATCCTTTCCATCACCTCATTGGTCAACATTTCTCATGAACGTCAAGTAAGGTAAATATGACGTTGTTTTCGGGTTTTGCAGCATATTTTTGAGTAATTCCAAGAGAAACTGAGAAAGCAAAAAATGGACGCGATAATCAATGACGACTCATGGCCAATCGGCCAAGATAAACTACGATATCAAATCTTCATTTTGCATTATTTTAAAGCAATCAGTTTCAAGATGTTTAGTGAGCTTTATCTTAAGAAAGACGTGCCTATCCACTCAAAATCATATAAAAAAGCAACTTTATCCGCCACATTATAAAGGAAATATCATACCTGTGCCATGCTTGTTCATAGCTGAATATTGAGGCTTTCATTAGCTTTACAACCGGGGTTTCATTCCCATCTGGTAAATTTTATGACATCAATAAGGATAAAACTTCGTTCTTTACGCAACAATTGACAAGGAACAGTGACAAACCACCACGCCCTAAGGCAGCGAGGAAGGAATCTTCAGTTTTGCTGCTAGCATATATAACCAACGGTCTAGCTTGATATTTCACTGAAAACGTAAATACAAGAAGAATGCACAAGTAAATAATCTTTCTTGCATGTAAACTCAATAAAAGTGCCAGAAGGTCAAGAGAATGATGTAGGTTAGCAAATGTACCAAGATCTAGAAGAGGAAAACCCCCATTCCCATCTTCCCAGAAATCCAAAACGTAAAGTTGACGGACTGAAGAGTCATAATATGCCACTCCAATTCTGGCACAAAGAAAATGCAGCATAAAGGAAAATTCATCGATTGAGCTATAAAATGGTTCATAAACCATGTCTAGAAACCTTTTTTAATCAATACCATACTGCCTAAAATTTATTGCATATTCAGGATAGGTAAGCCCATGCTTCACTTTGTCGATTTCCAGTGTAATCCTCCATTTAAGCCATAGGGAGGTTCGAAAAAATAAAAGATTTTTAACATAAAATTGATGAATATACTGGTTCAAGAGTTAGATACTGAAACGTAAGTGCATACCTATGATTCTGCAGTACACATGCCATATACACCTAGAAAAAGTAGTTTGAAGTCAAAATTAGCCAAAAATATTTAACAGAATCGCACAGGTTCCATCAATTGTACTGTGTTATGCATATATTTTGTTCCAAAATGATATGTGCACCAACGGAAAAGGTACTGGCACTAATTAACCAAAATATTCTGTTAGTCCACTAGATTTCGATCACAAGACTTCAGAATTATCCATGTATTATGGAAATTTCAATCTCTCAAGATGATGCAGCATAGGTGAAACGAAAAGTAAATAATGTTTGATAGAAGTCACAAATCTGTTTCGAATTCCCTTCAAGCTGAATATTTCAACATTAGATTAATTTCCATCTTTCAACTTCCCATGAACTTTGGATGGTTGCTATTTTCCTTTTTGAGCATATATGCCATACAGGAAAACATATTTTCCCATCTAATCTAATTGTTTCAAAGAGTCCGGAACATATCAGGAGCTGCAATTAGTCTGGGACTAGAAATGAATCTTATCACGTGGATCAAGATTTACATTTAAGAAAATTAAATCTGATTGTGAACAGAGGAAGAAGGAAATTTTTAGCTTTACTGACAAGAACAGAAGTTTTGTCTGATCAATCAACCATCAGAAGTGTAGGTGGAATTTTATCAACAACTGCCCTCTGAGGTGCTAAGGACTTCTGACAAGAGACGCTCTATGAAATTATCCTGAAGGTCCATGAAACTGTCACATTTTAAGTGCATACCACGGAGAGTGAACCCAACTGTTTCCTAGACTTTAAAATAGCCTAGTCAAAGCGATAGAATGTATCAGTCACATATCTGATATGACGCTAAATAAACAAACTGAAGGAAAAATTTTGATGCTCTTAAATTGGAAAAATATGGGTAGAAAATTGAACTCCAGAAATTTTCACATTAAAAGCACAAAAAAGCAGTAAAATAAAATTTATATAAAAAATAAAAATACAGAAATATAAACCTTCAGAGATTGTAGATATGATGCAAGACATATCTTAATTTAGAGAAAAAAATACTTCCATCTTTCTGGGACACTGACGAAATTTTGAGCATGTTACCGTCCACATGTGGATAGTTTGGGCATGAATTTTTCAACTATTTTATTTATGAGAAATTTCAAAGTTGGTGATAAAGCTTATCATGTACAGCATGTAGTTAGAAACAACTTCTAAGGAGAAACTCATGGCAAGCATAATGACTTTTGGAGGCGTACATGCTATGGTTAATGACAGATGGACTATACAAAATATTATGTATACCACAAATTTAATGGTTATACTCTTCCTCAACGGAGTAAGGAATTATTAAAAATTATTCATGATCTAATAAAAAATCGTAGTCCACGTTATTTTCATAACAAACAACTAAGCATTACCTAGCTTTCAAGAAAATTCCTACATAGGAAAACCCTTCTCCTCGTCTAGGCTGCATAATGTGCGTTTCTTAGCCCTAACAAATAATCCAAGATGGAGAAAACCAGTAACATTTGAAAGGTGGGTTTAACCAACCTCATGAAGAAATTAGATGAGAAGTAGTCAATTTCAGACTCAAAGTGCAGGCACGCTTCAAATTATTAATCAATCAGTGACACAAACCTAACGAGACATGAATTCTCGACGAAGGAGCATTGTAATAACAGTTCCTTCCCACGACAGTAAATCCTCTTAAAAAAAAAATTCATATCCATAGAGACACTTACAAAACGTTAGGTTGATTCAGGTTCTTAGAAGTCATTGAGTTTTCTGTAAAAAAACCACAAATTGTCGTTCTAAAGGAAAATGTTATCATGGTAGAGAACTGTCGGTGCAATTCGCACAGCATGCTACAGATTGCCACACAGTGAGACTCTTTTTACTACTGTACAACTTACGATGTTGACTATTGCATGGTTTTGCAAGCATCTTACCTAGAAGTACGTCTGGTCCTAGTACATGTAGACTAAACAAACACTACAGGAGATTAACACTTAATCAGAATGTCTTAAACAAAACTGGATGTAGTACGGAAAGAGAATTAGTTTGGTTAATCGAAGCTAATCGAAGGATAACAGAGAAGCAACACAATGTTAGTTCACCATCTTTGCGTCTGGATAAATAATGTTAAGTCATCAATATCACTCGCCACGAATACAACGTCCGGAATGATTTCCGTCCCACCAAGGGGTCTACTACCAAGCAATGGACATCAGAGTTAATAATACCACCTAAGAAGCATGATGGTGGCATACTGTCAAGTAACTTAAATGATTCGAACACTCGAGAAATGGATCGTTCTCGTCACCGGACTCATGCAGAAGTCTGATTAAATTTAGATAGAAAGTCGTTTAGGGTCTTTCTTCTTTACTCATGCAGACGAATCATGGAGTGGAACCATTTTCAGACGAATCATAGAACGCAACCGAGACGGCATTCATTTTCAGATGAGATTACCCGAAGCGGGGAAGGAAAAGGAATAAACATCCGTGGAGATGTCACCTGAGATTCTTCCGTTTCTGCGATCTCCTCCATTTCCATCCAATTGGTAAGAACGAGAAACAAAGAGGAAGAGAGAGTGTGAGCGAAGGAAACGCTGTGCCACGGACAACAGCACGGAGAGGTACCAGTGTATTTATAGGCCGCAAAATGTTACATTATTTCAAATTTATAGGGCTCATTTAGAAATATTACATATTAATCCCGTAATTTAGTATATTATACGTGTAAATGTATTATCACCTTGGATACATTTACGCAAATTCTGTAGGGTTCGAAACCAAGGTGTAAATGGCCTGAGCCCAGCACGAGTGAGCTTCGTCTAAATGCCTTCTTCACACTCCCCAGCGGCTTAGACCTGCTATTGTGCACCGATCAATGATTTTTTATAAATTTGGGCAATGAAGAAGAAGGCATGTCCTCTACCACATGGGGAATAATGAATCATGAGTCGCAAGGAAACCGAATTATTACTTGAATACTAGGTAGTTACCATGAAATACAAGTCAATAAATATGAGATAGAATAACTATCAGTTGGTCTCTAATGTAATGGATTTTATTTATAAAAAAAATATTATATTTGTATAAATCAACATGGTCTTAAAAGTTTATTGCATGAAAACCTTGTTCAAGGAAGAATTTGGAGTATGATAAAGTTCAATTTAATCAATCTCTCTTGACCCTAAATGGGTCACAATGTGTAATATAAAAGTAAATTAATCCTCCTCACGCACCCCCTTTAATTCTTCTTTGGGAAAAAAGTGATGCTAGTATGAAATTTGAAAATATGAATCACAATAGTTCTAAGCTTGTAATCCACTCAACACCCAAAACCCAAATTGGCTCAAACAATTTGGATTAGACTCTAATTTTGTAAGATAATAATTGTTCTATTCTTAATTCAGCTGTCTATAAAAAAAAATATATATTATTTTTTAGGAGACGAATAACTGATTTTAACCCATTTAAAATCCCATGAACTAACAATAAGTTTTTGACCAGTAACAAAAATTTTACTCTCTTTAGATATTCATCTTTATTTGTAAATGCGATCAATTATGGTGCACCTAACAAGCCTCATTGTTTATCTTTGTATATTTAAGGGCCTAAAATTTCCCTATAGTGCCACAGATTGAAGATCTCATGATTGATGAATTAACAATCCAATTCTTGCTTTTTCATAACTTCCCTAGATCACCCTCATTAAAGAAAAGCTCTAAAATAGTAATGGGTTTCAAACGTTGTACACTTCATGAATGGGATTTGGCTCTCCACCCATATTACTATGAATGTTAAATTCATTGAAGAAAGTGAAAAAGAGGTATCTGATCATTTTATCAAATTATTTAAAGCCTTATATGGACTCCAAATTTTAAAGGGTATTGTTATATATTATTAACACCTTCTAAGTAAACCTATTGAAAGCTAAGGTATCAATTAGCTTCATACCATAAAGATAAGATCATAGGGGGGCAACATATTGCATCCAAATGATGGATAATTACGTCAAAAGTTACAGCCCTGTAATCACCTATGTGCGTGCAGCACCGACCTCGACCAATACTCTTCTATCACCAGGCATTAACTACAATACAGCAAAAAGTAAACTTAACCTTACCACCTTGAACTCAAAACCAGGTTCACCTCGGGATGTAGACTTCTTCGTAGCTGCCTAACGTTGATGTAAAATTCGAAAAGGTTAACAGTGTATTATTCCTTCCATTTGGATTTTGACGACTACAACTTGCCCAACTAGATGATCAACCGTTTATCCACCGATGTCTACTTAGACAGTATTGAAACCCACGACCGAGAAAGCACGTCGTTGTCCCTTAGCACACCATCTCCACGCTCCTGAAGGGGAACCTGCGGCAGTAGCGGGTCTCCTCGTCCAGCAATTGAGAGCGATAGCGGTTCCTGCAGTGGCGGTCCGTGTACAGGACGGCCTCCTGCTCCTCCGTGAACACGAAGTGGAAGCCACTCTGGTAGCCGGTGAGCTCGAAACAGCCGCAGCCGTTGATGTCCATGCTCCGTCCGCTGCATCCTGGGCCGGAGAACACCGTGAGCGTGCTCGCCGAAGCCGGCGCAATCAATGCGACGGCAAAGAGAACAAGGAAAGCGGCAGCAGCCGCCGGCCTGCCGGCGGTGGCCATGACTTCCGGTCACTTTCACGGAGGTGTTCCTAGAGAGCTTGCGGTTGGCGATGGGTTGGAGCAGTGAAGAGCTCTTGTCCATGCGCGGAGGTCAATTTATAGGTGTGAGCGCTTTGACTTTGTCCCACAGGCAGGCGCGGGGAAACGGCAGCCGTGGTGCTCAAGTAATGCGGTAAGTCCGTTCACATTACCAAGAAAATCCATGGATCGTCGAGACCCGGATTTCTATTGGGTGGTCATTCAATATCATTCGTTTTCAGACGCGCTGACTGAATTTATTTTTTATTGGTTGACTTGTAATCACAGGCACATGAAGGCGGTGTAGTGGGAATGTCCCGCAGTAGGCTCTACGCGGACGGAGTTTAGACACGGTCGACCTTCGGAATGGAGCCATCGTTTAAGAGTGGTCAGAACAACGGATGAAACCATTTTGTATTCCACGAGAAATGAAGTGTATTCCATTTTATCGAGGTTCTCGTGATGAAACCAGATAAGGGTGTTGTTTTCGACGAAGATATGTATTAATAGAAAAAACCCAGTCCTCTCCGGCTTTAGGTATGTGAAACTAGACCAAACTCCGTAGACTTCTTTTTCCCATGAATACTAATTCTGATCACCCACCTGACACTATGGGCTCTCTTCATGTAGATCGGCAAGGTCAAATTCCGAGATCGTAGAACCGATGAATCCATTAAAGGAGAGGAGTCGTTGAAAACAAGCTTTCGTCGTCTGTGTATCATTACAAGTGAACAAATAACACAAATTCAGCCACCGCGTATGACTACGGCATAATAATGAATGACCGCCCGATATAAAGCTGGGTCCCGACCGTCCATGGATTTTCTAGGTGACGTGAACGAACGTACTGCATTATTTTTACTGCGTCTGCCCTTTCCACCGCTATAAATGAACCTCCGTGTATGGACAAGAGCTCTTCACCACTCCAATCCAGCATAATCCCAAGCCCTAAGTTAATCAGCTCCCTAGGACCACCTCCGGCCGCAACTGGAAGTCATGGCCATCACAGCCAGGCCCGCGGCTGCCGCCGCTCTCCTTGTTCTCTTTGCCGTCGC